AGTGGTGTTACGCTTCTGGCACTGAACGTAGTTGAGCCGATGGTTTGAGCGCTCTATGCAGACTAATCCACTATTACTGTGCCTCGCCTAGCGCGCCCTTTCAGGGGCGATAAGGCGATTCCAGAACAGGAATGTGAACTGATGGGCAACGTAAGCAGACAGTTGCAGCCTGTTACACAGCAGGCTGAAAATTGATTTGGCCATCAACATTATCGTCAAAACAAATTTCTGGGAAGAAAAAGCGCTGGCCGCCTACGCGACGACGATGTCCTCCACCGAAGTAGAGCTGGTCACTCTCGAGACTATCGAGTCCAGAGCAAGGCCATCAGCCCCGATCGCCGCCCTTGGGGCCGCCTCCACTGCCGCTACAGAAGCTCCAGCGACCAGTGCTGAAGCAGAACCCACTGCACCCAGCAAGACTCGATCTGCTGTGTTGATGACTACACTTGCATGCATAACTCTTCTGAACACCTTTAATACTGGTGCGCTTACCACCGCACTTCCTGTCATTGCCACGGATCTCGACATTCCGGACAACCTGTTGCTATGGCCCGCCTCTGTCTACGCCCTCGGACTGGGATGCACACTGCTCATGCTGGGCGCCGTGGCCGATATCGTTGGCAACCGCCCTATCTTCCTCATCGGCTCGCTCTTGTACACCGTCTGGACCCTTGCTGTGGGCTTATCGAGGACCGCAAATGAGCTCATTGCCTTCCGCGTCTTACAAGGCATTTCTATGGCCTTCTGCATGCCGACGGCCGTGAGCACTATCACCACCACATTCCCCACAGGCAAGACGAGGAACATGGCCTTCGCCATTTTTGGAGGAGGTAACCCTCTTGGTTTCGCTCTGGGATTAGTCATGGGAGGCGTTTTTGTCCAGATATCTACTTGGAGGACCGCTTTTCACACAGCCGCTGGCGTCAATGCAGCCACGACCGTCGCCGCATGGTTTACCTTACCGAGGCCGACCAAACATGCTGTCGATGTAAGGCACAAGCTGCTCCACGATTTTGACTGGGTTGGCATTACATCGGCCAGCGTCTGTCTTGCTCTGTTATCTTACATTTTCGCCGAAATTGCCAACAGCGGAAGCGTGATGAGGAAACCCTACAACATCGCCCTGCTTGTTGTGGCGGTCTTGTTGATCCCATTCTTCGTCTTCTGGGTTGGTCGCCAGGAACGGCTTGGTCGACCAGCCATCCTCCCCAACAGCATCTGGCGGCAACGAGAGTTCACCGCCGTTTGCCTCACGATATTCCTTCTTTGGGCGTGGTTCAATGCGTTTGGATATTGGTGTACGCTGTACTTCCAAGTCACGCAAGGCCTAACCTCGCTTGAAGCTGCTCTTAGATTCTTGCCGCTAGTTATTGTTGGAATCTTAACAAACGTAGTGGCCGGTCTTACAATGGACAAGATCCCTGCTGGAACATTGGCGTTGGTCGGAGGTCTGGCAAGCGCCGCCGGCCCTATCCTGTTCGCCGTCTCAGACCCGTCATGGAGTTATTGGGTGGCGGGTTTCCCGGCATTGTGCCTTGTCGTGATCAGCACGGACCTGCTCTTCAATATTAGCAACTTGATCATCACGTCAAGCTTCCCAGGGAAGGACCAGGCTCTGGCCGGAGGTGTCTTCAATACAGTGTCGCAATTAGGGAACAGCATCGGGCCGGCGGTGACCGCCATGATAGCAGCCTCCGTTACCAATAAAGAGATGGGCAATTCAGGGGTCAACCAGTCTTATGCAACACTCCAGGGCTATCGAGCTGCATTTTGGACTTGCTTCGGGACTGCACTCATCAGCATCGGCATCAGTACCGTCGGCCTTCGCAAAGCGGGAAAAGTTGGCATGAAACGAGATTGAATTAGAATCCTCAGAGTATTGACAAAAGAAAATAATATGGGCTTTGAGGTCTTCAAGGTTTTGTTGACAATGTCAACAGCCAGCAGTCAAAGAAAAGCATGAAGAATTGTCTCGGCGCTGTCAAGAAAAAATGTTCATGGAAGATGGATGAGTGCCTGGTAGAGCTCATGAAGATTGAATCTAGTAGATTTTAAATAGATATAGAAGAAGCCTTAAACGCAGCTAAATGAACGTGTCAATGCATGTTGTGGACTTGGGTCTCAGGACACTTAAGTCGACTTATCAAACAGGTGTTAGAAGCCAGTATTCTACGCGGAAATTCATAGGGACTCAACTTGACTTATAAGCACTGTCTAGTACTCATACGAATGAAAAGGCTTGAGAATGGTTAAATTGAGGTTATTACTGAAATCAATCGCTATTTGATAAAAGAAATATATAGAAACTGCTTTGCCTCTCATTTTGACTTCCTCTTGTCAAGTATGCTCATGCACCTGACGATAACCCCACCCACGCGTTAGACTATGATTGGGCGGTTTTGCCATTGGCCGAGGACATAATCTTAAAATAGTAGGTAGTAGTGAGCCTCGTAGGAACCTGTTCTTGTAGTGCTCTCGTAACTCTTAGATATAGGAAGAGCTCAATGTCAGCTCCTCAGATTTTCAAGAAGCCTCTTTTTCTAGATCTGCCCATGACTCTCTGTGATATTTGTAGCAAGATCTGCTTCGATGCTCTCCGCGGCCCAAGTGTCACCCAGCTTGAGCAAGCACGCCGAGAAGGCTCCGATATGACCACCTCAGAGCAAAGCCTGATAAAGTCGACCTCGGCTCCCTTGATGGGATTGAAAAGCGCGCCATGTTTTGCGGACTATGCCGACTCTTCAATCATGTGCTAAACCGACAAGGGAGTTTGGATATACTGCGTGAAAATGGCGTCTTCCTCAGGGCTGACCCAGACTTGTCGTATTACGGATACGTCTTCGACAACGCGGGCAGACAGTTATGGCTGCTTCGGCGATTGTGTATTACAGCACATAGACCAGACACCCCTTGGCGCAGCATTGCTCTATTTGATCATGTTTTCCAACCACGCGAAATCACAGCTGAACCGAAATACTTTACAGCCGGTAGTCAGCCAAGAGACCGAATGCTCTTCGGCGGTAGAGCAAGAAGTGAAGAGCTAGATCTTCAAACAGTTCATCATTGGATTGATATTTGCGACACAATGCATGGCGAGCATTGCAAACCTCCAGAAAAGGACTCACAGCTGTAAGTGGTTGATCACACACAATTACCCGTTCAATAACTTGTGGCTCTAACGATCAATATAAAGCCTAGACAAACTCCGTTTCCTACATGCACCTTCCGATACTATTGTCGAGTTTCATAAGGTGGATCTGAAGAGTCTGAAATATGTTGCTTTAAGTTACGTATGGGGTCAGTCTAGTCCTCGAGTAGAACTCAAAACGGTTACATATAATCGGTTACTATCACCTGGATCGCTATCTAGACTGACACTCCCAAAGACCATCGCTGATGCTTTAGAGTTGAGTCAGAAACTGGGTTTTGAATACCTTTGGGTCGATGCATTATGCATAATCCAGGACAGTGAGAGAGACCAAAAACAGCAAATTAGTTATATGGCATCGATTTATCAATTTGCCTATATAACAATTGAAGCTGCTAGTGGTGCTGATTCCAGTGGAGGCTTACCTGGATTTTTGCCCCACACACGCATGTACACCCAAGAAGAAACCGTGGTCATCCCACCAGAGCGCAAGAAGCCAGGTCTGGCGCTGATGACAACTGTCAAGTCGTGCCCGACTCATTGGGACGAGTTATATAGGCGCGGGCACGAGGACATGGACACCAGTGTGTGGAATACCCGTGGTTGGACTTTACAGGAACATGTTCTATCGCGACGACGGCTGATCTTCACCAAAGAGCAAGTTCTTTTTAGTTGTAAGAGGGCCTTTTTCTGTGAAGAATCAGACTTCGAAGTTCCCGGAACCACATTTCGACACTTCAATGCAACAGCACACCGTTTGGATATTGGAGACCATGCTGTTGGAAATGCGTTCTGGGACCTGTACCGAAACCTGGTGGAACAGTATTCCCAACGCAATCTCACGTGTGGAGGCGACGTCCACGATGCGTTTAGCGCCATGCTTGAAGTCTTGGAACATAAATCTGGGGAAAAGTTCCTCTGGGGTTTACCCAAGTCTCGGCTTGCTTTGGCACTCACATGGGATACAGTTCGCGGCGTTCGAAGACGTACTGAGCTATCGAAGCTGCCAATGACGAATCTGAACCGACGCGTTCAATTTCCAAGTTGGTCTTGGATGGGCTGGGAGGGAGATGCGCATTGCTGGGTGTCGGATGAAAGGTCATTTACGTATGGGAACTGCCCCGAGTCTGTGACTTTGACTAACCCTGCCTTATACAGAGATTCTCCTACAATCACTTGCTACCTATATCAGCCTAGCGTTCCTAATTTTGTTCGAACGGACGGTACTGCTCTAGATTCGGCTGATGGGATTGCTTCCCTTGACCAAGCTGAAGAAATTGGCAGCATGACAGCATCTGATTTTGGGAAATTCTCAAAGGGCTTGGTCCCCAATTTATCTACATACCCTGACGGTTATGTCTTGATATTCTTCGCATACTCTGCGTCACTTAGCATTTCTTACCCAGGCGATAAAGGAGTAGCTTCGCCACCCGACAAAGCTTTACCAACTGTGATGAATAAGCAAGGAAAACAGATAGGCAGAGCATGCAGATGTGCCGAAGCTCATGCTTTCAGGGGTAATGCCGAATTCATCCAGATTGCACGCCGAGCAACACCCGACATTCCTGAAATTGCTCCAGAAGTAATTGCGCTGCAGATAGAATGGAAAGACGGCGTGGCATATCGAGTAAATATTGCAGAGATTGATGAAAGGGAATGGAAAGCTTCGGCGCCATCTCTAACGTTGATTCAGCTGGGATGACGAAGAGTGATGAATATATAACATCTATCCGATAACTTCATTCTCTGGTATATATGAATTGATCTATTGATCGTCCAGTATTCCTCGACTACATGTTGAGCTCGTATATCAATAGCCCCTTTTTACAAGTCACACATGAAAAGTTGTCATTCAAACTTGGTCTCCCACCTCCCCAATGTGACCTCCCTGACCCTGTCTACCGAGTGCGTCTCCCTCAAGGACCTCCTCTTCCTCTTGGCGGGCGCCAATACCGCCAGCTTCCAACCTGTCCATCGCTCTATCGACCTCTTTATCCCAATTACACATACCCACGATCACCCACTCCAGGGCGCCCACAAGGTACAGAGCAACGCACTGCCCGATCCACAAACCGGCCAGTCCCCATCCGTGGAAAGCGAGATAGATGCCTCCCGGAAGCGCACCACAGTAGTAGCTGACAATGTTGACAAGCGCGCCTACCCATTGCCGTCCCATGCCCCTGAGTGCTCCTCCACACGAGCCATTCAGACCGTCAGCGATCTGGAAGAGCGCGACATATGGCATCACCTCGGCCACGAGACGCACAACGCGCTCATCGTCATTGAATATACGCCCAAACACGTCCTTGGTGCCCATCAACACCGCCAAGATTAGTGCACCGGCAACCATGGACAGTACGGCCGCACAATGGGCAGCACGCTCGGCATCCTTCGGTCGACGGGCACCTAGTAGGTTGCCTAGACGGCTAGAAGCGGCGACACCCAAGCCAAATGGAACGGTGTTGATGATCTGGTCGGCTGTCATGATGACGGATTGTGCCGCCAAGGGGATGGTACCTAGACGACCAGCTGCCAAAGCGACGATCTCGAATGCCCACCACTCGGTGCCAACGTGTACGAGTCCCAGGAAGGCAAGCCTAGCGAACGGCCACAGATGCTGAAGAGCTCGGCGTGGTGCGAGACCTCCCCAGCACTCCTTGCCCTTGACGAAGGCTGCGTATGCGACAAGCAGCAGGAAGGAGATCCAATATGAAATGCCAGTGGCAATTGGTGCGCCATAGAGCCCAATATTGAACTTGTATATGAAGAGCCAGTTGAGTAGTGCATTTAGTGGAGATGTGATGAGAAGAACATAAGTGCCCGGACGATAGATTTCTGGAGATCGATGTTAGTTGTAGTTATGACACTAAGTGGCTCCTCACCGAGTCTGGCTTACCTTGAGCCTGTAAGTACTTCTTCATCGACTCAAACCAGACGTATCCTAGGCCACCTGGTATCAGACATCGAAGGAAGATCGAGCTCTGAATACATAAATATTCCTCCTGCCCTAGAGCGCGAAAAATGTGCTCTGAGAAGAACCAAATAACCGCTACAACAGCATAGAACAGCGACAACACGAACAGCCCTCGCTGCAAGAGGATGCCGAGATCATGTTTATTTGTCGACCCCGTAAAGCTACTACTTGCTAGTGTATCAAGTGCGGTAGTGCCACCGAGGGCGATAAGCCATGCCGTTGACATGGCGAACATATAAGAGAAGGCTGCTGTCGCAAGCGACTCGGGAGACAGGCGCCCAACGATCAAGACAGAAATTGTTTGAAGAGAGTTTTGTAACGTATATGCCAGAATCACAGGGATCGACGACCGCGTGAGCAGTCCAATCTCAGAGAACCATTGCCGCCATCTCGGGGCCTTAGTCTCATGAGATTCGGCGGTGTCAGCATCGGCGGGCAATGCATGTACAGAGGGCGGCTTAGGGAGCAACGCCGTCGTCTCACTCGGCGGACTCTCGGTAGGAGTCAACGTCTCCGAAGAAGTGCTTCCTGCCATGATGTGAAGCAACGAGGTAGAGCACTACGTGCTTGCGAGCGTGCTTCGAGCCGGTATGGGCGCGATAAGACCAGAAGAGAATCGGCTCTTTCGCAGTCTTGGATTGTCTCACAAGCACGGCGTCACCTGCCACAGGACATGGTGGAATATGGTGTGAAACTGAGGTAAGAAACGCCAATTGATCTAGGAGGCTACGAAAGAAAGAACTAAGACATCGATTGACAATACAGAAAGAGATAAAACGCTCACTAGTACTCGCAGTCGCCTATCGACCGGGTGCCCTCTACTTAGGAGTCGCAACGACCGACGGCGCCGGTGACGGTGATAAGTCGAGCCCCACGCCGCGGGGACGGTGACGCGATGACATTGGATCACGGATCCGAACAGATAAGAGTGCATGCGAGCATCTGTGGACGCAAGAAAGGAGCCAGTCAAACGACGGTCCAGAACAGACCGTCAAAGACGATTCCATAGGTCTGACTGGCCCAGTTATCCCACTTAGTGGCGTCGCGGGAACCTGGCCTGGGACTTGAACGGCCATCGGCCAAAGAGAGACTGAACAGATTCAACCTCGACGAAATCGCATTTGTCAAAGCCGTTGTGTCAACTATGGAGAAGCCCGGAACTATTCAAGGCTAGCCCGCACGGTGCGTTGGCACGCAGGCTCATCAGATCGTTGATAAAGACTGGTAGCGCATTGGACAGCGGCGGACAGGAGGAGTTGCGATAGATGCGGCATTCTGTTCCAATTGACGAATGCCATTGGCTCAACTGCCCCTCGATCCCTGAGCAGTCAGTCAGATCTACTGGCGTCATCCGCGTTTCCTGCGAATTGGGAGAGATGTCTCGCTGATGTGATGAAGTGCCGTTGGTAAACGACGCTTATCTGACACCAATTGAATAGCGTAATAGCAAAGATGCCGAGCTGGAGTCGCCGCACAACAAACAAGAAGAGCATCTCTCCGCAACGGGGTTGACCGATTTTACGTAAAGCTAGAACATGCTACCAGATTGTGAAGAGATCTTTGACAACACCATCTGCATTACAGGCATAGTATGTAGCTCTTTCTGAACAAAAACGGTGTTACGTTTTGGTGCTTGCCAACCCACCTGAGCAGTGTCCAGGATTCAACACTCCCAGGTGAAAACACTTTGATGCTCGAGATTCGAACCCGGCGTGTAATTTTCAGTCCACTGATGCATTTTGTGCGCAATTGCAGTTATCTCACCCCGCCAGTTTGAACTGTCTTACAACTACTTCACCATGTTGAAGAACCCCACTCCTTATCAACAGCGGGGCTTGTGACAGTGATGTTATCTTGTCTCAATCCCGACAATGACATCACATGCAATTGGCTCTGAAATGTTCAGTAGTACTTCACAATTATCAAAAAGAGACTCGAAAACAGTCTACCAATACTAGTTTTGTTTTCTTATAATATATGTCAAGTATTTGAAAAGCTGTAGGGACGGTGACCTGCCTGCCGCTCCTTTCTGCCAGGCTCTACCCCCTATCCCGAACTAGAGGTTTTCCCTCGACCTCCTTTTGTTCTAACTCCGCCTAACACCAGCGCTCGAAGCCAATACACAATTCGAAACCATTGAATAATTGACCCTGACTCTTTTTGAGACCCAGTGAGAGTCTACTGCCATTTAGGCAATACTGACCGGGCTGAACCTCCTCCCATTATCGCCTCACTCGGCTCGAGAAATGCACCAGTTTCCGACGCCTTCCCCTTTCCATCGCCACCTGAAGGTAGAGATGTCGCGGTCTCCGCCATATTCATAATTATATCCGCAGCCATAGCCTCATCATCCTCGCCACCTCGCTCAGCCCGTGCATGCTCCTCCTCGCCATCCCTTAGCCATTGATGGAGCTTCAGCCCCGCCTTCATCGCCGCATCTGCAATCTCCCAGTTTTCGATGCTCATCTGGTTCAACGAGATGGTAAGCATGCTCTTGACGAAGCGGTCGTGAGGGGTTTCGCGCGCCGTGGGCGTGATGCCGAGCACGATCCAGCAGAAGACGCCCAGCACGCCCTTCCAGGTCGCCAGCGGCACGCGCCACATGGTCGTCCACAGCTGCAGGAACTCGTTCTGCGTCACCACCGCGCGGAATGACTGGCGCAGCATGATCACTCGGCTGTATATCAGCGCTGCCTGCCGGACGGCTTGGTAGAGGACGTCTTCTGGCTCCAGCGGCCCTGGGAGCACTGGTTGTGGCCGAGAGTGAGGGTAGGAATGCTCCGACGAGCTATCTGGCTGGCTTCCGTCTTGCAGGAGCGGGCTATTTCGTCTCGATATCCTAGGAGATGCCGCTGAGGCAGGTGAGTTTTGACGCGAGTAGACGGCATCACCAGCACTCTCGGGGCTCAGAAGATCTGAAACCGCAGCCGGATGCTTCCGCGCCTCGGGAGACTGAACTGGTAGTCTTGATATGCGCTCGTGAATCCAGGCTGCAGTTGTATGGACCTTGTGCAGGTCAATCTTAGAAGGCTTCGACGGCAAAGAGAGAACGGCGCCGATAAGAAATCGCATATCATCGAGGATTCGAGCAGTCGCCGCGTGAAGGTTCATCGAGTTTGTACATGTAGAGAAAGGTACGAGAGGGGAGACTAGCGGAGTATTGAAACAAATTCGTAGTGGACCTTGGTTCATGTCGTGAAATTTAAACTCTGGGCCGTTCTGCAGAAAAGGGGGGATCTCGAAAGATAAAGCGATAGCGATGTCAGTGCTATTCTAGCATTAGCCAAGAACTCACTTCATTGATACCAAAGTAGACTTACGTGATGACAAGCTTAGCAATGATCCCATCCATTCCAAGATTCCGGAAACCGCCTCGAAGTCGGATCATCTCACGGAGACCTCGTAAATGCGCCCGCAAGTCGCTTGCTTCACCCCAATACCATTCATCCAGGATGAGCTGGGTGACAGCAGAGATAGCTACATCTGTCGTCGATGATTTCGACCGAAGGTGTTCGTTCAGCATCCGGATAGCTAGCCCTTTGTGAGACATGGTGGCCATGTTGTCAAGGTAGCCGGTCTCGGTGAGAAAGCAGGCGGAGGTGAATATGGCTACTTGGGCGAGGAGCGGGGTCTGAATGCAGAATGGGACATAGTACTTGATGTACTGATTGCTTGGATCAGGTTTTCCATCGAGAGATGCTTTGAATTGTGAGAGAAGTTTAACGACTACATACTGTCAGCTGAAGAACATAACGTTGGAGGCGAGAGTGAACTACATATTCGGAGCAACTCTGCATTTTGTCTTGTCGCAGGAATTGGCAAATGAGCAAGATCTTCAAGAGGATTTGAAGGCAGATGTTGGCCAGCAAGCCGAGGCTGGGTCGAGCCCAGACGCAGCCAGGATACGATCTCCTCGGTATTTTGAGGGTGCCACTGATCGCTCAGGTATTGGGCAGGGAGAGCCGCCCGAGCCCGCAGGAGTTTGACAGCATCATGGATGGTATCCGAATGGAGAGTGCAGTTCTCGTCGCACACTGGCAGGCCGGCAGGAGCTAAGCTTCCGGGTGCGGATGTCCAGTGGTTCTCCCATGGGCTCGCTGTGTAAGTCGAGCCGGGAAACGGCGTTTCTTCGTCAACCCCTGACCATCGGACCGAATTCGTCCCGCCTCCCGAGCTCCATGGTGATCGTAGTGGTGAGGGTGTTCGTGCTGGCAACAGGGGTTCGGAAACGCCTTCGATGATGCGGAAGGGGGTGTCTTCGGTGAACGGAGGCGGGAGGACTGAGACCTCGAAGTTGGGTTGACCACTAGGTAGAGACGAAGCTCTTCAGCATTGGAAGTCAGGAATCTTCTTCTTACGACACAAGTAGTTTTCATCCTGTGCACTTACCTGTTCACCAACCTGTACTCGCACGGAGGTTGGGGGAAGCGTCTTGCACAGTTACTGCACGGATGTCCTTGGTTGCACTTTGCTTTGACGTCAGTGGCCAGTACACGGTCAATTTTGAAATCATGTTCGTGTTTCGAGATTCTCTACGAGACTTCACACAGACGAATGGGTGAAGAGAAGGATCATCATACCTTCTGTTTCCTCCTCCGGCACTCCCCACAGGAGGTCGGTATCCTCTCTGCACGTATTGGGCGTCCCACACGGATCTGCATGGCATCGGACATAATCCTAATTGAGATGTGTGTCTTCCGACCCCTCGTGCTGCGGTAGCAAGCAGTCCGGTCCCGCATATATAAGGGCTGTCGTAGGGCTGACTTACACCGTGGTGCGGTCTAGTCGTGGTCCCCTTGCTTGTTAGTGACCCTCTCCTGTATAAGGGCGCCCGGACCAGGCGAAAGGGGCTTCGGGATTGGACCTGCAAGTCGTCGGGAAACGTACGAGTTGGGTTTAGCGCACCTCCAGCCCAAGTTGCTAGAGCAAGAGGCTAATGCCTGTACACAGAAGGCAAGCAATGAGAAACAAGCATGTAATGTATGATCTGATAGCCCGGAACAAGATTCCTGTTGCAGGGAACCCGATATTAAAAAAGGCGGCCTAGAAGCTTGATCTTGGGGAGGGGGTCCAAATCGATGTGACATCAGTAATTGTCCAGTATCTGTGCGAAGTGATATTGTTTGATAGACATGATAAATCTGACAGATTAGGAAAATCGAATTGGAACCGTTCCATCAGCTTTTGATATAGAGAATTGACAGCCTCGATTTGAGGTGTCGTCCCTCGTTTATATTTAGCAAGGGGCAGGGCCGGCGAGCTGAGAACCTCCCGTCGGCACTGGGAAGCAACTCACCGCTGCCGATTCGCTGTCGACAACAATCCCCAGAACTTGGACAAGAAGCCCGACGAGAGGCTGTGTTTCGTAGCCTGTTTCCCCAGCGCGTCACAGGGTAGTGACTGGTAGCGAGGTGTTGCTCATGTATGAGACAACAAGAACCTGCGACTAATCAACTTTGTGGTAGCAAATCTTCGTCTAAATCATTGCCGACGACACTAGCATGTCGGTGAGGCCTAGTCCAAACGCCGCCGGTGCCTGCAATTGTGATGCCGTCATAAGGAGAGCTCGTAGGAGAGCTCATGGGACCCAGTAGAATGGTAAAGCAACCGCTAGCCTGCATGCGTCTCTCATAGGCACCTGTGGCATCACCGAGACGCTCATTTGCGGCAGACGGACGGATTCGAACGATATTCCCCATTACGGGATGGTGGCACCGCACGGCAATGGCACCATCATGGACAGAACGACAGCTCTCAATCCCCTGGTGCGACTCATGGCGATGTAGGGCTGGGTGGCTTGGTCATAGCTTCGGACTTTGATGCCCACCCACCACAAAGCTTGGCGCACCTCCACGAAGCTCAGAGGCAGCTCTACGAATGGTGGCGTCAGGTCGCTTGTTTAAGTACGGCTTGGTGCATCAGGAGGCAGAACACATGTCAAGGGCCAAGGCGACGCCGGGAAGTGCCGTCTGCTGCCTGACAAAAAGACCTTCATCTGAAGTGCGAGACTGACAGAAGAATGTTTCAGTTTAGACGAGTGCTCCCTCAATGGAGCCAGTTGCGATACACTGGAAGCGAAAGTCTGCGATAATCCGTATAGAGATAACATTGCGATGATATCAGCAACGGTCGTATGCAGCCATGTTGGGGACGCAGGCTCGGGATTTCCTGATTCTGTCTTGCCGTAGGGCCGTAGGGACGTTAAACGGCCGCTTTCTCGGCCCATCTGTCAAATGGATAAGCTGGCCTGGAAAGGATCCGGAGATGCGTCGTGCAGCACGCAGAGGACCCTGGAAAACGAGTCGTCGGGCCAATGAATCGGAAGAGAAAGTCCCCGAGATACAAGGCATCGAGGCTGAACGTGCTTGTTCATCGTTGCATCAGGTGAGGGGAAGCTTCACTCCAGTGTTGAAGACCAAAGATGACTGCAGGTCCATGCAACGACTCCCTCTTCCAGCTCTTCCAAGCCTGCCCAACACTGCCCGTCCGCCCGGGACAATAATTCAACCGGATACAGTGAGTGGAATGTTACAGGTTGCAACCTCTGTACAACGAAAATCCAAGTGAAAGTAAAAGTGAGCTGATGGTGTTAAGCATAAGTTAGACGAAAAGCTTACAAGGGATCGACAGGTTAATTACCACAATTGGAGTCGCTGCTAAGCTGATCTGCAGTGGACCCAAACGGTCGGGTTTCAACATATCTTCCCGTGGGATTATGCAGCGTAATTACCACTTTGAAGGAGCATTGCAAGGACTGAACAAGCTATAGAAGTTCGTGTATTTGATTTCGAAATGCAAAAGGTATCTAAGCTAGAGTCGGTCGTGAAAAACCTGACTTTCATCAATCAGTCGTAAAGCATGAGCCATGTATGCTAAAATTGGTATCCTGCTGAAACCCCGAGCAACATCGCAACGGCCCCCAAAACGCCATAACACTCATAATCGTCTATGACTGGCTAGTGACGACCAGGACGACATTCACATAAACGTTACGTTCCCTTTTCCAGTCCCTCTTCTCTTTTGAAAAGTTGCGTCATCCAATGATTAATCTTATCGCCCTCTATACTCTGGCTTCCTAGCCATGTTCACCACCGGCGGGGGTGCCTCGTCATCTAGAGGGTAGGGCAGTGCACCGCCTCCAGCTCGTCGGCCGTTTGCCGATTGGTTTTCTGGTAGAGGTGTCTTCGGGGGTAGTGGTGGAGGCTCAACTCGGTGCGGCTGTTGGTTGTTGTTCATTTTGTTAACTTGGTCTCCCTGCCGCCTTGGTTGCTCATCCGGGGACATGATTGCTATTTTGTCTGACCCAGCCGCGTTGCGCCACTGCGCGGGTGTAGGAGCGGTGACCATGAGGCGATCTGAGTCGTCAATGTAGGAGCCAGCAGCAGGCGCCGACATTCTATTGGCGTTATTTGGCTGAGATTGGCGCCCAGGTGTCCGTGGCGGAGATGCAGCTCCCGACGTCCGCGGAGGAGGCAGTGGTGGCTGACTGGTTGGAGCCGGAGGTCGTATCCGCTCACCTGAGCTTCTCGGTGACGGTGTGTTGCCAGTTGGCACCGGAAGAGTATCAGGACCAGACTCATAAGAATGTCGACTTGGCGGTGTGCTGTGCACTGGCCATGAGGTTGGCATATCACCAGGTAGCTCGACAGCCAGTGGGCTTGAGACATCTGGCAGGGTGTGTACTAATTCCGGAACATCTGCGAGCTTGTCATATCGTTGCTTGGCGCGATAGATTTTGGCCATCTTCGCAGATGCATCCTGGACCATGTTTTGTTCAGATCCTCGCGATAGGTACATCCTCGTCGATGTGCTAATATCCGCAAGTCGGTTCCACTCATTCATTCCAAACTCGCCTACACCGACTTCGACGTTGAACCTGTAATAGTTCTCGATATTGACACCACGCTTGACCAGGTGTTCTTTCTTCATGTACTCATGAGTTCGCTCACATCCTTCAATCTTGGAGATGAGCCTCCTCTTCGCCTCAGCAAACTCGCCCAGGAAGCCCTCGTACCACATAGCTGAGTTTTGATCGCTTCCTTTCGGTCGCTTTCCCGTTCCAACACTAAGGAAGACGCCCACTTCACGTCCAGGCCATTCGTTCACGACAGCCTCGTCCAACGCTTCAGGAGAAGGGTTGAACCGCCCGTCTCCATCGTCATGAAAGACGGATTGCCCAACGGTAACCGATTTGAATGCAAGTCCGATAGAACATGTTGCTCTGCCAGCCTGCCAGATTTTGCAGTCATATTCCGGCGCCGGCTCTCTCCTTGAATCATAGGACCTTAACATAACGGCAGGGGCGTTCTTTGGCGCGCCTTTGTAAACAGCAGTTACAACACTATCTCGATGTCAGTACATGCTTTGAAATGACAGCTGTAAAGCTCAGAACACTAACGTTTTAGTTCTTTTCTCCCGCGAGTCGTAAAGTCGTGCATTCGGGTCTCCTCCTCTCCCGCTAAAGGCCGGCCTAGCCATCTGCGCTGTTGGGCTTCTCGCGCTGAAGCTCACCACACTCGCGTTGCTCGAATGTCTTCTCGGAGTTTGTGCAGCGCTTGAACGGGACACGGTGCTCAGAGGGCTGAAGACTTCGGGTGCTGAGCCATCGTTGCCCTCGTCCTCGTCCCTGGTGTGTTCCCTGACAGCCTCTCGGATAGCCTCCTCCAGCTTGGATGCCTTGAACAGGGTGGATCTTGTCGGAATGCCCAGTATGGTCTTATCGGTCTCGAACACCATGCGAGTCATCCGTACGTAGAGCTCCTTGCAAGTCTCCAAATCCAGCCGTAAGCGGCCCAGCATCAGCGCGATCAGGCCGCCGGTGCCAGTTCCCACGATCAGGTCGAAATGGTCTGCGGGTTTGGGTATTTCGTTTCGTCGCGGGGCTCTTCCGTTGATCTCCACGAACGTGCGATGCATGATTTCCTGTATGATGATGAACATGCTGTAGCCTCGTACGCCTCCGCCATCTGTCTTCATGTCAGCGCCTAATTCATGCCTGGGAGTAACCCGTCACCGTCCACCTCGGGAACATACCTAGTGACAAGATACGAAGAGGCGGCCCCTTCGTCGTGTCTCTTCGTTTTATTGAATTTGAATCCATGATGTCTAGATCCAAGATCTGAAGTGTCCTTGCAGTAGCGCAAGGAGGAGAGTGTCCTGGTGAAGACAGAAGAAAGGTGTGGTTGTGCAACAAGCTTGCCGCGGGGTTGTTTTTGTCAAGAAGAGGAAGGAGGCTTGTACTTCAACTTTGGTGTAGACTACTGGTAGGTGCTGCGTCACTGTTTGTTTCCACTGACAGGGCCGGGCCTTGGGCGGGAGCTTGGGCCAAGGAACGACGGGTAGAAAACGTCAGCGATAATCACCGCCACAGCAGGGATTCCCCGACGCGCCGTCCAAGGTGGCTGATCGAAGATCGGAAAGCGAATGCAAGCTGAAAGAAGAGGCGAAGACACACTGTAAAGCCAGCAAGCACACAAAAACGTAGGGGCTGTCTGGATTGTTTTGTAGAATGGAAGGAGAAGAGTGGGAAGATGAATGTGTGTCTCGCTCTCGGCTTAGTCGGATTGGTGCCTCCAGCCTTTTCTCTCTTCCTCTTTCTCGCCAACGTGGATCTTAGTCACTCACTGTGGGTGCATTATTACCACCGATAGAACCCCCGTCCTGCCCTTAGTCTATGCCCTAGAGTACCGCATCCCAGAGGGCATTGGGGGCAGTGCAATTTCTGTGCTCCAACCACGCGACAACAATAGCAAAGAGACTCACTCTTGCCCAAAGGCTTGTTTGTGTGCATTTTTCAAGTTCAAGTTTTACAGGGCATGCTCAAGTGTCGAACAACCGAGTTCCAGGAGTTTGACTTGCTAAAAAGCCGGCCAAACTGAGACTAAGAGAGAGCATATTGAGGATTTCTCACGGTGTTCACAGGTGTTCACAGTGTTCACGGTCACTCCAGGCTTCCATTATTCTCGTGGAAGGCTTACCCAGCCTCGAAAGGCTATAAGCATGTCAGATGAAACATTCAAAGACAGCATTAACGTTACCTACTAGTGAGCCGTCCTGGCTAGGGCTGCATGAATTGTGTGCATCCAGGACAGTATCAATCAACTACTGCAGTTCGGGGACCTCGTTTGCCTGCATCGTCAGGTACCCGCAAGGCCCCATCGTCGAAGAAGCGGTTCCCCCTTCAGCTCCCTCCTTGCAGACGCTGGTCATCTGGCTAAACATCGCTAGAGACGTGGAGGTCGTGTTTGGCACACTGATTGGGTACCAGGCCACCCTTTACGGTGCGCGAGGGCGATCAGGCCCCCGTTGGAGATGTGGCTGAGCCGGCAATAGCGACGCAACTCCCACACCTCGATTGGCTTGTAGGCTTGCCACCGAGTCTCGTCCAAGCAGATCCGTCCTCCACTCACGACGACCCGAAGCGAACTGTTCGTGTCATCGGCTTGGCGTATGATGGGTCAGTCAACAATACGGTCCGCCGGTTTCCGTCTTTGCCGTGCTGCTCCTGGCGCATCTTCCCCAGATCGAGAATCCCTTCAACGCGCCACTTCCAGAAGCTCTCTAGAAGCATTCCTGCTTAGGTTCACTGTGAACAGGTGATAGGAGAGATCGCCACGGGAATCAAACTAATAATCGTTTCTAGCTGGTGAGGCCTCAATCGTCTCAATCTAAAAATGGAGTCACTTCCATTGAGCCATTGCGCCGTCCTGCGTTTTCATCTGTTGCCCTCTCACTTGGACTCTTGGCTTTGCTTGATCACCGCCGCCACCTGAGCCCAGTCCTCTTTTCCCAAGGCCTCCTCAATAGTACTCAATTTGATGCTCGGATCAACCTATCATGTTTGTCAATACCTTGCTCTAGGAAAGCAATGATACATTTGCATACCTCTTGCGGAGTAAGCAGTTTGCTACCAGTTTCTGTACCAAAGTCCACCCAAAATGCTCCAAAAATCCAAATTAGATAAACATCCCGGAAATGCACCTCCACACATATTGGCACGTACCAACGGTGCCGAATATCTTGCCAACGCCGGGGATCGACGCGGCCATCTGCTCCACTGTCATCGGGATGACTGTGCCCGGGACGCCCGTGATGCCCGACACGATGCCAGCAACCTCCGCGAACGACTTGCGCCCGTTGTAACCCAGCATGTTCTTGCCCGCAGGCGCCTTCACCAGCGCCTCGACGAACTTTCCAATCTCGCTGACATCAGCAAAGTACTGCGGCGCATCTGCGGAGACCGGCGCGGCGTTGATAAGCTTGCCTTCGGCGTCCTGCATTCGCGTGGGTGTCAGCCCGCTTAATGCAGCAGAGCTTTCAGCTTGTAGTTGGGGCTTTGCAACTAACAAATTGAGCGCCGCCCATCATGAGTATGGCAATCGGCATATTAGTGTAAATCGCAACGGTGAGAAAACTCGCCTTGACAGCGAGTTGAGGCAAGTCGGACACGATGTAGTCTTGGATCTAGAATGCCAGGGTTTCAGCGATATTCCACTTACTGAGAACAAGCTGCGAGCAGGCTTACCTCTGCTTTCGAGTCGTAGTTAAATGCGTAGGTGTATTTTCCACCGCTAATCTTCGAGACCGGAGGCAATGTAGACCAGATATATCGTTCAAGAACACTGTCCTCCGCCAGCAGCTCCCCGGCGGCATCTGCCATGTTCTTACCCCGGCGCACCTCAATGGCCGCAGCGAACTCCCCGGCAGCTCGGTCTCCTTTTGCTGACAACTCCGCGACATTGGCGAGGAACGGCTCAAAGAAGTCAGTTACCGTGAAGATTGCATGCGCGCCACGGAACGCTGTTTTCAAGCTGGCCTTGTCATCGAGGTCGGCTTGAACAAGCTCTATGCCCGGGAGACGTGCGGCAAGGGCGGACGACTTGTCGGACTTGGGGTTCCGTGTCAAACCTCGAACTTTCCAGCCTAGAGAATGGAAATGGTTTGCTACAGCGCCGCCCTACAAAATGTTAGACAAAGCCCGGGGAGATTCCAATACTATAGGCTTTGAAACAGACCTGCTGTCCCGTAGCACCAACAACAGCAATTGTTTTAGAGGTCATTTTCAGATGTCGCCAGGGCACACTCTCAATAGATGATATCTTGCCAAACCCCGCCTGTTGAGTGCCAGAGTAATTACAGCGGTTCGACAATGTTTTGATCGTTGACTTATATCCCGATCTTCAATATAGGTTTACGAAGCTTCGGACGATTTCGGCCGACCTGTGGCATGAACATCTCTGACTTTCTCAGATCTATAAAACCTATCGGCATGATTTCACAGCTTAATGATTCAGCAATGAATCGTGATCAGCGTTGAATACGGTTCTATCAAGCGTCATTATTTTAGTTGGATTTGAATCACCACACTGTCAACATGTAGGCGGTGCTCTACTCTTAAGGTATACTAATAATTACACCTGCGAACAACCCCAAGGTAGAACTGTGACTTGAAAACGGCCAGTGGTCACCGACCACCGGGAGAAATCTTGAAAGCCATTCAATTCGGGTTTGGTAGACAGTCGGGGGCCGTCGATCTATCTTCATCAGCAAGGACCGTCTTGAAAAGCCCGGGACGGACTGGCTTCGGTCGGGCCAATTCTCATGCCGGAACCCGGGTGGCTCCACTCGGGAGGTCAATCGTCCCGGCCGTGGACGCCTCATCCTCACTCGGCTGCACATATTCAGCCGCCGGTAGGGCTTCAGAAAAGCTCGATGAAATCCATTGGACTCAGTTATAACGAAACCGAATACCGAGACTGCATGTCTTGTCGTGGTGGTTTTCGGTTGTTGAAAACATTGTTCTTCTGGAGATAGCCAATGAGGGGAATGCATTTCACAAGGGATTGCCTATTAGGGAAATGTCGGTGTTCAACGGACGAAACATACCGAGCATCGGCAGCATGACTCGAAATCGTACGGTGCCATGTGCCGGTATTGATAAAATTGCTGAGGTGACAGAGACCACTGTTTATTTGAGATCCTCTTTCGGCCCGCTACTTTTCGCACGAAGTGAGTGCTCAGGGCTCATCAGACATGTACCAGTCACCGAGCTTGTCAAACAGAGAAGATCAAACAAACAGAAATATGCATCGGCGACTTCAATCTTCTCGTAACTAGAGCGATCTGAGGCTTCTTCAGTAGCGTAGTCTCATTAGTGCCTTTGACTCAAGATTTCAGAGCTCAGCAGTTTCGAGGCTTGTGTGCCTACGCTGGTTCCAAGGCGATAGTTGCATCGCATTTGGTTGCCACGTGAAAAGAGTTCTGCGCCTGGTCTTCGCCACACATAAAGTGCCATTTTCGTCCCTTAGTGTTAGGCGGTTATGTGTGATTTCGTGATAGGCTCGAGACCTAAGGTACGCTACTATGATAAATTAGAAGCTTTTGTCAATCTGCAGGTGTACCTATGGTAACGCTTTAGGGAGGGTGTGTCGCCATTCACTTTGGACTCTTGTTTCAACCTCAAATGAGCCCTAGAGTGCGTTGCTTAATTTCGAGAGAATATAGTACTATAAGATGGCACGGTCGCGGAAGACCAAAAGGTCGCTGCATTTCACTGCATTTTTAGTGGCAGCCGAGTGTTCTTCCGTGCCTCAGTACATGAGCATTGGTGGGCAATGTAAGCTGCAGACCACGTCGATGGATTTTTCATTATAAAGCTCCAAGTTCTCTCGATACTTCTATTCCCAGCTTTCCAAAATGCCATCAATACCTCTATTACCTGAATGTACTTATCATCGAATTTGTTTCTTGTGATAGGTATTGGACACTGTTGGAGAGTGATAATTACCACATATCTGTCTGCTGTGCCCTAGTATTACAAGCTTGAACCACTGTTTAGCCCTTAAAACAGAGCTCTCGTAACTACGTAACCGCCACACCGTACTAGTAGACTTCATTACCATCTCGTTATCTGACGACAGCAATTTAGACTTGAACAAGTTCTCGGACAAGTTGAAGAGTAATGTCTATTTAGGGGCATTCTAGCGCGTAGTGACTAGCGCTTAGACCCCTGTGCTACCGCCTGAAAGTGGGCAACTCTAACTCTTCCCTGTGCAACTTGCGGGGAGGCTTGCCGCACACCTTCAAGGAGCTTCAATCCAGCCACGCGATACGCATACCCTTGTATCCAACACGCTCAATCTCCGCCCGACCCAACGATACAGCCATTCCGATCCTGGCGACGTATTGCAACATTCGTAGGAGTCTCCTGTGACGACGATCATTGACCCCGAGCGCGCCATGAACGGGATGAACGGCGGGCAGATGCCCGCGATGGTCGGCTTCCCAACGCCAGCCGGCCACCAGGCGGAGCTCACCTACATCTATGGGATGGTCGAGGAGCTGAGCAGGCAGCTTGCAGAGAACAAGCGCGTGCTCGAGGACGTGGTAGCGGGCGTCGGTCGCGTACGGAGTCGCGCGAGAGCGCAGTCGCTGGGGAACGAGGAGCTAATAGCGTCGGCAAGCGACGACATCAACTGTGAGTCTCACCACGATCATCAGAACCATTTCATGGGGAGTACGCAGTAGCTAATGCATGATTGTTCCTACAGCACAAGAAGGGAACATGGACACCCTCATATCCCTCCTTTCCGAAGCCCTCGAGAAAGCGAAATACAGTCGCGACGCAAACGCCGCCCTCCTCACACAGTACGCCTCAGTGATCGCGACGATGCTGAAGCAGTTCCACGAATACAAATCAAAACACGTGACGGACGTCAACACCTGGCATCGTAGCTACCGAGCGCAGCTGGCGGAGGCGCGGGCGGAGAACAGCAGACTGCGCGAGCAGATCTGGGAGATGCAGCAACACGCGGGCAAGGCGAACGAGAACCTACGGCGCTTTCGTACAAAGTATGATGAGGACGAGGCGCGGTGGGAGAAGCGGGTGGATATGAAGTCGATACGCCAGGAACTGCGGTTCTGGAAGAGGCTAGCCATGCCGGAGATGGCGGACGATGACCCGTACTGGAGCGATGACGATGATCTAATAGATCCAGCAGAGAAGGATAGGTTGCGTGATCTACGGGACATGGAAAAGAAAGCAGCTCAGGATCAACTTGCAGGTGCTGGGGTTGCTCTAGGTGATCAGCAGCCTGGTGGTGAGGAGCAGGATGCTTCACAACTGCAACAAGCGCAGACTGCAAATCTGCTGGGAGGTACGCCAATGCAGCGGGACGACGGTAGCGGGATGACGCTTTCTCAAGCGGGGGAAAAGTTTCGTACCGATGCACCACCACGGCCACTATCAGACTGAGGTACGGATTCGTCGGGAGAGTGAGCCGCGGGAAATGTATTGTGGCTGGTGGTATTGATATTCCCAATCATAGATGAGTTACGACAGACACCTTATTCATAGATATAAATGTATTAGTACTTGAGAATGAAACCGAAGTAATAGAGCCACCCTTCCGCTTTCGCCGTGAACAATCTGAATGTAAACAACTCCCAGAAAACGCCATACACAGGAAACCTCAATCTCCAATACAAAGTATTAGTCGAAAGGGCAAAGTTACCACTTATGAAACCCCGAAGCCATTATGATTACCTTTACTTCTTCTAGGACTACATCCGGTCCTATACAATTATTTGCTCCGCTTCTAACAACGCTTCTTTCAGGGGAAATTAAGCCGATGAGACCTCTACAAGATCCTCCTTCCCTCTTAGGCCGGTGTTGAGGTCAATGTCAGGAAGGGGAACTAGCCATGTTTGGGCGTTTCCTCGACGACGTTGATAGAAGTGGTAGCCCAGCCACAAAATCACGATTCCAAAGAAACCGAAGATGTTACGAACGATTGCCTCTGCGTCGTACTTGTGTGAGAGTGGCCAGAACGCGGTGATGACGGGTGCTGCTACACCCACAACGCAGATGGCGAGGCCGAGCCATGATCCCCATGTGCCGAAAGGATTGCGCCACACAAGGTCGCGAGTCTCACGACCCTGTGCCTTCATGGCTTGTCGAAGGCGAATCTGACTGACAAGAATGGAGCCCCAGGTGAAGTAGTTAGACAGCCCGGCAATCGACAGCAACCAAAGAAACATCTTGTTCCCGTAAGGAGCGCCTGCGACAAAAGCCAGGCATCCGAAGGCGATAGCAACAACAACCGCATACACGGGTAAGCCTTTAAACTTGACGACCTTTGCGAAGATACGTGGACCCATGCCTTTCGCACAGAGTGCCTGAAGCGCTCTGCTGGACGCATAGATAGAGGTGTTCGCCATGGACATGACTGCGACGATGATGACTACCTTATAGAATGTGGACAGCTTGGGCAGGTTTGCCAATTCCATAGCCCTGACGAAGGGGCTGATGTTGGCACCATGCTTCTTGAACTCGGCGAAAGAGGAGTCATTCGCTGGCACAACAAAGCCTGCCATGAGAAGTGTACCAACGCAGAGAATGAGAATCCGCACGAAGGATAGCTTTACCGCGATAGGCATCATCCTTCGTGGATTACGGCATTCAGCCACGGTGAGACCGAGGACTTCAGACCCGCCGTATGATATACCGGCAATGCTGAAGACGACCATAAATCCTTGGAACCCATTCAAGAATGCGCCTGGGTCGTGCCAGAACCTCCCACCAACTGCGCCTCTGCAACAATTATCGTCAGCTAGAGGAACAAGAAGCAACAACGGTGGTAGATAATGAGAAAAAAAAGGGAAAACTTACCGAGGGTCTCCAGGAATGCCTCGAGTGATGATGACGATAGCAATGAATATGAACATCGTCAGAGCAAGTGCCTTCACAAGACCTGCCCAGTGTTCGACTTCCGCAAACATCTTGGCACCCAGCAAGCCCACGACACTGAGTCCAAAAAGGAAGCACGCAACGAACACGGCAACATTGATATCTGGAGCAAAGTTCTGTAATTTGATGGCGAGAATGGTCAGTTCGAACGGTAGGATGATGAGCCAATTGATAACAAAGTTCCAGCCCATGGCAAAGCCCCATGCCGGGCTAATGAAGCGAACCGAATAGTCATAGAATGCTCCATTGACGGGATAGCTTGTCGAGGTTTCGCCGACAGCGCCCATGACGAGGATAACCATGAGACCGCAGATACCATAACCGAGGACGGTGGATCCAGGACCAGCTTGACCCAAAGCAATGCCTGACGCGACGAGAATACCAGCGCCAATTGAGCTACCCATGGCCATGCAACATAGCTGCCTCAAGCTGATATCACGATGCAGCTGGTTCTGTTGCTCCATGTTGGAGTTGGTGCTAGCTCTCCGTAGATCTGTGACTGGATGGGGCTTGGAGTCGCTGCCTGGCGAGGCGCTCTCGGTGACTTCATTATCTGCCATGATGACCAGAGCGTAGAGCCAGGTCTTGAAAGAGTTGGCCTCGTAAGAAATAGAAATAAGGCCTACTGTCCAAGACCGAGCGAAGAGAATGGATGTAGGGAACAGAGGATTTCAGGAAGACGAAAAAAAGAAACTCGGCAAACGACACAGCAGAGGTGAAGAGAGAACAAGAACGGGCGAGAGAAGATGGAGAAGGAGAGGGAGAGGTCTGAAGAGGAGGCTTGGAGCTTAATGTATTGGGAAGGTGCTCATGGGGGCAGCAAGATCAACTCAACTCAATTGAGACATTCCGTATCCTTGGGACTGATTCTTTTTTCTAATACATGTGATCAATGCCTTCCCTTTTACAGCTACTGATAAGAAAAGCCACGGGAACCTGAAAGAGTGTGTCTGGTACAACTGGAGTAGATCTGTGAGATCCGCGGGAAGGTTCAACCTTCAACTCTTTCAGTATCCACTCTGCTCTTCCCGAAAGTCTGACTTCGCAGCCTCCCCCGCATCCTTGATAGCTTGATCATCACCTCGAAGCTTTGCAAAATACTCCTTGATATCCTCGGCACCAATAGCCTTTCCACTCTCGGCAAATTGTTGGAAAAAAGGTTTAAGCTGCTCCTTCAAGTGGTTGTACGCCATAACCCCTTCGATGGCTCGCACTCGATCGACATTCTTCAACGCACTCTCGCCTCGCTCGAGGAGACTGCCACTGCCATGTGTTGAAGCAGCATTCTCGGAGCCATCATTGGACAGTGGTGGTTCATACACTTCTTCCTCTTCTAGCAGCTGTGGATGAGGCTTGAGAAGCGGGAAACATGAAGAACAGCGGCAGAAATGGTCTCTAAAACTGGATTTGCAGAATAGAGAAAAGTGTCCTTCTGGTGCAGAGGGCAGCTCATCAAGCTTGCATGTTGTCGTTGACGGAGGGGGCGTTTGGTTCCCCAATGAATCGCCCGCCTCACCCTTTTGGCGTTTCGCATCCTGCGGCTCTGATGATTCCATTTCATCCGCTTTCCGCTTCTTGAGCACATTCTCGCCCTGCCCAGGCTGTGACGGTTGCTGTATTTGCCCCACGGGGGCGGCGTCAGGAGCATTGTCTGGTTGCAGATAGACAGGAGGCAAGAAGCCAGGCGTGCCCGCGTATTTCTTGATCCATGGATGTGCTTCGACGCATTTGTAGCATATGAACGTCTCGAAGTCATCATCAGCAGGAAATCCTGGGGGAGGCGGCGGATCATCGTCGGCCTCTTCGCCACCTTCAACAGGGTCCGGCGCATTTGGAGCATTCTCGGCATCTTCTGAGATTGTAGCCAGCTCTCCCGATGTAGTAACGCCGTGAATTTTGCCATTTGTAGGTTTCTTCTCGCTCTTCTCGAACCATTTCGGTCCAAGACCCACTACGCAACCAGGATGGTACCAGTCCTCACCACAACCGCCAGATTCGTGAGTGCCCAACCCCAAGCACTGGAACATCGTTCCTTCTTGCTGGAATGGGTCATAGTCACATGAACATGAGCAAAATCTGTTACGGAAGTTTTGATTGTATTTGTTGTTCGGGTCAGGCGTCTCGGAATGAACTCCGCCTTTGGTATTGGTCTCGGGATTGATGCGCAAGGTGCATGGATCCGTAGCCGGGAAACGGGTCGTGCCGCAATCGCAGGTGAAGTTGCGCTTGGTAAAGATTTCCACTAGAGTATGCTCTCCGTGGCACTGAATGGAACACGAGTAACATACGCCCGCGGCTTTGTATGGATCGGCGACGTTCGCTGGTGGTGGGTTGCAAGTGAGACATGCGAAGACGCTCTGCCTAAGAGGCCCCAGTGGTTTTGTGCAATTATCAATGCTCTGGGACAAGTTAGCAAAATGGGATTCTATAGACTAGCTTTGTGTAGTCGCAAATGATGGTGAGGTTCGGCGACGGAGCGTACTCACGTAGGGGAGCGCTTCTCTCGCATCAGCTTCCAGTTGCATCTGATCCCGAATAAAGCTGAGTCTAGTTAGCAAAAGCCCAGTATAAATTCCAGGAACACGAACTCGGCTGCAGTTTGGGAGTCATCTGATTGTTGAGAAGAGCTGCCTCGTCGAGCCAGCGTCGGTGTTGGTGCCGTCGCATCGGCATCACCAACTACGTCAGGGACCGGGGGGGCGTCCATGCTGAGGATGAGGTGAGAATGATATGGCGCTTGTCGAGAATCAAATCGAAGTGCTGACTACTAGAAGTACAGTGCCGGATGATCGCACGATGGAAGTGAGGAAAATGATGATTGCAAGTAGATCTTGCGCGACAAGTGAAATCATTCGAAATGCTACGAGAGTCGCGCTGAGCTTACCTTTGCGCGCAGTCAGTAAGATACCCTAGACAGGAGTTGGTGGTGGCGTAGGAAGGGGTCCTGATGGTGGTCCAAGCTTCCCAGCAGGCGCCCCCAGGCCCCGGGCAAGAAATCAATTAACGCGTCCGCCACAAGAGGCCTAGTGCGACGGGTCAAACGCGCTCAAGACGCGACTCGCATTTTAATGGGCACTCAAGACACCAGAAGCCATCCCTCGCCCCTATCCACATCCCACCCCAATTTGAAAGCGACATTTCGACTCTACCTCTACACTTTTTTTCATCCAGAGAGACAAATTCTTACCGTCATCAACTGCAGAACAGTAAAGAGAAGTAAATATTACGAAGATGAGGTATGTATCTCTATCAAGCTACTTCATCAAGCATAGCCATTTCAGACGTCAGGCACTAACCCCTCCCTTCACAGCTCTCCTCTTCGAAGCAATCCCGCTTCTGCGAACCGTGGACTTGCTCCTCGAGCAAGCCGAAAACGCTCTCGCGGCGGCGATGATGCCACCTCTTCAGTTGCAGCTGCCTCAAGCCCTATGGCCTCATCCCCACCAGCCTTCAACATTGCACATGGAGGCGACGATGATGAGGATATCGAAGAGGACGTCGAGATCCAGGATGATCTCGATGATCTCGATGAAATGGCAGAGGACGACGTCGATCTCTTTCGCGAGGGCTTCGAGCGAGATTACAGAGAAAAGGACGCCAACGACACATACGAGGGCTTGGACCTCGATGACGAGGGCGATTATGATGCCATGGATCTTGGTGATAGGCGTGTTCTCGAATCTCAGTTGAATCGCAGAGATCGAGAGGTCGCCCGTAGACAGCGTATGCCCAGAGTTTTCCTCCCCGGCGAGGACGAAGATGGAGATATTGACCAGCTGACGACTCAACCTCGTCGTCGACGACACCACTACGATGAGGATCCCGATGAGGACATGGATGCCGACATTATGGCCGAAGAGCTCTCCCTAGAGGCACTTCAGGACGTCAAATCATCCAGTCTGACCGATTGGGTTTCTCAGCAAGCTGTTCAGCGAACCATCAAGCGCGAGTTCAAGGCTTTCCTCACAGAGTACATTGACGACAGCGGCTCATCAGTGTACGGAAACCGCATTAGAACTCTTGGTGAGATCAATGCAGAGTCCCTAGAGGTGTCCTACGACCATCTGTCATCCTCAAAAGCTATTCTTGCCTACTTCCTTGCAAATGCCCCGGCGGAGATGCTGAAGCTTTTCGATGAAGTGGCCATGGATGTCGTGCTCCTCCATTACCCCGACTATGAACGTATTCACTCTGAGATTCACGTCCGCATTTTCGACTTGCCCGTTCATTACACCCTACGACAGCTCCGTCAATCCCACCTCAACTGCCTTGTCCGAGTCAGTGGTGTTGTCACCCGACGTTCGGGTGTGTTCCCTCAGCTGAAATACGTCAAATTTGATTGCACCAAGTGCGGTGTCACACTGGGTCCTTTCCAGCAGGAGTCGAATGTCGAAGTCAAGATGACATACTGCCAAAATTGCCAGTCTCGGGGTCCCTTCACTCTGAACTCTGAGAAGACCGTGTACCGAAATTACCAGAAGCTCACACTCCAGGAATCTCCTGGTACTGTGCCAGCTGGTCGTCTTCCTCGTCACAGAGAAGTCATTCTTCTCTGGGATTTGATTGACAAGGCCAAGCCGGGTGAGGAGATTGAGGTCACTGGCATTTACAGGAATAATTACGATGCCCAACTTAACAATCGCAATGGTTTCCCTGTCTTCGCTACCATTCTTGAGGCGAACAATGTCGTCAAGGCGCACGATCAATTGGCAGGCTTTAGGCTCACGGAAGAGGATGAGCAGAAAATCCGCAAGCTTTCTCGTGACCCACAGATCGTCGACAAAATCATCAGCTCTATTGCACCCAGCATCTACGGCCACACAGACATCAAGACTGCAGTGGCGTTGTCACTCTTTGGTGGTGTCGCCAAAAATACCAAGGGTGCCCATCACGTTCGTGGAGACATCAACGTCCTTCTCCTCGGTGACCCCGGAACCGCAAAGTCCCAAGTCCTCAAGTATGTCGAGAAGACTGCTCACCGTGCTGTCTTCGCGACTGGTCAAGGTGCCAGTGCCGTTGGTCTGACGGCTAGTGTCCGTCGAGACCCCTTGACGAGCGAGTGGACTCTTGAGGGTGGTGCGCTCGTCCTCGCAGACAAGGGTACCTGCCTGATTGATGAGTTCGACAAGATGAACGACCAAGACCGAACATCCATCCACGAAGCTATGGAGCAGCAGACAATCTCTATTTCCAAGGCTGGTATTGTCACAACTCTACAGGCTCGCTGTGGTATTATTGCTGCAGCCAATCCTATCGGAGGACGATATAACTCAACCATCCCGTTCTCGGCCAACGTTCAGTTGACGGAGCCTATCCTGTCTCGTTTCGACATCCTGTGCGTTGTGCGGGACACCGTCGACCCATCTGAGGACGAGCGTCTTGCTCGCTTTATTGTTGGGTCACACAGCCGCAGTCACCCGTCGAGTAACAGTCAGCCGGGAGAGGAGTCGATGGAAGTCGAGCCTGATTCCGAGCGAGCTGAGACCCAGGCAACAGAAGCCAGCACGTCTCGCACCAAGGAGGGCGAAGTACCACAAGAGCTTCTCCGCAAGTACATACTCTATGCCCGCGAGCGCTGCTCGCCCAAGCTGTACCATATGGATGAGGACAAGGTTGCCCGCCTCTTTGCCGACATGCGAAGAGAGAGTTTGGCTACCGGTGCTTATCCCATTACCGTAAGTTTTTCATCAAAATTCACGTTTGATTCGTTTTTTTGCTGATCTTTGTTCTTGTAGGTACGTCATCTGGAAGCCATTATTCGTATCAGCGAAGCCTTCTGCCGCATGCGTCTCTCCGAGTACTGCACGGCACAAGATATTGACCGTGCCATTGCTGTAACGGTTGATAGCTTTGTTGGCAGCCAGAAGGTCAGCTGCAAGAAGGCACTCGCCCGTGCATTTGCCAAGTATACGCTGGCCCGGCCAGGTGCTGGACAACGGAAGACTGGCGCGGCCGGCCGAGGTGGACGTGCGGCGGCTGTGATGGCATGAGTATAATATATTGCTTGCTTGTTACCTGCACGCGGGAGTTTCGGCTTAGGGATACATGTTCACGGTTTGCTTTCCTTCGGTTTTCGGCACGATGTGTAGGCAGAGATGCCCAATGAGAGTATGTATGTGAGGCCTGGAATTCAGAGTTGGTCCGACGGGTGTAATGAATAGGAATTTGGAGACTGCAACTCTCCTGCATAGCTGTAAGCATTAAGACCAAAAAGAAACAGTTTAGACATGCACCCTCTATGTGAGCCCTATGCATTTGTGCCTTATCCAGGCACGAACAATCTCCAACATGCAAAGAGGCAAGCGATACTCCCCGGGCAAAGCGAACAAGACAGACAGACTGCAGACCCCAATAGCCCGAATGAGGCAATGGGAGCCTCCACGGGGACGGTCGAGTGACCATCCCCACAGCCCCGCGTCTGCCAGGGAAACGCTGCCGTCTGCCATGCAATGGACAGGAGATCCCAAGCCAAGCCTCGTTCTCCTTTCTCAAGCTACTGCGTAGTCGAGGTACCAGAGGGCGGAACACCGGGCAGAAGATCCAGCATTTAGCGTCCTTTCGCACGCGCACCATTGGCCACCGCTAGCAGCGGTAGAAGTTCGGAAGCTGGATAATCTTCGGAGGGCCTAAACGCCATGACTCCCCGGGCCCTGCGTCCTGCCTGCGTCCTGCCTCGCTCGGAACGGCCAAAACAGCTGGTCTTGCTTATTCCTCGTTTGTTTGAGAAATAGTGCAGTGGTGAAGCTCCCGTGGGCGGAGCGTCTCGCCGCGTCAGGGCAAGCGAAGCGGTTCTCGGACCCGCATACATCGTATACTCCGGACACACGCGGTCTGCTCGCATAGAGGAAAGCAGACACTGGGGCACACACTCCACATCGCATTATATACACATGATTCCATATGTGCGTAGGGCCAGTTGGCGGCGGGGTTGGGTATAAGTCGCACCCTGCCCCGGACTTGTAGGTCGATTCTCTCCAGACTCAAGTTGAACTGTTTCTCTTGTTCAACTCCTTCTTGCTGTCCTCTCCTAGCTCTTACTGGTCTGTATCTATTATCGTGTGATTGCTATCAATTGATAGCTCCTCAGCGTCGTCATGGCGGACATCAATGTGGAGCAGGTGTTGAAGAAGCTCACCACCAAGGAGAAAGTCGCCCTGACGGCTGGTAAGCTGACGTCTCTTCCTTCTTCCCAAACACAACTGACCATTTCCCAGGAATTGACTTCTGGCACACGGCCGCCATCCCGGAGCATGGCATTCCGTCTCTGCGCCTGTCAGACGGCCCCAATGGCGTCCGCGGCACCAAGTTCTTTCAGGGCACCAAGGCCGCCTGCTTCCCCTGCGGCACCGGTCTCGGCGCCACCTTCAACCTGCCTCTGCTGCTCGAGGCCGGCAAGAAGATGGGTGCTGAGGCCAAGAGCAAGAGCGCCCATGTAATCCTAGGGCCCACCATCAATATGCAGCGCTCGCCCCTAGGCGGCCGCGGCTTCGAGTCGCTCGGCGAGGACCCGGTTCTCGCGGGTCTCGGCGCGGCGGCCCTCATCAACGGCATCCAGAGCACCGGCATCCAGGCGACGCTGAAGCACTTTGTGTGCAACGACCAGGAGCACCGCCGGAATGCTGTACAGGCCATTGTTACCGATCGGGCGCTGCGTGAGATCTATACCCTGCCGTTCCAGCTCGCTGTGCGGGACAGTAGCCCGGGATCCTTCATGACCTCGTATAATGGCATCAATGGCACCTATTGCAGCGAGAACAAGGAGCTGCTGGACGGCATCCTGCGCAAGGAGTGGGGCTGGGACGGCATGATTATGAGTGATTGGTATGGCACATACACTACCTCGCAAGCGGCCCTCGCCGGTCTGGACTTGGAAATGCCAGGCCCGCCGCGATTCAGGGGTGACTTGCTTAACTTCGCCGTGGGCACAGACAAGGTCCGCGAGCATATCCTCGACGAGCGTGCCAGGGCCATGCTCAAGTTCATCAAGAAGTGCGCGGCATCGGGCGTTCCTGAGAATGGGCCGGAGAAGGCAGAGAACACCCCCGAGACTGCTGAGCTGCTGCGGAGAATTGGTGCCGAGTCGCTGGTTCTGCTCAAGAACGAGGGAGATGTTCTTCCGCTAAAGAAAGATAAGAAGGTTTGTGACATCTCTGATGCGAGATTCAGAAACCCCTTGCTGACAGCTTCTAGACTGTTGTCATTGGTCCTAACGCCAAGATTGCAACATATCACGGAGGTGGATCGGCTTCTCTGGCAGCTTTCTATGCGATTACGCCATTTGATGGTATCAGTGAGAAGCTCAGCTCAGCTCCCGAATGGGCTGTTGGCTCTTACTCACACAAGATGTTACCTCTCCTGGGATATTCCGTAACGTCTCTATCCGGCACACCAGGCATGACCATGAGGGCCTACAACGAGCACCCCAGCGTCGCCAACCGCGAAGCAACCGACGACATTGTCATCGACAAGACAGATCTGCTACTCGTGGATTACTACAACCCTAAGCTCAAGTCCGCAACCTGGTACGCCGACTTTGATGGTTCGTTCGTCGCTGATGAGGACTGCACTTGGGACTTGTCTCTCGTTGTGTGCGGTACGGCTAAGCTGTACGTCAACGGCGAGCTCCTTGTCGATAACGAGACTAAGCAGACACCCGGTAATGCCTTCTTCGGCACTGGCACCGTGGAAGAGAAGGGCCAGCTGAAAGTGAAGAAAGGCGAGACTTACAACTTCAAGGTGCAGTTCGGCTCCTCAGCGACATCCAAACTCCCTGGAGCGCTCGACCTCGCTGGCGGCGGCGCGCTGCGCATTGGTGGTTGCAAGGTGATCGATGAGAAGAAGGAGATTGCCCACGCGGCGGCTATAGCTAAGGACGCCGATCAGGTCATCATCTGCGCTGGTCTTAACGCAGACTGGGAGACGGAGGGATCAGACCGAGACGGCATGGACCTGCCGCCGCCAATGGACGACTTGATCGCGGCCGTGGCTGCCGCCAACCCGAAGACGGTGGTGGTCATGCAGTCCGGCACCCCGGTCCACATGCCGTGGGTGAACTCCGTGGCAGCCATCGTCCAGGCGTGGTACGGCGGCAACGAGACCGGAAATGCCATTGCCGACATCCTATTCGGCGACGTCAACCCCTCAGGCAAGCTCAGCTTGAGCTTCCCCATCCGCGTGCAGGACAACCCGGCCTTCCTGAACTTCCGCGCTGAGGGTGGGCGCACAATCTATGGTGAGGACATCTACATCGGATACCGATACTACGAGTTTGCGGACCGGAAAGTCCTGTTCCCCTTCGGTCACGGTCTCAGCTACACCCAATTTGAGTTTAGCGGACTATCCGTATCGGACAAAGATGGTAAGATCACAGTCAAGGTTACGGTTAAGAACACTGGCAAGGTCAAGGGCGCCGAGGTTGTCCAGGTATACGTGGAGCCGAAGCAGAAGGCCAAGGTAAACCGGCCGATCAAGGAGCTCAAGGGCTTTACCAAGGTCGCCCTAGAGGCAGGCGAAAGCAAGGAGGTTAGCGTCGAGGTCGAGACAAAGTATGCCGCGAGCTATTGGGACGAGGACCGGTCACAGTGGTGTGTGGAAGAGGGTAAGTACGATGTCATCGTGAGCAACAGCAGCGAGGTCAAGGAGGGCAAGGCGCTCCGCGGCTCAATCACTGTACCCGAGACTTTCTGGTGGAAGGGGCTGTAAATTAACGGGAAAGACAAAAGTTCTCAGATTACGAAGAATATAGAAATGATAATGTCAAAGCGTTTATGCATTCGGCTTTATGCATCCGGTGGCTTGAGGTTAGATTTGCAACATTGTGGCTCGATGCACGACTGCTGGAAACTTCGATAAGCTGTGTCCGACCACCGCGGGGAGGTTATATATCATTTGGTTCAGATCAGTCGCCCAAGAAAAATGATAGTTGAAAATAGCACCCAGTACTGAAAAGCCTTGTACTCATTCCTTCCCGTCCCCCTTTCCTTCGTTCGGGTTCTCCCCTTCGAGAAACTGGGTCCTCTCCTCGATCCACTTTGCTTTCCCGTCTTCCCCAATCTCCCCCATAGCCATGTTGTATACATTGGTCTTAGACCCGTCTTTCATGTCGGCGTGTGTTGTATGCAAAGAAGCAAACAACTTGCCGTCGGTGACCCAGTGATGTACAGTGAGGTCGACACGGGTGACAACATCTGTTATGTTCTTCACGTAGGCGAGGAACTCATCCCAATTCATGCGGTTCTTGTCCGCTGTGACAACTACATCCTTGTTGTAAAGTTGCAAGAATGCCTCTTCTCGATCTGACTCGGGACAATTAAAAGCATGGACGATCGCTGCAGCCCAAGTGGCGCTATCGGAGTAAACCCCTGAAGTCATGGCAACTTGATTTGATGACTTGGAAAAGTATTAGAGTTATCAAGGTAAATGAAGGCTTTTCGATGATGCTCCGTTTTCAAGTTACGACACCCATCACAACAGAACCTCACGACCTTACATATCTGTCTTAGGGGAGCTTCATGAAAACTTCATGAAAGCTTCACGAGAACACCTAGCGACCTGAACTTTCGGTTCAAGCTGCCTAATTTCGAAGGTGACGAGTCCGCTCACGATAGCTTTGGAGGTGACGTACCCCGAGAGCGCGTCATATCAGGGCTGTCAGCACGGCTTATAGCATTGATCCGATCATCTAATTAGAGTGATTATTTGCCCGATCTTACAGTTTAGACCAGCACAAAACGTGGCCATATGCAACTTCGAATGATTGATATCAAACCATTTCTCTTGATGAAGGACCATCAGAATATATCTTCAGGAACCTTGGTAGCATAGTTGAGTGGAACCCCGCAAATCAATAGACTTTACACGCTGGATGTCTAACAGGATACGTAGTTGTTAGAAGATTATGAACTTGAGACCGCATATTGCACCCTGTAAAATTTCTTCACAAGGGTAATAAATACTAGTTTCTCAATAATAGCATAGCCTTCTTAGTCAGGAATTGCCATCTTCATATGATTTAGTGAGGCTTTATCAATCATCGTAATTTTGAGTATTCAACAAGCATCGTGACTCTTGTCCTTTGAAGAGTGTTACATTGGTATCAGGACTAAGACAGCGTGCATTGACCACTTCTGCTCCCCAGGGATGGCCAAAGGAGTGGGCGGAGGGATCAACGATGTGCCGGTGGGGTCATTTCTGCGGGATTGGGCCCACTGAAATTTCTGGTCGATAACACGATAACGATTTTGCGATAAGATTTTCAACACCGCCGCCGAACTTTTCCATCACAAGGAACTGACAGACAAGTTGCAGCAGCAAAGTGCGCTGCCCTCAGCTGTGAAGATGAGGTATGCTTCTCAATGCACATATTTTTCTTATCTTTGTACTAACAGTCCACAGGATCGAGACTTGTTTTTTCTGCGGTAGGCCATCCTACCCGTCAAAGGGCATTACTTTTGTCCGAAACGATGGTGCGTACCTCAATGACAAGCAAAATTGCTGCTGCTCTACCACGATCCATGTACTAAGTTAGGATCTGCTCAGGCAAATCATTCAGATTCTGCCGGTCAAAATGTCACCGGAATTTCAAGATGAAGCGTAATCCTCGCAAGCTCAAGTGGACGAAGGCCTACCGCAAGAACGCCGGCAAGGAGATGGTTGTCGACAGCACATTGCTCTTCGCCGCCCGCCGAAACGTGCCCGTACGCTACAACCGTGAGCTCATCCAGAAGACACTCAAGGCCATGGAGCGCATCGGCGAGATCCGGTCACGGAGGGAGCGCGTCTTCTACAAGAAGCGCATGGCTGGCAAGCGTGAGCGCGAGCTCGCCACGGCCAGGAAGCTGGTCGCCGAGAACGAGCACCTACTACCCCGTCTTCGTGGTAGCGAGAAGAAGAGATTGGCCGAGCTGGAGGGTGCGGACCGTGAGCGTGAGGAAGAAGCCATTGCCCGCAAGTCGAAGAAGACCAAGGCGTTTGGCGGTGAGACGAGGAGAGTCAGAGTCCTGGTGGATGGAGGCATCGAGGAGGTCACAGAGAGGACAGAAGGTCAAATCTATGGCGAGGATGACGAGGACGACGACGATGAGGAAGACGATGATGATGAGATGGATATGGACTGAGTGTTCAGTTCTAATTTGTCATTTTGGCGTTCATAGACATGCATTGCTCATGGGTTTGTTTCTACCTAAAATCTTACATACCTTTCGCCCAAGAATGCTCATCTGACCTTGGTGTCCTAACAACCTTTGAACTTCCGTATTGTCACCCAACGAGCTCGCTATTGGGGGTGTACTACAGCTTTAGAATAAATACGCCGTCAATAGGGTCGAGAAAATTAAACAGAGGTCCGACGAAATCGAAATAAACCTGCTACAAATTCAATGCCATTTTGGAGGATTTGGGAGTATCGTGCAATCATCTGAAGTAATTGAGCGTCCCATTGTCTCCCTCCTCCTTCAACTTGTCTGACCGGTTCTATGAAAGACATAAACCTGGTTTAAGGATTTTAGCGCTCGGCGCCTAGATGGCCAACAACCCCCACTGTATCCCTTCCTAGGTACTGTACGACTCTTAGCCCCACGGCACTTAACGCGTCCCAGCGCATACATGCCCAGTCGCGGTCTCATTCAACCTAAATACAGCAGATAGCCATACAAGTCAACAAGATATTCCAATTTATTGTGTCATCGTCTCCGTCTACAACCCGGTCATTATGGCGCCAGAATCGACCGTTTTAGGCCTTAAACAATCCTTTCTTACGACGCAGACACGCCTCCTGTCACAACCTCTGGCTCCATCGCGGTCATGGCACAAGACAAATGATGCAGCAGAGGATGGCTTACCCGAGAAAGCTGTAGAGGATGCGCTTGTTCGTCTAAACCACATCCTGCAACAGCATTCTCGTCGAGTCTATGCTCCACAGGCGACGAGGCACGTCGCTGAGCAGATCGACCGGCTGTACTGGAATGCTGGCGAGCGAGCGATCGCGAGGGACGGCGAGGCTGATGCCGAGGGCTTGAGTGTTGGGGCTGACTATGGTATTGTTGACGTGCTCCTTTGATCACATCTACGGGATCCTTGACTAACTATCCCATCAGCAAGCCCAGAGACTATTGCCTCTCTACCGCCAGCGTGGGACTCGGAGCGCGATTCCACTGCGAACCCCATGGAGGCCAGGCGGTACGCCGATCTTGTAGTGCATCTGCAATCTTTGGCAGCGCGCAAAGAAGAAGCCGAGGCGCGTGTACAGCGCCTTCGGCGCATGCAAGGCATGCTTGCACCTTTTCAAGAGCCTCGGGGGCAAGAGGGCGAAAGCAGCTCAGGGAGCGTGCAAGAGAACCTTGTCACGCGCGGCGGCGAGGTTGAGAAGGAACTAGAGCGCATGCGGATGCTTCTGGCGCGAGTAGGCGATCGCGTCGCGCGAATGAAGGATCATCAAGCTGAGTTTGAACCGGATAAGCTCAATGACCCGGATCACATGGTCATCGACGAGGTAGAGGCTCAGGAACGAAAGAAGGTGGATGATCTCCTCGATTCGTTTTGATCGGCATGTTTGATAGTAGAAGGTCTCTATTCCTCAGAGTTGTGCAATTTTACATTTGGCGTGATGGCTCGGTTTGGCACTGGATATGGAGATACCCGTTCGGCACTAGGTTATGAAACAGAAATGAGTTTTCATTATTGCAAAGAGGTTCGCGATGAGTCGAGTTAAATTGCTACTATTTCTCATGTGCTCCTGACTGTGAGGGGTATCCCAATTATGTCCTACCACGCCTTGCTTAAACATTCATAAACATCATGATGTCCGACGAAATAAACACACTGCCATTATTCCATGACAGCTTCGTCGTGCGCTGTCTTTTCTTGTTCCGCCTCCTTTCTGACGGCCTCAACCTTGGCGTCGACTGTTTCCGTCGCCTCCTGAGTCTGGATCTCTGGTTCTTTGCCGTCAATCTTCTCGGCTTCGTCTTCCGGCAGAATGCCCGTCTTCTTCTCGGCCTCTTCGGCATCTAATGTTGCGTCTTTGGCGGAGTCGTCCACGTCTAATACCTTGCTTTCGTTACCTTCGTCTTCTTTCTTACCCTTGACTTCATCCTCGTCGTCATCAGCGTATGGGTTCGGACGCTCCACTCTCAAAGTGACAGTCTCCTTGTCCTTATCTTCGTCTGCCACCTTGTAGTATAGTCGTAAGCCGACAACAATGACAGCATTCCAGGGGTCTTTCTCAAATTCGTCTTCTTCCTGAACGGGAGGAACAGCCGATGGCGGAGGCGGCAAAATCGGTAATGAGCTCACTATGCGCTTGTTCTGCTCCATCTGGATGTCGAGTTCTCGATCCGATATCTCAGAGACACTTGAGATACTACGAAGGTCATCGTCTGTATCGGAGTCAGAATCGAGATCACCGGGATGACGTGGTCGAAGTCCAGGTGGACCAGGTGGGAAAGGACTTCGTGATCGATCACTCATTGGCGATTCAATGCCGACAGCAGTCTGAACAGCCTGATCCTTCTTCGATGAACCCTCGGATATGACTTCTGAGGAGATCTTGGGTTCGAGCATGGGACGCTCTGAAGATTTGGAATCGCTAGCATCGCTAGCACTGGGAGCGAGCGGCTCTTGCTCGCGCAGCTTTGAGTCTTTCGGTGGCTCCTCACTTGACTTGTCATCGCTTGGCTTCTCAGATCGGTCCTTCTGGACTGCTTCTTCTTTAGGCTCTGATATTTCAGCGGCTGGCTGGTGACTGCTGGTTGCTTGTTCAACAGCGGTTGGCGACTCAGATTTCTCAACCTTCAGCTCTTCGGCTGGAAGAGGCAGCTGGTGCTTCGACTCTGCTTTATCGGACTCAAGAGGCTCTGTCTCCCTGCTTTCATCCTCGTCAGGAAATTTGTCGTGCACAGAGCTTGCCGGCGTATTTTCTCCCTGATCCGTACTCGAATCGCCATCCTTACCAGCATCATCCCTCGAATCCGTCTCAGGGGCATCAATCGTAACATGCTTCTCGACCCTAGCATCTTCATCCTCGCTCTTCTTGGTCTCTTCGACTAGGTCTTTCTCTTCGGATTCTTGACCCTTGGTCTCTTTGGGCCCAACAACAACATCTGGATTTTGCCCGTCAATAGGTGGTTTGCTCCCCTGACTCTCTGGCGCAATCTTCTCGCCATCTTCATTCTTAGACTCAACAGCTTCCTTCTCCGTCTCTTTAGACTCTTTAGACTCTTTAGACTCATGACCTTCCTTCTCCTTGGCCTCCTCCTCTTTCTTCTTCTTCAGTTCCGCAAGCTTAGCTTCTCGCTCAGCTTTCTTTTTCTCGATCCTTTCCTTCTTCTTAGCCTTCTTCTTCTCGGCGCGCTTGCGCTCCTTGGCGACATGCTTCACATCAAGATAGTAGTCTTCGTGGCGCTTCTCCATGACCTTCTTGCGGTATTCCTTCCTCAGCTTGTCGCGCTTGCGCTTTTCATACGCCTCGCGCGCAACCTTCTCCTCAGCGCTCTCGATGATCTTGCCCTTGCTGTGCGCCAGGTCGTACGCCAGACCGATACGGATCAACTTCTCGCGGCGCTGCTTGGCGTTAGCGCGCACGACCTCCTCGGGCGGCAGCAGTTGGTCGTCGCGCTGCGCGTCGATCTTGACGAGGACTGTGTAGTCACCCGCCTCAAGGTCTAGTTCCACGTTGACGCTGCGGTTCATGCGGTAGTACGTCTGGCTGCGCACGACGTAGTCGTCCTCGCCTGCTTTGTGGAGTCGGAAGCTCAGCTCAAAGCGGTATTGCCCTTCAAGGCCCTTGAAATACCGCTCGTCTAGTTGGGATAGGACGAGGACAACGGGACCGGCCTTGGCTAATGTGAAGGCGAATTTGGTATCATGGTACTCAAGCGTCCATGGCACGGACAGAGTTGTCCAGATGGAAGTAACCTTCCAGTCCGGGCCAAAAAGACGAGTACGATCGAACGCCTGATACTTCTTGAGCAGGTCATCATAGGATATCCAGAATGAGCCATCATCACCGAAACGATGGCCCAGCTTGGTCAACCACTCTGGTGTCCACTCCTTGCTGCCATCGCTCCAAGGACCCTTCCACTCATGCTTACCCCATGGATTCTTAAGCAGGACTAAGCGTACGCCATCGATCTCCACGGCCTTCATGACGCTGTATGCATGTAACTCAACGATGCCTTTCCGCTCGCCCCAGCCGCGTCCCCAGACGCCCGTCGAGCAGCCAAAGAGAAACAAGTCATTGACCTTCATGAGCTCTTCTTTCCAAAAGTGCTCCTTGTCGAGGATATCTGTCGTGTAGATCTCACTGGTCACACCTCCGGTCAAATCCTCGATACCCTCTCCGGTGAAGCCCCCCTCGATCGCGCTGTAATCTCCATGTGCCTTTGCGTATGCCTTCTCCAGCAGCGGTAGCCATGTCTCATTTGGATTCTCGCACTGCGCAAAATACAGTGCACCGCTATTAGACTGGTAGATCTTGCGATATGCCTCCTCAGAGTTCACCCGCTCACGGTCCTCCCACAGGATCCGTTCTAGGAAGCCCTCGTCATAATCGGGCTTAGTGAGGTAGAGCTAGAAGCAGTCAGCATGTCGTAAGATCGCTTATCTCATGTTTCAGGGGTATTCAATGTCTGAGCCGCAAACATACCTTGTCATCAATGATCTCGCTGAACCACTCTCCGTCGCGGTGGAAGACAAAGCCGTACACGCCGACCTCGGGGTCGTGATCGACGCAGATCTTCTCGATCAGGCCCGGCTTGTTGCTGAGGGTACACAGCGCCGCCATCAGCCAGCAGTCGCCGTCACGACCCTGCCGGACGTCGTTCGCTGTGGGGCCGTCGATGTAGAACTGCGGGCTATCGAATATGTCCGGGACTCTCTTCACTGCCTGTGGCCGGAAGGTAAAGTCCATGTCGCCGTCCCCGGGCCGCCGGCGATCATTCTCCCTCTCCACCTCGCTCAGCAGGCCGAGGATGCCACCGCCGCGAGACCCGCTGACCGTCTCGGCCCGGTCCTTCTGCGGCTGCTCGCGCCGGACAACATCGTCGTCGTCGCCCTTCCTCCCGCTCTCGATCTCGCGCTCGTTATCCAAGCTGTCGAGGCAATCCCGACGGCCTAGCTTCAAGTCGAACTCGAGATCAAAGTGCGGGTCGCGGTACCTCTGGTTCACGCGCCGGCACTCCTTGATGATCTTGGCCACCTTGGCCTTGCACACCGCAGCAGCTTCCTCGTACGAGGCCTGCGTCGTCTGCCCGCCGCCAAATGCTCTGGAAGAAGCACGCTTGGCTGCCTTCTCAGCATACGGGTTCTGGGGAATGATAGCAGTGGCTGTAAGCGCATGTGAGTGAATTGTTCTCGCCGAATGTCGACAGTAAAAGGGGGTTATGGGAAGGATGATATCCTAACGGGTCAAGCGTATGTGGGAATACCTCACCTTTGCCTGGAGCCTTAGTGGTGAACTTATTCCAAAACTCGTCGAGCTTCTCCTGGGGGTTCTTCTGCTTGGTCTTCTTGCGCGGCGCCATAGTCAGCGGCACCTCGGCCACCATCCTTCTTGGCGGGCCGTCGCCAACGACAGAGCCGATCGACGACATTCTCCTGTCCTCTTCTTATAGGGGGTTTACGGGTTTAGTGGCAGTCGCCCCTTATAGGCTCTCTGTCTCCCGACGCACTCTCGCCTCGCTTTTCCGTTTCCTTTGCTATCTGTTGTCTGCTTTGCTGCTGCTTCTGTACGAGTAACGCGACATGCACTGTGGCGTGGACTTATACCATTGGATCCCTGCGGCTGGCCCTGCGCTGGTCTGGCTGGCTGGGGATGAAAGGCAGAGGGCACCTACGTCTGCGGGGTTGGCGCAACCTGATTTGCACAAGACGTGACAACAGCAGCAGGCTCAGCTTTTATCCCGACTGGCGAGAGCGCACAAGTCCTGCGTGAGAGACGTATGACTTGCTTGTGCGTGCGTGTGGGCGCGCGGCGCCTGAGAGAGAAACGCTCGTCAGACTAGACAGACAGACAACAACCAGCTGCCGGGGCTGAACGGACGAGATCTAACGACCGCTGCAGGGGCCTTGTTACTCTAGCGCTTTCGTTGCTATACTGAGAGAACTTGCGAGTGGTTGCGAGATATGTGCTGATGTGAAGAGAGAGAGAGAGAGAGAGAGATTGCAAGAAAGGGAAGAAAGAGCAAAGCTTCAAAGCCACGAGAGATGCTTCAGAAAAACAGTCATGCAATTCAGCTCGCAGGCTACTGTCTGTCAGCCTTCTCTCTTGGTCACACACATATATATGTATATCCCGCCCCCAAACCCGGGGACTGGAGAATAGGTAATGTAGGGTAGGTTGGCGGTAGTCGGTCGGTGATGGAGGGGTGGGGAGGCGGTACCTTGAGCTCCAAGAGTCGCCTCAAACACGGGACACCAACAACACCAATGTAATCTCAACTTGAGGTAGGGTACCATACGGTTTTGTACTGCATGGAATGATAGAGTCAAGCAGAGTTACAAAAGGTTCAAGGATTGGCCACCCAGGGCATAAGGCACAAGGCAGAAGGTGGAGAAGCAATAAGTGAAGAGTCGGGAAGAGAGACATTTGTTGGAAGAAGAACAAGGCAACCATCGGGAGAGGCTAAGCACTGGACATGAGTGAATGGCAACTAGCCATTTGATTTGGCCTCTTCCCGTCTGATCCATCACCAGCTGCAGCTGCAGCAGTAGGTAAAGTACGAGTATGTGAGTGAGGAGCCCCAAGCACGATGCACCTGGGCTGCATAACACACCCACACCACCTGAGCATGTCAGGCCAGGGTAAAGCAAGGCAAGGAAAGTATTCCCAGAGACTAGCCATACAGCTGATGGGCGTCCACTATCTTACCTAGTAGCGGAATAGCTGGCTGGGCGTGGGCGGCGCCGTCGTACAGTAGGTACATACATTTATGGACGGGACAAGCGGCGGCGGTCTGCGTAATGTCGGCCAGCCGGGGGTTCCAGGCTGTTCCAAGGTTCTACTCTAGTTCAGCATCTAGCCAACAGAAATGCCGCCGATGGGGTGCATGGATAGACTCAATGGGCATACGCAACAGGTCTGCATAATAAGGCTGAAGTGGGGAACGGCTTATTGTTCATGGCCCTCCTGAGTTCCCTGTCTGTCTATCACCTTTGTCAGTCTTGTCCGTCTTTCGGTCGGCCACTTAGTTAGTTATATAGTCAGTCAGCTGATAAGTCAGTTTCCGCAACAACACACGCTGAAGTTGCAATTCTTGAAAGTATCAGATCCAACAGTGGGGCAAGGTACAATACAAAGTCAGAGATGCAGAGACGAGGGCATGGGGGTGTACTAAGGATGTGCTGTAGGTATGCTGTGCGTCGAGTCACCTCGTTTCTGTCCCCAATGGAACCCAGCAGCATGCTCCTCAGTTACCTACTGGCCGCCACCAATGATCCCGCTTCTCACTACCTTGTCTACTTACCTCCCTAGGTAGGTACACAAAGATGGTGGGAAACACACCAACCGCCGCCGCCGGATACCGACTTTTGGTGTAGATCACGGATAGACGATGGCTCGAGTAAGAAGTTAACCTGGCTATTCACTGCAGTCATCATCCTACTGCCCTACGCAAGGTTACGTCTCAGCACCTAGTTCCAAGGAAAAAGGATAAGCTCCCCTCCTCTGTAGCTACCCGGGTATATAGGTAGTTAGTCATACCAGTGGAGCAACGTGATCTCGGTCTGATAATGACCCACCCCGTCTTGTGAGTGGAAAAGTCCCTCTCGACGGGCTTACGGGCTGGATCACGAAATCTGATGGGGGTCACGGGAGTGCCGGCGAGGCAGGCAGGCTGAGGAGTCGACAGGCGGCGCAGGCTTGCGGAGGTTCTACTAGCTAGTTAGCGGCCAGGCAGGCAGAGCAGAGCCTCCCAGTCTCCATAGCCAATGTTACAATGCGTCATGCAACTAGCGAAACAATGACGATCTCCGAGAGCAAGAAAGAGAGAAGATGACAATTCGGGTTTGGAATGGAACTTGACTTGACTGTACGGAGCCGTCAATCTGTCCGTAGCTGCGTACTACCGGGTGCGGTTAGGAACGGAGGATGTCGGCTTGGTACAGCCTCCCCTTCCAAGTGACACACCTCTATTGGAGACGAGACGCATAGATGCGATATGCTTTGAGATCAACAAATTTGTGTTCTCTGTATTGATGTCTGCATGATGCCATATCATAGCCACAATTAATTGTAGAGTATCGTACAATAGCACCCGTGATTCTCTCCAACAGTATATACAAAACCCCGTCATCGTCGTCCTTTGCTTTTTACTTCGTACACGTATATCACCATCACCGCATATCTCTCGCGCTGAGACTTGCAAATGCGTCTGGGCTGTGTCTCCCGTTACTCCACTCCAGACCCGACGCCATCATGCTGTCGCGACTCCTGTTTCCAACCATGCTGTCCATAGTTGCCACCTGCTGTACAGCTTGTGCTGGTGCGGGGCTGCTGGTGTTGCTGAGGAAAGGATTCTTGCTTCCAGGTGAGAAAACAGGAGAGACAGGCGCCTGGGGTGGGCTTGCCGGCGTCGGCTGCGGCTGGACCATCTGGTTCAGAGACGCAGGCAGCTGTTGCGGCTGTTCCTGGGTTGGAGTCTGATACGTCTGCGGTGCTAGCTGCGGGTAATTATACAGGGCCATGATGGACGCCTTGTCTGGACGTTGAGGAGTTTGTGCCATCTGCTGCCCATAGTATCCCCCCTGCTGGAAATGGGGCTGCACCTGTGCTTGCGGCGACGCCACGGGAGCAGGACTGGGAGTAGATCCTGACATCTGGTTGAAGAATGGATTATTCACTGGACTCTGCTGTACAGGTGAGCTGTAGAAGTTCTGTTGCGCCTGCTCGGGAATCTGGCCTAGTGACGGAGATACGATCCGAGTCGGCGACCGCGTGAAGGGGTTGCCCGCATAGTTTCCGAAGGTTGTCGCAGTATTAACCGAGAGCGTTTGTAGAGGTGGCGGTTGCTGCACCTGGGGCTGGGAATTCGTAAAGAACGGGTTATATCCTGTTTGTTGTGGCTGAAGATGTGGTGTAGGCTGTGGGTATGTCTGATTACTATTAAACGAAATGGCGGCGAAGTTCTGTGGAATCGAGGGTATCGGTGGTGTCATGGACTGCTGATAAACAACTTGCTGGGCTTGTTGATTAGGAGCACCCCCGGTATGGTGGGGGAAAAGGGGTTGGGAAGGCGCTAGAGCCATGTTCTGGAAGGCCTGGTTGAGAGCATCATTGCTCTGTGAGGAAGACATTCCGAACGGATTATTGTTGAAGTAAGGATTCCGGTTCTGGATGTTCCCTGTAGACTGGGACGATACTGGCTGAACGGGGGACATGTCGAATGGATTGTTCGATGCTGGCGAGAGTGGCCGCTCAGGCCGGGTGATGGTCAATCCTGCACCAGACGGTGCTGCCGGCGTCAATGACCGGCTACTTGGAGGTGCCTCGCTTGTAGGCGTTGGTAATGATGACCTGCCACTTCCTTCTCCTAGCCGGACCAGCGCCTCGACTGTTCTCTCCAGGTTGCCGTTAACGCCCTTGAGCACAATCGCATTCCTCTGATCATCTCCGAAGCCCATATCCCTCAGTTTAGCCAGCTTCCTTTCCGTGTCACTCTCGTCTTCAAAGCTCACGCCAGCACCGAAGACCTTCGATGCCTTGTTCCGCGGTGGCGAGACTGGGCTGCGATCGAAATGGTCTCGAGTTCCGCGCGCAGCATCCTTCTTGGCCTTGGAAGATAAGGGAAATATGGAGGATGCCGACCGGAACCCAAATCTGCTTGGGGTCTTGGGAGGTAACGGAGGGGGCGTTTCATCGGATTCAGTGCTGCCAGTATTATGTCGTTTTGATCCGCCCAAGCTGTGATTCGTGTACTTCGTCCTAATGAACCGTTCCATTGCAGAGTCGGCTTCGTCAGCATCGATGGGAACTGGAGGCTTCTTGTTCTGGGGGTTATAGAGCTTGTTGGATGTGAGGTTGCCGACTTTCTTCATATTCTGCTTGCTTTATAAGCTTGCTGTTCGAAAATGTATAGTCCGCTCGGCCTGGGTTGAACTGACCTCAACTTGCTCATTTGACCAACTGTCCATGCTTAGTGATTTGACCTTGGAAATGTGTGTGCCGAGCTTGCGATGAATGGCGGCACATCGCATGCACAAGAAGACGCCCAGCTATCAACAACCTGTCAGCTTCCGACTCGAAAGATACCATACGGGAACAATCGCATTGAATCGACAGAAAGGACGTCGTTTGGATGGAATCGTAGATAAGAACATACACTCCATGATGCCCAGCCTATGGGAGAAAGAACGAGTTAGCACAGCAAGTTCACAGACGGCAGGATGCAACGAAGCTGATCGCGCTCCCAAAACTCACCTGGATTCCGCGTTCCGCAGTCTGCGCACAGGTTGTTGCCGGGCACGTTGCGTACGAGTTCCTGCAAGACCTTCTCATTGCGCGCCTGCTGGCGCTTGCTCTGGGTGGCCGACGACGCCATGTCGCGTGCTTGGATGCTGCGCGATGCGTGCGTCGGTCGGGGGGATTGATGATTTGCGAGGTAGAGTTTCGAGGTCCAGGTCCGGGTCGAGCCCAACGGGCCGCGGGAGGGTTTTCTTGGGTCTGGGTCTGTAAGTTGGAGGGCTTGCTGGGGGTTGGCTGGCTGGACCAGGCTCGAGGCCGGCTGGTTGGATGGATCTAGGAGAGGATCCGAGGGGCTGGCACAGGGGGTGCCAAATTAAAATATGGGCGGAATCGCGGAATATCAACGTTATTAAGGCAAGGAATAGAGTAGCGGTTCCCAGGAAAAGACAATTAGATGGTTTGGCTAGAGAAAGTATAGACGGCGCGGGGGAAGAGCAATTAATTAATGGGCAAGGCAAAACGGCAATGATGATATAGTAGCAACTATAGTGACGTGCAGACAGCGGCTGCAAGCTGAGACACGCGGGTGAGGAGGAGGAGGATCAGCGTTTGTCACGTCGCCCACAATCCAGCAAGACTGCAGCAGCATGCACCTCTGGCATGATATGGTATGGCATGGCATGGAGACGAAGATGGAGGAGAGGAGAGGTTGGCGTGAAAAGGAGAAAGACGATGAAGAGAAAGAAGAGGGCCCAGATCAAGCTCCACGCCGCAACGGCCAACCAAGAAAACAGGCGAATCAATAATCTACAGTGCTAGCTAACTCTACTTGACTGATCCATGCCATCCTCAACTCCAACATGCGCGCAGACTCTGCTCTTCCCCTCTTATCCATGCAGAGTTAGGCCTGTCGAGTAGCTCCCTGTTGCCATCTTGCGTCTTGTGTCGAGAACACACGGACGGGCGCACTGATCTTTTGACTAAGAAATAGGGGAGCACCAAAACTAATTTAGTCAAGTAGACTTCAATATCTTTTCTACACACGACTCTTGCTGCAAATGCTTCAACTTCTCACCTGTCTTTTGGAAGTGCATGACAATATGAATTTGTCTCCTAAATCCTCAGCAAGATCGAGAAACGTCCTCCCCCTCTTCGCTCAAGTCGAGGGTCTATCTGCTATCTGGCCCTCATCAGGTGGCGCCATCGATACCACCCTCTTGAGTAGTATCCTTGACTGTGTAAGCGGGCCATGCCCACAGGAGGGGCTCGAAGCCACGGCGTGTGGGGCAAGACAGGGGATACAGCAGTCAAAAGACCAACCTTCCCACGCGGCCATTTGGCTAGGCGTAGTATCAACACCCCCTGGCGCTTGTGATGGAAGATACGCCGTATCTCGAAGCTAATTAACTGGCTTCCTGGGTAGTTAGCTTGTCACTCCTGGTCAATACGTGTGATAGATGTGTAGTGTGTGATGTTAGTCGGAGTGAGAAATTCGACTCCTTCGTTGACCACACTGAATTTGATGACTTCTCCCAAATCTTCCAAAGCCGTGAAGATCCCATCCAAACTTTTGAGGAACGGCATCTCTCGTCCAGCATGCCTACCTTGGTATAAAGAGCCTCAAGTGAAGCTCATCCAATGAAGCGTCCCGTCCTCGTTGGCCCCCAACTAGGCTCACTGGACTTTCCCAGCTCCAGGGAAACGATCTGCCAGCAAGGCTGGAAAAGCTCAAGCCGTCAGCAATAAATATGAAGAGATTGATCTTCCGGAAGTTCTTCCTCTTCTCAAGACAACCATTCTTCTCAAATCAAAGTGCGTGTTGTTCTCTCGTTGATACATTACTATACACGGCCCGGGCTACTCGAAACGGAGGGGCCGATTGTTGCGGGTGTCAAAAGCCACAAAGACCGCCGAAGTGTTCGGCCGACACTGCCGGGTTGCAGGTGCTCCCCCACCGCCATTAGAATGTGTTACTGGGAATGGACGGGCAATTTTCGGATCTTCGTTGGGTCGAAGCGGGTCTGTCTTCCTTCCGTCTTCCTTCCTTCTTGAATGATCAACGCCATATCATGGGAAGGATTCTTCACCGTTTCTTGTGGCACAGCAATGGATTATGTTACAGTCCCTGAAAAGGCGGAGTAATACTTTGCATGAAGCTTGGTGATCCGTCTTATATTCTTCGTCATCAATTTTCTTACTCAGTTTTACAACTCTAGAATTCTGTCAAGATTTGTAGTTTTGCAACAACAAGCTATAACTCGCATCAATTGGAAGTCTGACTTCAAAAACAGTTATATAATCGCAAGAAAGCGCAAACTTCAGCCAGTGCATCACCATCCGCAATGGCCGACGAGATCCGCCCCTCCTTCCCAGTGAGCAGCTCGCCGCCCCCGGAGTCGGCGGCCATCCAGTCCATCATCTCGGCGCTCGACCTCCAGACGCACATTGAGGGCGGCTACTACGCCGAGACGCACCGAGACGCACTGCTCGTCCCGTCGCCGTTTCCCGAGACTCCCGCTTCGGAGCTGGTCGCCCAGCGGCCCGGCTTCGACCCCAAGCAGCGGAACATCTCCACCACCATCTTCTACTTGGTGACGCCATCTTCTCCCCAGGGAAACTTCCACCGTAACCGAGGCGTGACCATGTACGTGGGGCATCAGGCTGGCGTTTTGCGAGACGCTAGTCGAGACCTCATTGATGAAATCTGACAAGATCACCAAGCTGACCATCACCAGACACACACTGCACAAGGGCCGCGGGCGGTACGTGCTGATCCACGCAGATGAGGACAACCGCATCGAGACCTTCGTGGTCGGCCACAACGTCGCCAAGGGCGAGAAGTTGCAGTGGATCGTCACGGGCGGCAAGTACAAGGCCAGCTTCCTGCTGCCGGACCAGGAGGGCGGCGACACCAGCAGCGAGGGCCTGCTCATCTCCGAGACGGTCGTCCCGGGCTTCGAGTTCTGCGACCACGACTTCCTGTCGCTCAAGGGCCTGCACGACCTGCTCGGCGAGGAGAAGGCCAAGCCGCTGGAGTGGCTTGTGCGGAAGGATTAGGAGTGAGGTTACTTTGCTTCATTAGAGCATATCATGAAGTTCTAGAATGTGGCTCCCCTGAGTAATAGGGCTTGTTAAGGATGAGACAAAAAGTACTTTCTAGCTTGAATCTAGATCATCAAAATTTCTAAGGCGTCATATACATATATTCTCGTGATCTCATCATTCGTACAGTTATCCCGACATTATGTCATTGACCTCTCGGCCGCATATTCGTCTGGTAAGGATTTAGTTCCGGTCCAGGTTTCCTACCCCATACAACATAGAGCTTCTGATAGGCGTGAACGCTCTTGTCAACGAGAGACCTCCTCACTGGTATGAGAGACATCTATTTGCGGATCAGAGGTTAGTTGTTGATCTATTAGAAAACCAGTCGAAGCAGAAGCTCATCTCACCTCGATTTCCTCTTGCGTCCTTCCGTACACGCGGTGATGTAGCCCCAGTGTGAAGCCGCTCAGGCCGTCTTGTAGATTACACAGCCAGCGCATGCCTATCTCTTTGTTCCGCCTGTCCGACGGCCAGCCATTGAGAGGAACCTTTAGGATTTCCTCGTGGACATCAACGAAGCCCACTTCAGTGTACCAACGTTTCAAGTACTGGCCGTCCGAAATGGGTCGGTTCGCCTGCAGTGAAGCATAATCCAGCTCCGTTGCCCATTGAAGGAAGCTGAAATCGGGCGGCATGGTCCCGTCATCACAGTCCGGTATGGGGACCATCTCCTGGGACTCGCACCAGCCGCCGGGACGCAGGTTGTCAAAGGCCTGCTGCAAGATGCTCATCTGCATGTTCTCCCAGCAGCCGAGGGTCATGCGAGTGTGTACGTAGTCAAAGGGGCCGTCTTGCCAGTTGTACGTCGAGTCGTCGATATGGAACTCGACGTTGGGCGAGTATTCGTCCGGCTGGATCGGCGAGAGCTCGGTGCCGATGACTTGGGACTCTGGGAACTCGTCGGCAAACTCGATTGCCCACTTCCCCGTGCCTGTTGCTATGTCGAGTACCTTGCGTGGCCATTTTTTCCTCGACCACGGTGCGAAGTAGAGCCTTCGGCCCATCACATCGTGGAGAACGTCGTATTGCCAGTTCAGCCGCTCCTGTTCTCTTGCGTCGTTGGGGTAGTGATATGCTGAATGAGATGTTAGTTTGGTCAAGACGAAGGGGGCGAGGCGCCCTTACAGCCATCTCTATATGCATGGTAGGTTCTTCCGTTTTCTAATCGATATCTGTGGATCATGTCACGACTTAATCGACAAAGTTAGTTGCAAGTATAGAGTCTCTCATGTGTAAATGCTTACTCCGCTTGTGAAAGTTCAGACTTGCATTGGTGTTAGTCTTTGGAACGTCTTTGGGGACAACAGAGATTTCAGAAACTCACATTATTACTGCTAGACCCTGTCCAAGCGGACTGAAATGTAAACTGGAAATCTTCGAGGCCTTCGCCAATCATGTTGAAGGTCATCGCTGCATAGAATCCATGAGACCACTAAGAGCAGAGCTGTGGGCAGGACAAAGGTTTTTGTTTGTTGGCTCTCTTCAGATCGAGAGGCAAGTGGCAGCTTGGATGTCAGATTCTCGACACAGTTGAGGATGAGACAGAAATTCCTGACGGGAAAGCAGGCAACTTTATTATATCGGACCACATAGACAGGTGCCCAATACAGTTCATTAAACGCGCCGAAAAGGACTGGGCGGCCCAATGTCTAATTTGCGACCCAGCACTCTGGAACCGGCGGTCAAAAAGCCTTGGCGTGGTGGAAACGTCCCCCAGTCGAGGACCCGGGAGTTTGGGAACGCAATCAGAAAACTACCCGCAGGGCAAACAAAGTCTTGGGGCGGAGGGTTGAGACTGCAGAGATTCGTCGTGTGCGGCGTTCTGATTGGCAACATGCAAAGTCCCAACCTTTGTTTCTTTCTTTCTCTCAGCTGCGCATTCGGGTCTCCCAGGAAAGGGGGGCTCGTTGATGAGTTGGTCAGGAACGCCTATTTTTCGCGCCTTGCTTGTATGTGCGCGCCCGCGCCTTCACCGGTGTGGAGAGGGCAGGCTGAGAGAAAGACACTGGAAAGGACGGGTCGATCCCTCGTGTACTTGACACAAGAAGTTTGACCTGGAAGATACACGCACAGCTGTCCGTGCTTGCCGGATCACAAGCCCCGGGGAAGGACGGCGTGTTCAATGAAGAAGAAGTTGTGTTTCGGAGGGACAGGAAGGAAATGTTAATACAAGGGTAGACGATTGACGATCCTTGCGGAGAGAGGAGACAAGAGCCACGAGAGAGCGAGGATTGCACCTGGGTAATCTTCTTCATCGGCTTTTACGGGACGCGAGGAGGAGCCCCAGAGCCTTGGAAGCGCCTCCTGAGACAGATAAGAGAGATAGATGGGGACCCTGGACAAATCTAGCGTAATAAAAGAAGGCAGTTGCGTGAGAGAATATGCAGCAGCATGCAGGTGTAGTCCCAGTTCCAAGCCTGCGAACGAACGATGGGGACTCGGGTAATGGCCCAGGGCCCTCTGGGGGCCTCCTTCCAGCTGTGCCTATCAATGCCATTGCGGGACTGGACAACAATGGGCGGCGGAAGCTACCTTAGCACACTGTCGACCTACCCTACAGTCGACTAGGGGGCACTGGGGTAGGGTGACGGATTGTCGGGATGGATGGTGAGAATCTCGAACCGCCAGGGTCCCCCTAGCTGCCGCTGAATAGGTAGTCTCCCGGGAACTTGTCCAACTCTAGGAGCTCCCCTTCTCTCTCCCGCTTCAATTGGAAGACGATGACATCTCTTCAATTTCCGTACCGAGCCGATTGCTACAGTAAATTGGAAAACATATGCAGATGGAAACATCAGAAGCAAGGTCAGGCTTCTCGTAATCTCGCGGCTCGGGGCTAAGACAAGTCCCGAGCACAGCTCCTTGGTAACTGTCGCCGTTACCAGTACTCTGGATTGCTGGAGTGAAGTGACACGTCTCCGCATCACGGTGCCTACGATTCCGGCATGCAGTACGTGCAATACAACGCCACACTGAGAAGCTATTGGGCGGCCGCAAACATCGACCCGAGCAATTGGGAAGTTCATGCTGTGTTGTGACCTCTCACAATTGAGCAATGGCCGTCCAGAGAATGCACTCCCCCCTCCTCAAGAAACTAAGATGGCTTTTTTTTATTACTAGAGGCGTCCTCACGAGGCCTGGCAGGATTTTGCCAGCTTCCCAAAACGAGTTGCTTGCATTTGCTAGCATGGGATCAGACTCTCATGTATCACAATAAGTCGTATGCAAACCGGCATGCCGATTCTCGGAACGATGCACATCGGCGGGGAATACTATACCACTTGGTCAAACACATTTGTTGTTGTGGCGTCCTTCTCTCTCAGCTGATATCTTGAGATAATATCTTCACCGGGCAAAACTACCAACGCCGCATCTTCACAATGACAACGAACGAATGGCTTCTGTCACCTACCCCCCAGCTGCTGATCGGTAATAAGGTAGGACTGGTGAGATTGACGATCCCCCGATTACGCACACACCCATGCTGCCATGCCAGCTATCTCACACTGCTACGTCCAGTCATCAAGCTTGAACGATCGGAAGCAGCTTTCGGCACTAGGCTTCGTCTCCCGCTGACGGGACATCTCTGCCGCCCCCTGTCCCTCGTAGGATTCTAAGTACGTTGCACAGCATGTGAGATGTGTGATTGTCGGAGCTCGCTTCGGTGTAGGGTAAGGTGAAATGATGGCTATAGCTAAAGAGTTTTAACATCGTTGAGTAATCCAAAACTTAGAAAATAAAATTACAGCGAGAATGATAGCCTTTTCTATTGCGGGTTGTCCACCGCTATTTAAGACATGCGCCCTCCGACGTACGAGCCGCGACACTCTAAAGCAAGGCAGGACTTTGCGAACCTAACTCTTAGTAACTACCCGCTTTTGGGAGGTGTTTACAGTGACTCACTAACGGGATTTGATGTGAACATCTCGGTGACTCTTTGTGTCATTTCAATATGTACGGCCAAGGTGAAGTTATATTGAGCTTAAGAGTTCTGACCCAATCGCCAATTCCTTTTGTCCTAAAACGGTTCAATGGTAGACGTTTAGAAAATTGGGTACAACCTCTTCTGAATAGGCTTGTCTATCTTCGTATTCAGCTGCAAGGGGTCCAAGCTCTCTGATAGCTCACATTTCACTTTCGCGCCGGGCTAGAAACACCATGTCTGACTTCCAAGGAGAGGCCTACAAAAGGCTTCGTCAGATTGTGTCCTCTCGCAATGACGACACCCTCCCTCCGCAGGACGCTATCCAGGCCGCCACCTCATCACTTCCGCAGCCCACGGACGCCAGCTACCTGGTCGGGCGAGGCCCAGAAGCCACGCTCGACCATCTTCTCGGGACAATTGTTCCAGGCCTGAACGGGCAGAACCTTTCGGGTCGGTACTATGGCTTCGTGACGGGATCGACGCTGCCGATCGCCGAGGCCGCAGACAATATTGTCTCGGCCCTCGACCAGAACCCGGCTGCTCACCTGCCCAGCCAGACCGTATGCACGACGGTGGAAGATGCCGCGCTCAAGATGCTGATCGACCTCCTGGAGCTAGGGCCTCCAGAGGACTGGCCTGGCAGGATCTTCACGACCGGCGCCACGGGGAGCAATGTCCTCGGCCTGGCTTGTGGCAGAGAGGCAGTCGTAGCCAAGCGGTTACGTCGGTCAGGCTCCTCGGACGCGAATGCTGTGGGTGAGCTCGGCATCCTTGGCGCGTGCCAGGCAGCTGGGATCAAGGAGATCCGGATCTTGACCAGCATGGGCCATAGCTCATTGTCCAAGGCTGCAAGTATTGTGGGCATTGGCCGTGCCTCGACTAAGCAACTTCCATACAGTGACAAAGAGCCCTGGAGGCTCGATATCGATGCCGTAGAGAAGCTGTTGGCCGAGGATGGGGTGGCAAGTATCATTTCTGTCAGCGCGGGAGAAGTCAATACGGGGCGATTTGCAACAGCTGGTCTAGAGGATCTCAAGAGGCTCAGAGTGTTGGCAGACAAGTACGACTCGTGGATACACGTTGATGGAGGTATGGCGAATATATGAGCTTCGATTGCACGGGATGCTAATAGCTTTCTTAGCCTTTGGGTTGTACGCGCGAGCTTTGCCTCAAACAGAGGAGTTCTCACGACTCCGAGAGCTGGTCTCTGGACTAGAGCTGGCTGACAGTATTACAGCGGATGGTCACAAACTTCTGAATGTGGTATGTTGCTTGCCTTTGATATTTCACTCCTGAACCCTTATTTCATGTGATCACAGATACTAAAAACCACAAAGCCATATGACGCTGGCATCTTCTTCTGCCGAGATGACAATATTCCCACATCCGTCTTCCAAAACGCCGGCGCAGCCTATCTGTCTACAGGACCAAGTCGAATCCTAAGCCCTCTCAACATAGGTCTTGAGAACTCTCGCCGTTTCCGCGCCCTACCTGTCTACGCAACCCTCCTGAGCGAGGGCAGAAACGGGCTCGCAGAAATGTTCGCTCGCATGGTGCTCATGGCTCGTGGGGTGGCAGAATTTATTAGAGACTCGGAGTACTATGACTGGCTCCCTGAGCCAACGGCAAACCTCAACGAGGTACAAATCATCGTGTTCTTCAGGGCCAAGAATGATGCATTGAACGATGTGCTGGTGCAGAAGATCAACGATACGCGCAAGATGTATGTAAGCGGAACGCAATGGCAAGGCAAGAAAGCTTGCCGACTTGCGGTAAGTAGTTGGAGGGTTGATGCAGCTAAGGACCTTCCGGTAGTGAAGGATATCCTGACTACAATAGCTACACAATCTTCGTCATAGAGACGACATAATAGACATAGACCTGCAGCTTCTAAGAGTTTGAGCATCGGCCCGCTTGCCATGATGGCGCTTTGAAGAACAAAACCAGGGCCGCCGAAGATCCACGTCCTTCAGTCCCCGACACTACTCCTCGACGCTCTGGAAGTCATTGACGTCGTCTACCGGCGAGATGCTTCCATTTGTCTCCTAAATCCTTCGAAATGGCGCAGGAGTAATCGTATCTCCCGAGCCGTGAGAGAAGATTCCTCAAACCACTCGTGGGATATTATGCAGTGAACTCGTAGACCATGATAATGCGCCGCTCAGCCGAACTTCTTCGTGCCGCCCTTTTGCTTTTGTGGATCCGTCTTGTCGGCCTTCTTTCCCTTGCCAATGAGCTCTAGATGGCCTGCTCGTTCGCCCAGGAGCTTCTCTGTCTTCGAGACTAGCCCGGCGGCGTATTTCTTCTGCATCTTGTCGGCAGAGCTTGTCTTTGACTTCTTCGGCTTGGCAACTCGTGCGCCTTTCTTTGCCTGCTGTTTAGATTTTCCCGCCGTAGCAGGTTTTGCTGATTTCTTGACAGCACCTTGCGCCATATCGAATTGTGTTGGCGCAAAATATGCTTGTTGTGGTTGACGTCTTGTGGCGGGCGGGAAGTTTTTTCAACCTTGATGAGAGCGGCCGGCCGAGGCTGCAGAAATATTGTCTAAGATGTACTAGCGGGGCTGAACTGTCACTACTCAGTTATCGAGGGCCCCTGTATATCACCTGTAGCCCCTAAGTTAGAGGCCTGAAGAGAGACACCCAGTAGAGGGTCACATGACACGGGCGGGACGGGAAGCTAGAATTTCCAAAGCACCGACATTGGACTGAGGTCATTGGCAGAGGAGCTTTGTAGCTTTGCAAAACGCCGCCCAAAAGCGCATCTTTCAAGGGCACACAACGATGCGAAGGTGAGAACTGTGCTCGGCTCATCTTAAGTTCATCTAATTAACTATGTCTAGTATAATTACTTCCACATAGGCCACTTTCCACCATGCGGTCACAACTGACGCGCAATGTGTACCGCCGACTGTTAGCCGGCCATGGCTTGTCTTTGCCATGCGCATCGTTGTCAAGCCGCCGATTACACCGAAGCCTACCACATGGACTGCGGCCGACAATTCGATATGCAGACCGACGGACATTCCTTGGAGTATTTCAGAAGGCTCCTCGGGAGCTGAAGGAACCTGATCTCGATCCCGGTTATGTTACACTCCTCCAGTTCAGGACAAGAGAGGGAGATAGCACCCGTCTACCGCCGAGGGCTGAGTTGCTACAGGGATGGAGAGATTTCTTCCGCTTCAAGGTGAAGCATGGCAGAACTGTCAATTCCACGCAAGCCATGTGTGCTTTGCACTTGTTCCGCCATCTTATGGCAACTAAAGGCGAGCATGGTGACCTTACCTTAGCAGACCTTTATGTTGCCCGAGATGCTCTTCTTCGCAAGCCGAGAAACGGATGGGATGACCATTTAAAGCTTTCCTGTGAGCTTTACGAAGAAATTCGTCGTCACGGAGGGCCTCGGGCGCGAACCGGCGGCCACAGCACGGACAAGGACACATTCTCGGATTACTCAAAATATATTGCCGCGATGACACAATACGGAGCATCCGCTGAGGCAGTTGAGATTCTATCGAATAATCGGCCCGGTGGACAATATCCTCACAATCAATTGGCTAAACTATGGCTGAAGGTTCTACGCGGGCTTGCAAGAGAAGGAAATGAGAGAGAGCTTCTCCAATGTGCGAAAGAGCTCGAGAGATCAGGCTTCGAATACTCTCCAGAGCTGCATGAAGTGATGACCACTTTTTATGCCACGAAAAATAAGGAACGCGAGGTCACACTATGGTTCCAAAAGCCCATCGATTTGGGACAAGCCCCAACCCCAGAAGCGTACTGGGAAGTTCTAAAGTTCTGTGCCAGGAAAGACGTGCAGTTGCCCTGGTTGACAGACCAACTTCAATTCCTATGCAATTCCAACCCTTCAAAGGAGATGTGGGATGTCATATTTCAATGGGCCGTCTTACAAGGAAAAGGTGTTGAAGACATTAAGCATATGATTGATGTTATGATTCGCAATAATCAGGGCGACGAAACTCGCATGCCCGATATTGCCACCATTAACTGTTTAGTTCGGGCCGCATGTGAAAAGTCAGACCCTCTATTAGCGGATAGGTTCATCACTTTGGCTTCAGAATTCGACCTGAGGCCGAACGAGACTACATACATTCTTCAATTGGGCTATCGTATTGGCCAGAACGATTCGAGCGGGGCATACGCCGCGTTTGATGAACTGATACACATAAGTCCACATAGTGAGGACTCTCTAGCTGTGCTCAACAAGTATCTACGGTACCTATGCACGTCGAAGAGGCCGGATCTAGAGAGGATATTGGAAGTCACAAGTCGAGTCGAACAACAATCAGTCAGCCTGGAGCCAGAAACAGTGCTTGCTATGTGTATCATGTTTCTGAAGAACGACCAGCAATACGAGGTCATAGACACATTGTCACTGCATACATTTGCGTACAGTCTTGAGGAGCGAGCAGCTCTAAGAGCAGCGTTTGTTAATTATTCACTGGACCGGCAAAACAGCACAGCTCGTGCCTGGGATTCATACTCGCTTCTCCGTCAATTTTTCCCCGAAACAGAACAGGCAGATCGAGTCAAGCTTATGGATTCATTTTTCAGCCGTAAGCGCGCAGACATGGCATGCTACATATTCGGGCATATGCGTGGCCATAACAGAGACGACATCCGACCTACTACTGACACCTACATTCGGTGTCTGGAAGGCCTGGGGCGGTGCCCTGATGGAGAAAACTTGAAGATTATTCACAACATGCTGAAGATGGACACAACCATTCAACCGACGACGAAGCTATACAATGCCTTGATGATTGCCTATCTTGCTGCCGATGATGCAGGGAGGGCCCTTGACATCTGGCATGACATAACCCATTCAGTGGAAGGCCCTTCATATAACAGTCTGGCCACCGTGTTTCGCGTGTGTGAGGTGCTGCCCATGGGCGACCAGAAAGCGAATGAAATCTGGGAGAAAATGCGCAGGATGGATATTGAGGTCCCTCCAGTTGTTTATGCAGCATACTGCGGTGCCATTGCTGGCCAGGGTCAGGTTGAAGAGGTCAAGGGCCTCATACAGGCCATGGAAGCAGACACTGGATCTCCAGTCGACATGATGACGTGAGTTACTTCCTTCCCGACGCATTATGCTGACTTACTAACGACGAGACAGTATTGGTGTATCATACAATGCTCTTCCAGGCCAAAGCCTACAGGCGAGTTTCCAAGAGTGGGCGCAAGCTGAATACCCGGCCTTATGGAAAAGGTTAGAAAAGCAAGGCAAGAAGAAGACGATGGACGGCCTCTTGAGTTTTAACCTCAACCGCGAGATGAAGGCATGATCTGTACAAACATAATATTGAAGACGTGTAGTCCTGTACATTACAAATAGAAGATGAACTGTTGTACATATTGATCACATGAGCTTGATGCTCCTCGCCGGGTTCACCACCGACTTTGCCGTCATCCTCTGCTTCGGCATGTTCTGCACCTCGCTCATCAGAATCATGGGGTGGCGATGCACACTGGGGTGTATGCCCAAGCCAATGGCCCGCCTGATGGCCTTCGCCATCTTCCTCTGGTTCACAGGCCGTAGACCCGTCTCACTCGAATGCTTGATCCGTCCCATCGCAGTCATAAACTCGGAGATGATGGAGAAGTTCTGCGCCTTGGGTCAGCCATTTCCTGTCTCCCATTTCGACCGTGAATCGACCTACCTTGTACTCGTCTAGCGGGTTGAGGCCCAGTAGGTCTAGGACATCCTTCTTCGGCCGCTGCAGCTGCTTCCACTTGATCATCTCCTGCGGGCTGAGGTCGTGCGGCGCATACACATCGCCAGGCCGCCACCGTCGCGTCATCTGCCGCGCGTAGTCCTCGCTGGTCTTCTTGGCCCGCATCCGCTCCAGCGTCGACTTCTTGCGGTCCGTCATGCGCTGCCGCCGCGCCTCGCTGTCCGCCAGGAGATTCCGCACGCGGTCGGTGGCGTCGAGCGGCTGCCGCGGCGACCTCGGCGTGCCATCGTTATCGAGGGAGAGGACTGAAGAGGTCGGGTTGGAGAGGTTCCGCACTGCAAAGTGGGAAGACGTGTTAGTTATATCCTGATCATAGCTAGCTCGAGATGTCTCCGAGCTGGGATACGTACGAGCTGCGACTGGTGCCGTGGTCGAGAAGCTGGCTGTCAATTGAGACAAGCACGACCGGCATTGCCGTGCCAGCGGCTGTAATGAGAGTCGCGGAGGCATTGTGCTGGTGTCTGAAGCTTTGGCGCTTCTTGACCAGGTTTGGTGGTTAGAGGAGCTTCGGATCGGCGAGTCGAGTGATGTTCTACCGGCACGGACCCAGAACTTTTTGGTCGGAAATTTCTTCCGCCGCAGTCCGTCAAAATTTTGGCGGGGCCGAATCTATACAGCATCCCGCATCCTCTCCAAAAACTCAACCTGAAGAAGCTTGCAGCGCGAAATAATCGTCTACTTTCAGTTCTCCTCGGTATACGAACTGCGAGACTTGCAGTATTTCTCTGCTGCTCCTCAAACTTAACTGAGGCAAGACTGGGGAGGTAATTGCCAGGATGGTGCGCAAGTTGAAGCATCACGAGCAGAAGCTCCTCAAAAAGGTCGACTTCACGACCTACAAGTCCGACAATGACCACCGTGCAGCGACCGTCGCACGGCGATACATGATCCAAAAACCGGAGGACTATCATAAGTGAGTCAACACCATCGTTCAGTAACCGGCGATCGTTCCTGACAAGATATACCAGGTACAATGCGATATGCGCTGTAAGTAAACGAAGGGCTCGCACTTGAGCGAGGGGACCAACTCACACTTTCCCTACAGTCTATGCGGAAGCTCGCGCACCGCCTCAGTCTTCTCCCGCCGGAAAATACCGTGCGACAAAAATACGAGAAGCTCCTCCTGGACAAAGGATACGACGTGGGCGTTCTCTCGACCACCTCCAAGCTCTCAGCAGTTGAGCACGGCGCTACAGTGTCGGCTTTCGCGAGGAGGCGACTACCCGTGGTGATGACCCGGCTACGGATGGCGGAGACGATCCAAGCGGCCACGAAATTCATCGAGCAGGGACACGTACGTGTGGGAACGGAGACAGTCACGGATCCGGCGTTTTTGGTTACCCGATCTATGGAGGACTTTGTGACATGGACGGTCGGCAGCAAGATCAAGCGGAATATCATGAAGTACCGGGATAAGCTGGATGACTTTGAGTTGCTATGATGAGTTGTGTGGCGGATTTGAAGGAACGATACCCATGCCGTCGATAATACGGCGTTTCCAGCAGCTGCGTTGCTTCGTGGGCTTAGTTGCTCCGGGAGGGCTATCTTGACGTGAATAAGCAACACTTACGAGAATCGTGTGAATGTCATCTAGAAATCGCAAGAGCGATAGAGATGGAAGACGAGCACAGGTTCGACATTACGGCTCTCCTGAACATCGCAAGCGAAAACCACTGCGTTACGGTGGCTATGAGAGACACTGGGCCGAATTTCAGCATGACCCTTGAGTCGATAACCTGGGCGTATGAAGAGCACCAGGCGTACGAGGCTGAGTCCCCGAGAGACCCCTTAAATGGGTGAGAGGACATTTGGTTGCCATGCAAAGTCCGCTATGGCACTCGTAGTTACACTACTTCTGAGTACATAGTTATGGCCTGTGTCTTCTAAACAGAAGAATCTGGCCACAGAAAAGCGACGCTGGCTATCGGGATAAACATTAAAGTCGACATTGATACCATTACATATTAATGACACACCAATATGAACCAGAAGATAAAGTTAAGAAAGTATCGTTTTGTGATTGTATTAAAGAGTTCGACAGAACTCTCTATAAGATTCTAATAGTCTATGTCATACAGTATATCTTTTGGTTCCTCAACTCTGGCCAAGTGAAGACTGAAACATGCCATAAATGAGTTGAGGGGGGTATCGATGCTATGCTCAACGCCGCGCTCTCTAAAAGTCTAAAAGTCTATCAATGTATCATGACGGTGAAGTCGTCTCTCCTTTTACGCGTCTATAATCCTTCTCAATTAGTCTGAATCCTCGTCATGGCCCGGCCAGACGATCTCTCTTTTGATCACCGCTCTCACGCAGCGGAACGCCACAAAGGCCCAGACGATGAACAGCGTGATAGTCATGGCGCTGCTGAGCCACAGGATGCCGTCGTTCTGCAGCGCGACGCCCATGCGGATGCAGGCGATGGTGAATCCCACGTTGGGGAACACGAAGCTCCACCAGCTGAGGTGGAAACGCCGGTCGGGCATGCCAGCGAAGACGGCGGCCACGGCCGAGATGAAGAACCAGAAGGCGAGGCCCCAGAGGAAGATGGACACGTAGATGGCGGCCACTTTGACTCCGTCGGCGACGATGGCCGGGCTGGCAAGACTGGTGAGGACTGGTGCATCTGAACCGGTGGCCGCTCCAACGATTCGCGGAACATCAGAAGCCATCGCAACCAATGCTGCGCATGTGAAGCTTGGTGGGCCGACAGCGATGAACATACCAGGCCGTTGGATGGGTAGGCCGAATGATATGAGACGTGACAGATATGTCGCGTACATGAAGACGGACACAAGCATACCCAGCCCCTGAGCGGCTAGACCAGCCGAAATCATGGACAAGGCCTGCTCTGGTGATTGAGTGGGCGAAAAGAAGCCAGCCAATGTCCCTGCTAGCATGATTGGGAAGATTGGTAAAATCCATGCTGGTGTCATGGTTGAGGTGGAGAGTCGCCTCTCAACCTTGACTGTGAATAGGAGGTGGTACTGCACCACCGACAAGAGGAAAGTCACAGCCAGGTAGGCCCAAAATGCCACGCGGAGGAAGACGTAAAGCCTACGCTTGTCGTTGTCGCCCAAGAAGATCTCGCCGTACTCTTGGACATTGGAGAGCATTGCGGCGATCGAAAGGAAGAAGGTGGAGATGAACAGGGCCTCAGATGGGTGTGTCATCGACTTAGACAGCGTATGTCTGTACAAGATGAAGCGCAGACACAGTGCTATGGTGATAAATGTGAAAAAGACGAGGTCCATAAGGAAGATGACGAGACCGATGATGTTTAGTCCAGAGAACCGATGAGGTGTCAAGGCCAGGACTAGTGCGATACCGCCAGTCGACATCCTACCGGCCATGTGTTAGTGTCTGGTCGAGGAGACATGTGGCTGCATGTAAGTTGCCTTCTGGAGACAACTCCAGACCTGGAGTCGGGATGGCTTACGAGACTGTGTACCAGGCAAAGGTGAAGTGCCGAACGCGCTCTCGAAGAGTGAGGCATGGCTGCAGATATGTGGGAACCCTCTCGATGGGATGTGGTGATGGCTCCCGAGTGAGGTCGCCCTCACCATCAGAGGACTCCTGGAAGTTTTCATACTTCTCTTGAGTACGTACTTGTGTCTCCATGTTGATGGGAGGTGAGAGTAGAGGGCCTATCGTGGAATGGCCCATTAGAGATAGAATGTGATTGTTGTTGGCTCTTCAATGAGAGGAGAGCTAAATTGTGAGGTAACGAGAGGGCCATGACTTGGTTATATCGTTGGTCTGCCGCACGGAGGGGCCACAGTTCTAGATGCCCAGGCTCAGGTACAATGACACCACCGGGAGCCAAATTAGGACACCCAGTGAGGCTTATTAGTGGGACTCTGCACTGTTCGTGTCGCTGAAAACTCCATCCAATCTGGCGATTTGACAACACCAGGCCCATATAAACCGAGAAACTTTTCGCGCGCTTTTGTGGCCATTGCCAATGAGACAGTTGCTCCTGGCGTTGTCGCCTCTGCTCTGCTCTTTGCCATCATTCCATTCACAACATGGCTCGTTCGAGATAAGACGAGTCTTGTCGATGGTCTACTTACGGAGGCCCCGATATCGGGCTGAGCACACTGCAATACACATGCTTCTTTCAGGGTTCTCGATGCCACGTTCCTGGTCCCAGCATTGGGGGTCCAGCGACGCTGTGCCATTCAGCGGTCGCCAAGGGGGGACGCCATTCCCGCAAACCTTGCAGTCAGGAGCTTTCCCGAGTGGTGAGAAGCGCCTGGAATTATAGGAGTGGGTGTGGGCGTCACTCATTCTCCAGGGGATCATTTAGTTATGCTTTGCACCACGAGAAGGTGGCAGGACTAACACGATATCAATCACACCACTCTGACCACATCGCTGGGTCCAGGCTGGCCCACGCCACACCAAACTCCCTTCGGTCTGAAAGCGGCGGTACTGACTCTTTAGTGGGCCACTCTGCCGGGAGATTTCGCGGTTCGAGAAATTTGAATAAGAAGAAGCTTCCAGACGTTGAGTTGACGTTGCATTTGGACGTTTTCATGAGGTAGGATCTTGTCTTAACACGAATTGCTGTAATTGCACACGAGCGGATGGAGTATCGGCTCCCTAATAATGCTGAGCATAGGAAGCGTTGTTGGTCTGAGGGCCCTCTGCACCTTGCACCTTGCACGCCACGCTAGGGGACCTCGGTAGGCGTTCCCGCTGGCGACCCCCACCCGGCTGTACAGGTACCTAGGTACCATGCTGCCCCTGTAAAAACACCTCTCATGCTCCCTAGAAGCCAAGATACACCCCTGACAGCCCTATCACTCTGGGACAACGAGTATATGAGGCCTGCCCAGGTAGGTAGGTAGACTGTGCAGGCTGTTTGTGGTGCCTTGTCATGGCCACTTTGCGCAGGATGGTACCACTCTGGAAAATCTTGAAAAGCCTCCTTTCTTTCTATCGCAGTGAAGATGAGTCATCTTGGGTACCTAGGTAGGGTTGGTGTGGAAAGGCCCGTCACTCACCAGCACCTTTTGCTGAAGCGCTGTTTGCTCTTCATCCCGAAGTCGGGCAGGGAGAATGCCATGCCCGTTGCCCAGGCATTAACACGGTTGGTGGGCAACTTGGCGAACGGAGGTTAAACAGAATGCCCGCGATACTGCCGCGCAATCAGGCTCACGGAGTAACTGCAAGCGAAGAATACTTGGTGCAGGAGTGGCTCATAAAGTTGAGATAAGGAGGCAAGATAGGAGGCAGAAACAGCATCCAGATTGGGAAGACTCGAGGCCCAGCTCGTCTGACTGTCTTAATCAAGGAGTGAGCATCTGGGAGAGAAGGAGCCCTCCTTCATACCTACTCCACTGGCTGAAGACTGTTTTCATGACAAACACTGTACCTCAAGCAGGTAGGTAAGGGTGTTCAGTAGTGTTGTGCTTTGGCAGCTGCGAGCCACACACCTTTCCTACCAAAGTAGGAAGTCACAGGAGGATGGTCTTGGAGTTTGACATGTCGCACTTTCCTTTAGAGATTGTTGTTAATGACAGATGACGCTGACCAGTGCCTGCCTCGTTTCTCAAATGACAAGAGAGATCTTTCATGTCAATGCCCACGATCTTGCTATGCAGCCAGATTTCTTCTCCAACCTCCTAATCCTACGGTGTTGTGCCCTTCGCTTTTTCAAGTCACGTCTCCTAGACATCATTGATATTATTCCACGTCTCATATTCCGCGGCCCATGACTTCAACTGACCAAGATGGGACTGCCAGCAGCAGTCAGGTTATGCATGGCACGATTTCGGAGCCGCGAGGACGCCGCCTCCAGAAACAGCAGCATCTCCTTGGAGGAGATCACTCCCCTCACCCGTCAAGCAAGAAACCCGAGCCAAGCGCCTCCGCGCGTCTTGAAACGAAAGTCAGGACCACCCGTCCGTCGAGACTCCCGACCCTCGGAGGCAGGGTGCAATCCATTCATCAGAAAGCCTCCCATGCCAAGTCGTTAGTGAAGGGTCATCGGCCAACACGGAGACTCACTTCGAGCTCCCACAAGCCTCCGCCCCTATCGTTCGATGGAATACTCGAGTCAGATGGCACAGAAGACCATCAGGATCACAATGTGGTCTCAAGTACTCCACGGGCGGTAGCTGATCACCTTTCCAAGAATGATGGTCAGAGCCAGGTGTCTGAGTCGCAACTGGAACCCCCCCAACCGGTGCCTGCACCCAGTCGTTTGAATGAAACCTTGGCCAAAACGGAAGAGCTTCTTTTTGTATCATTCAGCTCATCTCCTTCTGTTGACTTGACTTCGCCGTCAGAAGGGCTCAAGGAAACTTCAAAACGCCACGGTCTACTGTACACTGCGCCATCTATTGCCCCGTCTACTCATGGAGGCCACCTAGCTGCCTCCAAAGTTCAGGGCGCTGCTCAAGATCACTTTCCCGGCATTTCACATGAAGGACATGAGTATCCCACAGCTGAAGACTCGCCCGCTTGGCCTAGTCTCGCCGCAGCACCGACAGAACCCGCAGATATAAATGAGTTTCAAACCGCGCTAGATGACTTGAAGGCTGTGCTGAAGACAGCACTTCGTTTAGCCGGCCAAGCAGCAGAACAAGAACGTCAAGAGCGTGCTGAGGCTCTCTCCCGCCTCCCTGGATCGAGTTCCAAGACCCTTGTGCCCGAGCAGACACATGTAAGAAACCAACTCAGCTATACTCGAGTGAAAACGAAAAGGGGGGAGGCAGGGTCAGGGGTCGATAAGGCGTCATCAATGTTTCAGTCCCCTGTGAGCTCTTCTCGAGTCCTCGATGAAGTGCAGACAGGGTTCGAAGGGATCACACTTCAGATACCACCTCGAACAGACAGCTTGCGAGATTTGCCAGCAATCCCCTCCCGCTTGCTGGGTCTGTCCTCTTCTCATCATGGCGGAGAGCAAGGAGTTCTCCCAATGCCACCACCAAAGAATAAATAAAGTTGGTTTTGGCTCACGTTGATATTCGCTCGAAATAGTCGATGTGTTCGAGCGGCGTATGGTGGAATGGGCCGAGGGGCTAAGCAAGCCAATTAGCTACCTAATAGACTGATTACTGGTAATTCAGGGTGTTGCGAACGATACTTACATCACAGTCCTCGTCCATCTTCTTGGTCGAGATGATAGAGGAAAATAGGCACTGTCAGAAAATAAGACGTATTTTTCTAACCTGGCCCCTACTTCAACGATTGTCTTTTCAGCTGAATATTTGAGTGCAATTCTTCCATCGCAGTTACCAGCATCTCTTAAACAAGCTGGTCTCTATAGTCAGCACTCTTCCCGGTTAGTGAAGCCTTATCAGATTTTTTTCTTGTTAGACTAATATGTTCCACTTGCTTAACGGATACTATGAACATTGAGCATAGAACTTAACATGTCCTCAATCTAAGCAATGAGTTTCACCTGGTACAGTGCCTTGGCAGCAAGCTTGAGCAATGGAACGCTCGATATAGATTTCGTTGTTGTTGAAGTTAACATATGGCTATGTTCAGCTTTAATCAAATCCTTCTAAGCATTAGCAAAGATGGCAATGCCGTATGGCCTCGACCACGAGCTTCCTTCAGCATCCGAGAAAGAGATAGTGAGGCGCTCAACTCCCGTCTCCTTCGCCGTATATGTTGCGTTGGAGCCATCCACACTGATCGAACCAAATTTGGCACCGTCAACTTTGAAGACAAGTGGTGACACAAACCCACGTGCTAAACTGCTGAGGTCAATCTCTGTCGTTGCGCCAGGCGCAACATAGGAGTGCGGCTCAGCCATCCAGTTGAGATATCCATCAAGAGCCGTGTATCCGCTGCCTCCGGTTGAGCCATCCCACCAGTCAGCAATGCCATCGCCGTCAGCGTCCCAGGAGGCATCTCGGACTGTCGTGGGGAAATCTTCCAAGCCCCCAACATCACTGGGGTCATCTATAATTCCCAGTTCCCCGCTAACCGAGCCTACGTAAGTATTTGTTCCAGTCAGAGTTTCGTTGACAATGCGTTTGTCATGGTCGTCGAAAACTGGCTGCTGGGCACCACGATCTGAAAGCACACGCTTATATGCCTCGGTGGATAGTTGAGTGTCGACGTAGGACTCGAAAAATCTAAATAGGCATGGAATGAGATAATTGAGGTTAGAGGGAGGGAGGGCTGATCAGAACTCACGGGACATCAAAGAATTTCTGGTAAGCCGGCGGCGGATCGATGGACACATTCGCCCAACAGGCAATCGGGTATCCAGGATAGGAGTCATTGCCGCCCGGGGTTTGTGTGGAGTTTTGGGCAATCAAAACTTGACCTTCCTTTGTGTACATGGAGTTCCCTTCACAGTAGTACTGCTGGGTGCCAGGAAGCGCGTTCTCGTACTATGCAAAATCGTCAGTCGCCAAGAATGAGTCCACTCCTTGCGCAATTTCACTCTAGAGTCTTACCTGTGCCATGAAGGTATAGTTACGGTAACTAGCCGGGCCTTGCTTATAATAGTTGCCAACAAAGTTGCCCTCGTGAATACCGCCGTCTGTGACACGCGAACCTACGAGGTCAAGATCAGCACCGACTCACATGCATTAGACTCGTTGGAAATACCAAAATTGTACACAACATTATTGCGAATGTCGAGACGGCCATTGAAGAACCCGGCATTATCAACGTTTCCTGCCATGCTCCAAGATCGACCCTCAGCATGGGCCAGCAGATTGTGGTGAAAAGATCCAATGTCACCGTTTATGCTAGCAGAGAAACCATGAGCGGTACCAGCAGGGTAGTTTTGGTGGCCAGCCACATTGAGCGGCTCCGAGATGAAGTTGCGCTGAAAGGTAATGTTGTAAGCTGACCGAGACGAGAAGCATTCATCAATGGCCCAACCCATCGAGTTGCGGTCGAAGATGCAGTGATTGGAGCCTTCCATGCCCATTCCGTCAATCGTCTGGCCGGACACCTTGCCAGGACGGACGCGAAGGTGTCGGATGACGACGTCGCTGGCTCCGGTAAGGCCAACAGGCCAGCCTTGGATCGCAATACCCTTTCCTGGCGCAGTCTGGCCAGCGATCGTTATGTACGAGTCGTTGATTGACATTCGAGATAGAGTTGTGATGACACCACCAACATCGAACACAACTGTTCGAGGCCCTGTCTCTACCGTAAGGGCATGTCGCAGGCTACCAGGTTCTGAGTTATCCTCCAAGGTTGTCACATGAATTACTTTCCCGCCACGGCCACCCCGAGCGAATCGGCTAGTGTTTGATAAATGTGTGAGCTCGACTGAGACAATGGAGTCCTTGAGTCTACCTAGGTAAGTGCAGGACTTACCCATATCCTTCAGCGCCATCAAATGCTAATTGTGCCAGGCGGAATTTGAAAACATTACCGATATACAGGTGGCAGCCGTCCACCACATCTACACGCCAGAAATATGTATCAAAGGTGTTGAGGTCTATCATGAATAAGCTTACTACATACTAGTGATAATGGAAGATCATACCTTCAAAGCTCACACTAGCGTCTTCTTGGTTGAGACTGACGCTTTCTAATTTATCTTGGGAAGTTCCTAGGTAGATATTATACTTAGGGGACGAGACGAGGGCCGGAGGAGTCCACGATGCAGTAACGCTAGTAGATCCCTCAAGGTTGAGATGCTCGTCGTTGTGGCTAGGATAAGGGAAGGAAACAAGCTGACCCATACGAGGTCCATCAATCTCAAACCCATTCAGGTAGGCTCGAGTTGTATTTCCAGTTGCAGGAGTGTATACGACTTGAACAGTCTGATCTTCTGATTTGATATTCAGGTGAATATATGAAGTTGCAGTCTGCCAGATATTATCCTTGCGAATGGATTGTGAAACATTCTAGAAACAGCCCATGAATTAGGGACAGCCGGCACATTAAGTGAAGCATAGCGCAACCCACCGTAGCGACAGTGTCTCCATCCACAGTTACGTTCAGTGGTGCGACAGAAGCAAGATTATCCCAACAATTATGCCAGGCCAGGAGAGTGTGATTTCCTGGTGAGAGCCCCTTTAGAGTCAATATAAGTGGAAGGCCAAGCTGGTCGTTTGTTGTAATGCCTTGATCAACGACTCTTTCGCCTAGTGTTGACCAGAATCTCGCATAAGCAAACTTGTAATAACTACCAATGAGTGTAGAACCGCCTCCGGCAGCGAGGTTTACATCAACCCCGTTAAAGCTACCAGAAGCGGAACTTGCACCACTCGGGATAGCCCATACTCTGTAGTCAGGATCTTCCAGATATCGAATATTAGATGGATTCAAGTTGACCTTGGTGAGGAATGCTGGAGGACTAGGAGCAACTTCCGCGCCAAACACCGCATAGAACGCGAAACTGCTTAGGAGTAACACCTTGGTGAAGTCCATCGCGGAGATCGACTGGTAGATGCTAACTAGGAATAGATCGTGAGCGCAAGTGATGGTCGTGTCCACAAGAGAATCTACAGCTTGTAGAGTCTTGGCATATTTATAACTTCATTGCTTCCCCTTTTCAATTCTCTCCTTCGCCAAAAAGAGATAGTTTGGTTGCATTGTGTTGTCCGTTCAGAATGAGGTCCAATATGACTTGTGGAATTGGAAATTCCGCCAGTGAGCGTAAAGAAAGTATAGTTTAAAGACAGTGTCGCAACTGGGTCCGAGTTAGCGATTGAATATGAGACTTGGTTTCATTCAGCTTGTTGGCTCGTGGCCAGCTTTCCCGAGCAGCTGGCCTGGGCAGTTGTTCGTTCTTCTCCAATTCAACCCCAACTTCCCAATACAGGCAAAATTTGGGGAATGCGCTGTGACCCCTTGACGAGCCAAGGCTCGAGATGTGAGTACTAGTCTAAAGTAAGATTGTAAAAAGATATAGCCAAAAGAGACGGAACCACAGAGGATTAAAACTATCGACAAGCCAAGCGCCTTCATCTTCGTCACCAATGATGTGATTTGGGTCTGTCCAATAATCCTGGGTTCTTCTCCGATAGTTTTGATATATTTCAAAATTTATTTTCATCCCTGGTTTACTTGATCCCAGAGCGAGGACGCAGTCACCGATTTACTGCAGCACGATGAAGGCACGTTCACTGCTTCTTGGACTGAATCTTAGTTCATGTCTATATGGGGTCCTTGCTATGCCACCTGCACCCGACAGCCTTTGGGCAGTTTCACCACCCCTGGATTATGATGATCCTATTTATGCTGGATGGAAACAGATTCCCATTGTCAAGGAAATTCAGGTTTATAACGGCATAGCAAATGATCGCACATATGCACATCATCCTGAGCTATTTGCTGTCGGCAGCAATGTCTATCTTATCTTCTCATCAGCCCCGGTGGATGAAGACAGTATGGGCCAGGACGTCTGGATCTCAACATCTAACGATGGAGGCTTGACTTGGAGCCGAAGTGAGAGTTTACTACCAGCCGCGATTTTACCTAACCAGACCGACAACTTGCAAGACTATACCTATTGGTGTAGCCGCGGTATTGCCCAGCGAGCATGGCAAGGTCTCACCTTCGTGCATCTTGATGACGGCGAGCTATACGCAATTGGACAATCGGGTAGTCGCTGGTGCCCTGGGTCGTATCGCACCGCGGGCCGCATTGCCCATCAAATATCTCTTAAAGGCAAGCCAATTGGCGATCCGTGTTGGATAGAGAAGAATGAGTATACCTCATCAGAACTATACAACGAAACAATATACGGGACGAAATATGGTATGAGGGGATGCAAGAGAGCTTGTGATATTAACAAGGTACTTCGTCAGCCAGATAAAGCCCCTGCTTGGTCTCCATGGCTCTACAACCACATTCTTGACGCTGCAGATGGTGTTCATAGCATGCAAGAAAACACATTTGCAGTCTGGTTCCATGATTCAGACTCTCCAACCGGCGGCTATTGGCAGCGACACTGGCGCGACATTTCTTCGGGCACGTCCAACACGCATAATGTGTGGGTAGAATACAATGAAGATCCAAACGGAAATGGGTGGTATCCCAAGAGGATGTCGCAGCTAGGCAACAACATTTATCAGACCACAATTCCGGATGCTGGAACCAAGCAATTCCTTGGGAAGATCTACAACGGGAACAGATATCTCATCTCAAATCCACGCTATACAACACTCCTCCAGCGACAACCTCTTACTCTGGCAACATCTGTCGGGAGAGACCAGAGATATACCAGTGTTGGGGTTTTACGCACTAATGCCACTACAAATATTGTTCCAGACACTCGCGGCGTCAAAGCACATGCTTTTGGCTTCAGCTATCCCACAGCCGTTCAAGTCGGCAATAAGTTGATAGCAGCGTATAGTGAAAATAAGGAGAATATATGGGTCAGTGTAGTGAATGTTGAAGACCTTCCTCTTCACCAATAAGTATTCATACGGCAAGACGATGTCTAAAATACCTTGAGATATTAGTAACAATGATTAGCTCTTGGTTTGACTAGTCCCGTGCACATTTGTAACTGATGCTGCTAGGGGCCAAAAATGTAATATCAACACCGACACCGACCGATCCTTTTATCATCCTCCCCACAACTCTACGAGAGGGACGTGATGCAACTTTAATGTACCTTCTTGCGCTGCGTGAATATGCCTATCAGGGGCACTTTCAGACTTATTGAGAAGCCGTAGATTTCTATTATCAATTTTAATCTGAGCTTATACCTGATCTCAAGGGCCGGACAGAAGACAACAATTGCTTTCAAATCTCTTATTCCATAAAAATAACATATGATAACGTCTAACTACAGTATGGATATTTCGACAACTCGCTGCTTTACCCTTTTCACCAAGTAAGATCAAAGGCCTTCGCAATCTCATAACTGACAGCCCGAAAGTTGATCGCAGGGAAGTACGTGCAGTGTTGCCGGGCAGTTTGCCCCACGTTCATTCTCGAGAAACCTCGGCCGTAATTTTCCGGGGCCGCCAGAACTCTGCACCGAGTATGGTCGTGAATCTCGTGTAGATAGATACTAGCGGTTATGCCCCGCTTAATAGTCTCTGCTGACAGCTCCCCATGGGGTACTGCACCAATGTTTGAGGTTAGCTTCAATCCGGGATTAACTCGCTCAACGGAGCCGACGTCTGATTAGCGAGTTGCAGGTGGAGGTGGAGGAGAGAATGTAGTATATATTCCGAGTGTGTTCCCGTCGGCTGTTCAACGTGGAAGAGGGGTTCCCGATGTAACATACAGGCACACTCACACAACTCATAGCAAAAGCAACCCCGTGAAAGAAACCTCCGAAATCAATTATACTTAAAGTTGGAAACAATGGGTGGGCTTCGCGCGGTCGAAGACAGACCCACGCCAAAGGAAGTCTACAATTGGCGACTCTATACGGAGGCCAGCATCATTGCGACGGGCTCTTTGCTGTATGTCTGCGGTTTTGTCCAGTTCTTGGTGTCCTCGGGACGTGAGGTTAACGAGTATAGTTTCGGGTACGACTCAGCCTTCATTGGGACGACGATAACCAGAACGAGCTTCAAGAGCGCCTTTGGCATTACTGCAGCAACCTCTAGCGATGTCTCAAGCAACATCACCTCGGCTTTTCAAGCTGGGGCTTTCTTCGGAGCGCTCTTCTGCTACTTTAGTAAGATGCAACACCCCATTCCTTCTAATATTGTTCTTATCTCACACCTAAGCAAGTGACCGAACGTCTTGGGCGAAAGTGGGCCCTTCAGATCAATGTCTTTGTCTTCATCATCGGTGCAATTCTCATGATTGCTGCAACGCATCAACTTTCTTTTATATGTAGGATTTCCGTATCGACTTTGTTACGATATAACCGGCTAACCTTGAGGAGATGCGGGCCGGACTCTGACTGGCCTTGGCTGTGGTGGCATTACAGCTACAGTGCCAAGTTACATTGCTGAGCTCTCAATTCCATCTATAAGGGGCATTCTCACCGGTCTCTTCGAAGTTGCTTATCAGATTGGATCGGTTATCGGGTTTTGGATAAACTACGGCATCACACAACATATTTCAGGGACGTCTTCCGTGAGTTGGAAAATACCGATTGCATTCCAGATTGTTCCTGCCGGAATTTTATTCATTGGCGCCTTCTTCCTTCACGAGTCGCCTCTAGTGTTAATGCGCAAAGAGAGAGTCGAAGATGCATACAAGACCTTAGAAGAGCTTCGAAAACTCCCTCGTGATCACCCTTACGTCCAAGAAGATGTTCTTATGCTGCAGAACAGGCTCGCTGAGGAGGCTTCCATTGCTCAGACTTTTGGAACTGGACGCTGGGCGTTCTTCCGGGGCGCGATGTCCGAATTCTCACGCCGAGGGATGAGGAACCGTGTGTTGCTTGTTCTCTGCTCATTCACTCTCCAAAATATGTCTGGAGCTGCAGCAATCAACTATTATTCTCCTACTCTCTTCGGTTCTATTGGAATATCCGACGTAGCATTGTATACCGGTATCTACGGCTTAGTCAAGGCAATCGCTTCGTTGATATTTTACATTTTTATGATAGACTTGGTCGGACGGCGCCGACCTACTATCATTTCTTCTTTTGTCTGCTCGCTATGCCTCTGGATCGTCGGCACATATGTCAAAGTCGGCCACCCCGCAGCTATCATTGCCTCCGGAGGCACATTATCAGAATCGACCAAGCGGGGTGGTCAGGCCGCTACTGCTATGGTGATGATCTATTCTGTTTTTTGGTCTTTTGGTCTAAATGGAATTCCATGGATCGTTGCCGCCGAAATATTCCCCGGCGCATTGCGAAATCTTTCTGGTACCCTAGCTGCTCTTGTGCAGTGGTATGTAATAGCACCCTTTCGGCACTCTTCAGCTTTCTGACTTTGTTTAGGGCTATTCAATTCATTATCACCAAGGCACTCCCGTATATCTTCAACTCCTTCGGATACGGGACATGGTTCTTCTTTGCCTCTTGGATGCTGCTGGCCACTGTTTGGGCCTTTTTCCTGCTTCCAGAGACCAAAGGATTGACTATCGACCAAATGGATCTCGTTTTGTATGTTCTGGCATTTCTCTCTCGTGTGTGACAAAACAAGCTTACGAATTCTCTGCTGCAGTGGTTATAATTCTGACAGGCCGTACCGTATTCCTCGGACATCTGTGACGACCAAGGAAATCCCAACCATAGTTGAGGAAGAACACCATTTAGGAAAGTAAATCTGGGAGATAATCTACGCAGGCATATCATTCTTTAATCATATCTATTGGAAGGCAACCTGCAAAGTGATTCAGGTGTGAGCAGACGGCTTCCAATTAGAGGACGCATCAACACATCAAGATTGTTCCTGAAAATCACGACAGGATACTTCGTATCGCCAACGAAAGCAAGTGTTCTTATTGTCGGCTTGTCTAGGAAGACATACGGGGCATAGTGTGTATGCAGTCGTATTCTACAGTCTAAAGCTTCAGAAATAGCAGTGGTAATTGCAAAACTGGTGAATTATTGTTGTGTTATACCTAGTGAAGGTGGAAATAGAATACATACACTAACATTCTATCTGCAATGGCACGCATTAATACGTTAGTCAGTTTTGGATCGCGTTTAGCAGTATTCTGTACGTAAATATTGGACAACTCCAGGATCAAGATCCTTCTGAATAGCCAAGCCACAATCGGCGGCTAGATTAACGCCTCCTGTACCTACCCGAAACACAGTATCTCAGCGTTTCATGAAAATGGTAGAGTTTCCTGGCGCATTTTGCAATTAGATTCTCGAAAATTTCAATTTGATTTCAAACATTGAATCCATTATCAAAATTCAAGACTCGAGCATCACGGCAGTGAAGGCATCCTTACAGGGTTTAGGTCTCCGTATTTTTAGTAGGAGCCTTCCTGGAAGGATGGACTTTCTAACAGTGCCATCGCCAAGTACACTAGCAGCCTAGCTACTGGTTATGCATTGACTCAGCAGGGCTTGATAGGCCCTGAATTGCGGGATCGTCGCTGTAACGGTGCATGGTTTGACAACTCCGTTTGGGGGCTGAATGCGCTTGTTGCCCCTGCATTCTCAAACCTAATAAAGAGCCGCCACCAGCCTCAGCATCATGGAACTCGGTTTCTCTTCTATTTCGGACTTCAATGGTCTTCCGTTTCTGTTCTCACAGCAGGGCGCCTGCACACTTTCAAGATGGCAACGCCGGCGTCCCGAGCGGATCAGAAGAATCCGTACCGAATTGCCCAAGATTCGGAAATGGACATGTCCTACCATTCACTCATGTATGAAGATGGTGCACAGGCGCAACAGTGGGAACAACAGCAGTGGCAGCAGCAGCAACAGCAGCAGCATGGGAGATATCAACCGTCACAAACATTTTACGGGCCGGGGGTACCGAATTGGCCTGATGGGGCGGCAACGCTGAGGAGATCGAACATGTTCGCGACCTGCGCAATCATGATAGACGGAATCCTCATATGCATTGCCTTGCTGTTCCTAGTTCTGGCAATAGCAGCTGTGTCAGTTAGGAACAGGCCGGCTGGTGATGGTCTCGGTACCTTGATTGAGCAAGCCATGAAGCTGGTAAATGGACCCCACAACTCGGTCTTTAAAGGAGTGTTAACATAGTATAGGGCCCTACTGTCTTTCCGATTACCTTTGCGGCTCTAGTCGGACGTTCGCTCAAGAACATTGGCCGATATCGAGCCGAAAAAGGCGTTCAAGTCTCTGTAAGTGTTCAGTCCATGCCATTCTTTTGAGAAATCACTGACACATTTAAAGGCCCTATGGCCGCTGATGTATACGAAGACAATATTTGATGCTGTTGTTTCTCAATGGCAGCTAGGAACTCTCTCGCTGACAGCTATCTCTCTCGCTCTATTGTGGGCATTATCGCCCTTGGGAGGCCAGGCTTCTCTACGAGTAGTGTACACAACCAATCTCACACGCACCAGCAACCTAGACCTTAGATACATGGACACTGGCGCCATGGGAAACATCTTTGCAGAGACCTCGAATGTGGAGACATACGATCTGGGAGCCAATGCCTCGGGCTTACCGACCTCTATGCAGGCTACATATGACGCTGCGCTCATGCAAGGTGTTGAGACCAAGTTGTCACCGCGAGATGCCTGGGGCAATCCTAAGATCCCGCGACTGGAGTTATTTGATCAATCCACTGCTGACGCCGACGGATGGGTGGATGTCACCGATGTCAAAACCGTCGAGACTTACAGCTCCCTGATGGGCATGCCTATCATTGGTGTTCCTAAGAATGGCACCGCTGAGTTCTCAATTGAGTCATCATACATAGCGCTCGGTCTTCCTGCAGTCCAATACAGCTCTCGAGTCGGCGGCACATTGGGCCTCACCGTGACTTGCCCGGACTGCATCAACTGGGCGCATAACTACCACCCAGATAACATGACGGTGATGCAGGCTCGCCAATTACAGCTGATGGGACCGCCTTTTCCACAGCCTAATGCGACAGAACGAGAGAACGCATCGTATACGAAGGCGAACTACATCCGCTTTGACCAAGAGTTTGGCGGAGATGTTGGTCTGGCTCTCACTGATGTAACACAAAAACTGGTTGAAACGACTATATTCTGCGACTCAGGAAACTGCCAAGCTACCAAGATGCGAGTTCTGACAACGGACCATCGACCAGAAAACATCACCGCCTTTGACTGGTGGGGGACATTTGCATTAGATATGATAACAGCGGCCTGTACAAGGGAGAGTTCTCAGACGGCCAGCCCTACCGAGTTCTTCCTCAATGCCAGCTCGCAAATCCCAATCAATCGCCAGGTTTTGTATACCGGCGTTGCGATGGCGGTCAACTTCAGCACGATTAATCCGAACGATCTGTCGAACCGTGCTACGGCGCTGCTCAACACGGCGCTGCAGATTTTCTATTCACCTTTCGGCTTTGCTGGAAGCTTGCCCACCGAGAATATGACCATCTACGGGCCGGCACATATACCAAGCAACGGAATTAATGAAACAATCAAGGCTCTCGGGTTGGATCCCGACGAGATCGATTATACTTCGCTGATAATGACCAGCCAAACGAACAACGCACCCTTCATCGGCGCCTCAACGAATGCAAAAGTGATCCTGTACACAGAGGTCTACAAACCTGACTATGCATGGGTCGTTATCCTCGCACTGTCATCAATCGTCCTCTCGGCTACAGGCCTGCTAGGGATCATCATGGGCTTGCGTACTACAGCGCCCGATGTATTCGATCCGGTAATGGCCCTGACTTACGACAACCCTTACCTCGGAATGCCGATGGGAGGCAGTACGCTCAGTGCTGCCGACAGGGCAAGGCTGATGGCTTTCTTGAAGGTGCGGCTCGGCGATATACGAGGTGCCGACGATGTTGGGAAGATAGCGCTCGCGAGGACGGCAGATACTCATCCTCTGATGCGCGGGCGGCTGTACGAGTAGGACCATGTAGGACTTTAGTAGGACTCTGAGCGAGACCATAGCATTATGACTTGACGATGAATGTATAACATGATATCCTATTCGTTGGCAGGCCTGCTTCGTCATGTAAGTCGGGCGAACAGCACCCCGCGGCTTATCAGAATTAGCGTTGCGCCCGATATGCAGGAACCGCACCACGCAACGTGGCAAGGAGAATCTAATTTTGGCTTTCTCACTCTAAAACACAATGTCGACTCCCAGGGCGTCGAGTCAGAGCCTCTTCTCGACTTGTTGGGTTCGGTGAAGTCGAAAAAGACTACCTGAGCACGTCTTGGAGTTGACGCGGCATCCGCGGCTCACCGTCTTCCGCGGGGTAACTTTGACATTCACTGGCATGTGCTTACCCTCTGACGTCTTGCGGCAAACGTTACTCTACTCCAACTTCAGCCTTGTATGTAGGACTTGAGAGCAGTGAAAGGCCGCCAGATATTCGAATATTCGCGGGGGAATCTGAGACCGGCTCGTATCTCGTGTTGAGCTTCACCTCGTAACTCCGTGCGAGGCTGTCTGAGAACCGAAGATCAGTAACGGTGAAGGCGGTTCTGGTGAACATATAAGTTGCTGGGGAAGAAACCCCGAAAATACCGGCAGCTCTGGTGAAACCCGCAACTCAATTCCTGTCTTACCTTTCTCTAGCGCAACGTCGCGGTTTCACTTTAGACTTTCAAGCTTTCGCTTCCTCCCGCCTTAGTTGTACTACTTCAGCAAGCCACCGCAGCCAGCACTTCATTACTTTGAGCCATGGCAGCAGATCTTCGTGCCCTCGCCGAGATTGACGTGGTCAAACCCATTCCCAAGGGACAACTCTATGCAACCCTAGAGACGCCGCCGTTCATCTTCGTCCCGGGTACCTACAACACCCGTGATGTAGGCCTCGTCCCAGGTGTGACCCGTATACGTCCGGGGCTGGTTTTCCGCTCCGGCGGCCTCGACAGGCTCACCGATAACGGCAAAGCACTGATCCAGGCGAAGCTGGGCGTTAAGCGAGTGTTTGACCTGCGCTCACAGCGCGAGCACGAGACGGCCCCCGATCCGGAGATTGACGGCGTCGTGAATGTGTGGAACGTCGATGTCGGCGAGGATGACGCTAAGGTGAACTTGTCAACTTTCATCGACGGCGAGGGCGAGAAGGGGTATACGGAAATGTACCTCGACGTGTTGAGGCTGTACCGGCCGGCCTTTCGGGATGTGCTAGAGCATGTACGAGACAGGCCCAGTGAGCCGTTCTTGTTCCACTGCACAGGTGGGTGATGCCTTGTCCTTTATTTTCTATTTCCCCTCGTTATCGAAAACGGGAATCTAATCCTCTTCTCTTAGCTGGGAGAGACCGCACCGGCGTTCTCGCAGGTCTACTATTGACTCTAGCCGGCGAGAGCTCTGACGCCATCGAGTTGGATTTCCTGCTGTCTCGTGTCGGGACCGAACCGGTGCGCGAGCACCTCTTGGCATTCGCAAAGCGGGGTGCCAGGATTGAGAGCGAAGACGAGCCAGGCTTCTATAACCTGGCCAGCCTGAAGGCGGTTTGTTGGCGGGCTTTCGTAGAGGCTCTAGACAAGGAGTACGGCGGCTTTGACGGTTACATCACAAAGACCTTGGGCTTCTCAGAGGAGGACCTCGCCAAGATCAAGAAGAACCTCGTGAGGGACGAGGGGTTGGACTTGAAATAGAGAAAGATATGACATGCTAGAATCTTAGAAACGAAATACAGTAATAAAGGCCGCCAATACGAATGCTCATATCCTGGGGCAAATATGGACCGTAGTCATGACAAAGAATTTACATTGCTCAGACTCCAAGAATGACCTTGTATCTAGTGTAGTAGGATGGCTCAATGTCCTCGAAGGGGACATGGATGCGAGGTTGTGACGACACAAGACTCCTCTGGCCTCTTCGTTTGTACCATGAAGGCAGTCACCAGATCCTCGCAATGGATTCGCAACTGGAGGTCTTGGTCTTCACTTGACTTGGAGTCAGGGCTTCGAAATTTCAAGTATGTCCAAAGGTCTGTTTGAAACCGGGGGCCTTCGCGTAGAGAGTGTGGTGTTAGCTGGTGGGAGATTCTCTAACCATATCACTATTATCAGAAGAGGACTCGCTATCGAGGTCCTGCACATTCCCATTGAATTACGACATTCACATCTATGGGTATGATTGACAATAGTGATGTATACAACTGTGTCATTTTGTGGTTTAGGTGCGACCTCTTCGCTGGGATGAATCAAGGCAGAATTTCGGGAGGAAAGCTTGTACAACAAGCTCTCTAGATTCCAAGAACGCGGTGTCTTTCCGTTAGGAGGCGTCCGCCGAAGTCTATGTAACGATGAACACATCTAACGATGCGGAGGAGGCCGTACCAAGGCCTTTAAGAGCATCGTCACGCGACACATGGTTGAATACGCCATAAACTTCGTTCCCTATCTACGCTAAGTCGGAAGCCATACCCGAACTCCTACGTCAAAGCTCGAGACATTCCGAGTTCATCCATACGAGGCACCATTACTCTTCTGCAGGAGTGGTCGCTCAAGCGCCGTCATTCATCGTCATCCAATCCCAGCCAATTGCCTTGGTTATAAGCGAGTTGTTTCAGAGGGCGGCGGAAGAAAACGAACCACCAATGATCTATTGCCCGATCTTGTTCGATTCTCGTTGTTCTGGTGTCATCCCGCATCGCAAGATAAGTTGGGTGCGAAGATGGTGCTTAGCCACATCGCAAGGTGACATCACACCCTATTTTCAGGGTCCTGTGGAGGTGTGGCAGCCACCGCCAATGGATGCGGGGGGATGACCGCCGCCAAGATTGAACCCCTGTTGATGTCGTTAACAATATTACCTAGGCCACACTTTGCAAGCTGTTAGACACCTGTATCAATTATGACGTCCCCAGCCACAACCTGTCTGTAATCGATTTGCCCTGTCTCCCCCTTGCTGCATCCAGGGTCCAGTGCCAACTTTCCAAGTAGCCAACGATGAGCATCAGGAGGTCGAGAGCTTTCTAGCCCGATGATGGCTCCCCCACCAGGCTGACGAACCATACACACTGATCACCCACCTTTGATGTCATCCCCTACCTCAGAGCTCACTTGTGGCCTAGCACGCCAACATGTTGTCTGCATCACCGTTGAAGCCCTACGAATGGCCGTCTTCGAGGATATAAACCTGCCTCGTCTCCCGTCCTAGAACGCCACTTTTTCCATCTTCATCAATATCAACAGATCTTAAGAACCAAAGCGTCTTGAGCCAACACTTCAAACTACAAACCTCAAACACTTTCACATCATACAAACAAAGCAAACATTCAAAATGGTCGGCCGTCGTCATCACCACACTACCACCACCACAACCACCCGCCGCCGCGGTCTCTTCAGCAGCCGCCGCCAGCCCGTCGTGGTCCACCACCAGAAGCGCCACGCCACCCTCGGCGACAAGATCAGCGGCGCCTTCCTGAAGCTCAAGGGCTCCTTGACTGGCCGCCCAGGCGAGAAGGTACTTTGAATCCAACTAGCTATCCCTCTAGTACTTCGACACTAACACGTTATCATTAGGCTGCCGGTACGCGCCGCATGAGAGGCACTGACGGCCGCGGTTCTCACCGCCGCCGCCGCTTCTTCTAAGCGCCTCCCTTATCCACAAAGGGGTGCAGGGAAGCATTTTACGACATAGACATGAAGGACGATGCTTTGTACAATAGTTATGAGTTAGCGATGTTGGACGAAGATACCCCAGCCCATACTGTATAACAGCGGTTTGATGCCATTACCACGAATAGACATCTAATCAATCATATCACATGATGATACTTTACGATGTTACGCATCCAGTGGGCGTTCACGTGTGGATAAGCGACCAAATGCTATGCATGGATGAGTGGAAAGTAATCCATTATAAATATATATTGCGTGATTTCCAGTATTAGTTGCCTTTGACACTTCTCGTCGTGACCGGACTCAAAATTGAGGCCTGATAATGGGCGAATTGGTATATCTTCCAAGGAACCAGCAATCAAAGCTCCACGCGAAGTAATTCGCAACCGGTATAGACCTTCAGCCACGAGCCTCATGTCCGTGTTCGCCACAAACAGAGATGTATTCCTCATTAGCGAGGTATCTTCTATGGGCAGGTTGAATTTTCTGCAGCAAGTCGTACATCATCACTTTCGTAATTATCATTATACTTGAACACTCATCACCCCGAGCTAACTCCCTCCCGGCGATGATGACCTAAAATGTAGGCAGAAGCGTCCCACTGTAGCTCATCCAAGTCAGCATTGTCGAAATGAACCACAGGGTATGCTGGGTGAATGGATTTAGTATCCGATCGTAATCGCTGAATGACCTTAACAGGTCGGGGTATGCGAGAATTGCCGGATTTCTTAGGTAATCTGTAGTGACGAGATTTGTTTCGGCCCTTCTTGTCGTCTTCCTCCAGCTCACCAGTGGATGGGACAGACCCTCGAACCAGGGCGTTACTATCTCGCGGACTAAGGACGCTCTTGCTTCGGGGAGCACAAATGCTCAGAGCAAGCTCGTCCTCGTCATCATCTCGGCTGGATCGAGAATCCAAGTTGCGGAATTGAAGCTCCAGCTCCTCCAGCCTTGTTTTGCTTGGAGATGGGTGCTTCTTGTAATTTCGAGTGAAATTTTTATCAGAGTCTGGACGTTGAAGAAGTTGGGCAGCCGATTCAGTCGCCTGTCCCAAAGGTATCACATCGACTCCGCCAAGCTCACCGCGAGACGGGGGCAGCTAGCCAGTTTCATCCGGTCGCTGAGCCAGCAAATCCGAGGAAGCATTCACATTCTTAGGAATGTCGGCTCGGATGGGAGTTGATTTGCCCAACTCAGTAGGGCTTCGGCTTCCGGCCTGTATTGTTTCCTCCATCTGGGGACAGGAGAAACTGTTCGCAGGAGGACGTATGGCTCGATTAAGCCCCGTTCTGGACTTCTGCAAACGAACTTTTCCTTTGCTAATTGATTTCAAACGCAACCTTGGGGTGGATGAAGCAGTCGGGGGGGACTGTAGTAGGTCATCGATCCTTCTATCAAACAACCGTTCGGCTTCGAAAGGGTCAAATGTCATCGAAGTAGAAGAGTTCTTGGAGTCCTCCTTCCAGGCCTCTATGCCGCTGCTTTGAAGCGCCTGATCTTTCAGGCGAGCCTCAAAGAATGTCAGACTACGGTCCGAGGTATGGGATTCAGAAAAGGGATCCTCGAAGGAATCGCCGCTTTTGAACGACTTCCCATCACTGTGTAAAGGTTTGCGCTGGTGTTTGCCTCCGGTAAGATCACGAATTTTGTCCCCATTCAAGTTTCGGCCCGCGTTCAATCGCATCTTCATGATTGTCGTCGGTGGCTCGTCTTCTGGCAAGAGGAGAGGTTCGAGTGTGGCAGGACGAGGCTTACAGCCCGTCTTTTCAGGCTGCTCGTAAAGCAATTCGCCATTTTGATCGTTCAAGGCCCCTTGTTTGACCTTCGCTTTCGGGTGTATGCGAAAATGATCAGACCAAACCTTGGATATCTTCGTGAACGTCTTCGTCGATTTTAGTCGTCCCATGATGTTCGGGGTTTGTTCGGCAGGCAACTCCATATTACCCTTCAAAACAGCTGTAGCTTCGAATACTGAGGCGATCTTGCGATTGATCTCATCCGCATCCGCATTTCCATAGAGAGGAGATCTCGGCAGCTTGCTCGTAAGGTCTCGTGTGCTATATGAGGCGGCAACACTCGGAAGTATACGATGCTGGCCAAGCGAATTGGTATTGACTGTTTGAGACTTTGTTAAACATCCCTTGACAACTCTAGAGCTAGCACCGAATGAATTTCCATGTCCCTTTCCGAGGTTCCTTCTTGAAGATTTGCGAGGGATTACTGGAGTTGGAATTTTCTTAAGAAGAGAAATCTCGTCGCTGCCATTAGAGTGAAATGTCACAAGTCGGGCCTCGTAGATGGGGGACATGGTGTTGCTTCGCGACAAGCTCTTGATGTCACCATCCTCTGGATCTCCTGCCAGAGTAGTTCTCATATGAGAGGAGATAGAACTACCGGTCGAAGCATTGTGTTCTTTATCGCCGTTCCGACTTGAAGGTTGAGCTATCGATGTGTCATCGAGCAACTCCCTGACAATTTCGTCGAAAGTGTCATTGTGCGTGGGGATGGATGATTCATTGTTCTTCCCGCTTCGTGAGGTACGCCTGGAGGACGAGATTTTCCCACCTAGACATAGTCAACGATTGTATGAGACAGGCCGGGAAAAGAGCAGCAAGGATATCGATCCGATTAGACTTACCTCGTTGAACGATCGACTCTTGGCTTGTTGACTTGTGAAGTCGCCGATGCGATACAAAAGAAGGCAGAATTGTCCTTGACTTCTTACTATAGGTGGTGAGAGCCATCGCAGCTCTGTCAAAATAGAAATTGACGATTATGGCAGTCCTCAGGTTGCCCTCACTTTTGTTAAGGACTGTGGCATAGACCCATGTGATTGAGGAGTGAATATGAGGGCAGAAGGAAGGCAATCGGTTGGAAGAGCGACGTGACGAAAAGGTCAGGACGACTTCATACCAGCAAAAAAACAAGCCCAAACCCAGCAAGCAAGGTCGTCAAGGATTTCAAAGGAAGAACTCAGGTAGTAAGATGGATGTCGCTCGTGTCTCAGACTCGAGCAAGCATCTAGTCTAGACGGGTTTGGAATCCATCGACTGGGTTCGGCGATGGAATGCTGAAGGTAAAGAAGAAACTTCACTGCACCCTTTTTTTTCGTGATGACACACTCGCGAATCCAAACGCGTGATCGTGTCTCTGTTAGCCCACGAGATCTTGCAGGGTCAATTGGCACGTGAATATGCGGCCACTTTTAAGTGTCTTTCGTCCGAAGTTGAGCATCTCTGACGACTACCTAGGTAGTCTGAAGTAATGGGCACCTGTTGAAGGCTGTCAGGAAATTCTTTTCTACCAGACTGGAGGCGGAATGACGGCGAAGCGAAATTCAAGGAACGAGGAAGGCAGAATGGAGGTAGCGGGCGTAGGTACAGATGGTGATGCTCTTGCTGTTAGAGACGTCCCATTCAGGGGTTTGAGACCAGCTGACGGGGTCCAAGATAACTGCCTACCTGCCTGACCTGCCTTACATGTAGTAGAAATCTATGAACGAGAAGGCACGAGCGACCTCTCTGTCCACACGTCCCTTCCTAACCAGAACTTCGCTTACCTCCCTCAATCGACGCCATGGAGTGGCCGGGGCGCCCTGGTAAATTACCTAAGTAGACCGTGGTCAAGGAGTAACAGATCAGGGATTGTCCAATAGCTGTACCCTACGGTGTAAGGGTGGGAGTGGTCCAATGCTCGAAGGCATTGGTATCAGTAGAAGAGAGTAGGTAGCATTAAAGTAACGGCACCACTCTCCTCCTCTTCGCGTTTGCGTGGCATGCATTGGGGAAATCCTCAACCAAATTTCATCAAAATTCCATACATAGGACAGGCTTGCAAGAGTACTCCGTACGGATCCTGGGCGGGAGATGGAAAATATCTGCTAGCTACTACTTGGGTAAAGGGATTCGCAAGCCTGACTTGGTTATATTATTAGATTGCTCCAAGCCTGAAAGTTGCTCAGCTTGAGCTGAGCTTAGAGGTTGATGCTAGATATTGGTGAGATATGATTTGATGAGCTGTGCAAGCCCATCGAGGAACGAAGTTCGCATTTCCGGAGAAGCAATATCGAGTTAATACACATGTACCTTTGCGATGATCATTTCAGTGATTGCGCCGGACAATTGAAGAGGTTTTGATTTGGCGTCTTCCCTGTACGGTATACCTAGGTAGTGATTCACTTAATAGCTCGCATGGTTGTGACTGCTCCCGAATACGTTACCAAGAAGTACAACCTCAAGGCACTCAAGAGTCTGGAGGAGTTGGTCGCCGACGCGGTGCAAACCAACATCCCCGTGAGATTACCCTACCACGCTGTGGCAACCATAAACAGTTACTAAATCCCCTGGCTCTGTAGTTCAACAACCCTATCACCGGATTCTGCGCATTGTGAGTCATTCTTTGGTAGTTATCGGCACATATCAGCTAACAATCAACCAGCACGCACAAGGCTGGAATCATGCCAAGCGTATGGACAGAATGATGATTCTCTTCCTTCTCGTTCTATTACTGATAGTCACAGCGATCATCGCGAACCCTTCAACTTACGAGATCATCGACCCTAGCTTGTTCGGATGTAAGTCCTGCCGCATGTTCTGCTCGTCCCACCTCATGTTGCTAATACTCCTACAGTGACACGCGACGCCTCGATCAATTCAAGAATTACAGGCTGGATGGATTAGGTGATGAAGCTGGTACGAAGACTAGATTGAGGGAAGCTAATATGCGAGATACCAGCCCAGGGGCAGGCATAAACCCATAGCATAATCATGTAAACGTCGTGGGTATACCATGTGATGCGACTGTTCTTGAACATTTGGGTTCGTAGCGAACGCAAGATGCAATTGTCATAATGCAGCGGCGTCGAATACAAAGGGGAATGAGTCTTGTTCTTAGTCATCCTTTATGAAGGCTCTTGTGCAAGTGTTAGTCTTGGTGAGATATACTAGAGTTTTACCTTAAGAGTGTGGGCGAGCTGTTGACTGTTAAGAGTAGGTCTCTTCCATTCTTCGTCGGACCAGAATTTGGACCCCTGAAATCCCTAGTGGATCATGTATGCACTAGCCACAATAGCAGCCACAGTAGCAGCCACAGAGGGGAATTTCAAAACGCAAGTCGTCGATTGGCGAATTGGCTCACTTTATCTATAGCACCCCGACATCAGCCGATACCGAACCCCGAGCAAAAAGTAGCAGACGGCCTCGGACTGGCTTGATGTTTCATCCCCAATCTTTTCCCACTCGCCTCCCGGTGCTCGCCATATATCTTCTCGGAAGGAGTGCATCCTCTCCGTAACTCTGTTTTCTCGTCTTTCCATCCTTTGTTGCGAATCCGTGACGGTCGTCAGTGCCGTTGTTGGTTCAAAAATCCCCTCTCCAGGTCCGCTTACCTACTCGTCGCACTTCGCCACCGCTGCTCCGGCCACCCTCTCTTCAACAACCTCTTCTGCTTTGGGGTTACAGCATTCACAAACGAGGTTGCCGTCACCTGCAGAACCTGCAATCTCTACAGTCAATTGAGATATCATGTCCTTCTCCAGCCTCGTTCAGGATCTGTCGCTTCGCGACCCGAATGCCCCGCGCCGAACTCGCGGTGAAGCTTCGACAGCTTCCACAATCGATGACCGAGCATCTCGAACCTCTCACATCTCTCGAGCCATGTCGTATGCGAGCACAGCCGCAACAAGCGTCAGCATTTCTGGAGATATCTCGAGCCAGCTCCATGGCGGCTATGCTCACCCATTAGCTCGATCATGGCAATCCGAGAGGCAGCTTACGAAGGTATGTGCTTGCATCTGTCACATGTCTGAGTGATCCACTAATGGGGTCTTACAACACAGGCGATGCTAATTTACCCTCTGTTCATCTCTGACCAAGATGACGAGGAGGTCCTCATTCCATCTTTACCCAACCAGTACCGCCGCGGCATCAACAAGCTTGTACCTTTCCTCGAGCCTTTGGTGCACAAGGGTCTCCGCTCCGTCATTCTGTTCGGCGTGCCTCTGAAGCCCGGCACAAAGGATGCGCTCGGTACAGCCGCTGACGATCCGGAGGGTCCAGTCATTCAGAGCATTCGATTATTGCGACAGCGATTCCCCCAGCTCTACATCGTAGCGGATGTCTGTCTTTGTGAATACACCTCCCACGGCCACTGTGGCATTCTTCGAGACGATGGCACTCTGAACAATCAATTATCCGTGGACCGTATCTCAGACGTTGCCATGGCTTATGCGCAAGCCGGTGCTCACTGTGTAGCACCATCGGACATGAACGATGGCCGTATCCGTGCCATCAAGCTCAAGCTGATTGAGGGCGGTATCGCACACAAGACCTTGCTCATGTCATACGCTGCCAAGTTTTCTGGCTGCTTGTATGGTCCCTTCCGAGATGCTGCCGGATCAGCACCGTCGTTTGGAGATCGCAAGTGCTACCAGCTTCCTCCTGGTGGTCGCGGTCTCGCTCGCCGAGCTATCATTCGTGATATTCACGAAGGCGCCGATGTTATCATGGTGAAACCCGCGAGCCAGTACTTGGACATTATCAGTGACGCCAAGGAGCTTGGCAAGGACTTGCCAATTGCAGCGTATCAGGTCAGCGGCGAGTTCGCCATGCTTCATGCAGCGGCCAAGGCTGGTGTATTCGACCTCAAGGCCATAGCATTCGAGTCTACAGAGGGTATTCTGAGAGCGGGAGCTACGATTGTCATCAGTTATTTCACTCCGGAATTCCTGGACTGGCTGTCCTGCTGATCATGAGAATCTGGGACCTGGGGAAAAGGTGTTTGGCGTTTTGATATAGGCGGCTTTACCAAAAGGAATTGCGTTCATTGTTTTACGACTTGATCGATGATGAGTCAATTCTCCGATCATTGCCCTCTGGCATTCATTTATCTCGCTTTGCGAGCAAGCATACACACCGGTTAGATGGCAATATGCCCATGAGCTTGGCACCTAGGTAGCTTCAGCTCCTTTAATCCCAATAGCGGACAGCGTCTTCAGTCGTGACAAAACCACCCCTTCACAAGTTTCGTGCCTTAAACACATTCCATTTCCTGAATAATCAAGACGACCTTCGGTAAAGCGAGGCAAGAAACCTCAGGTCTAAACGCTGGGTTAGATGCCCGCTTAAAGTATGCAATGAAGCTGGTTTTCCAAAACGTGTAAGCCTTGGGATTCGTGGCAGGTCTCCAATCTGGAACGGCCAAGGAGCTGGATGCTGGCCAACCATGTGGTCTCATTGGCGGTGCGGCAGCGATCTACAACCGAAAAATAAGCTCTTCCCCCTGTCGATCTGGTCGTGGGTCCACGCACTTCGAACCTCAAACACGCACATCACAATACTTTCTGCAAGAAACTACCGCCCGCTCAGTGAATCGCCCGGGATGATCAGGGTCCACGGATCCATCCCGTCTCCCTGCATTATGAGTCTTGGCATCGTTTGAAGCAGGTCTGTTGGTTCTCGGCACACAATGCCTCAGAAGATGATCATTCATTCCCACAGCCACTGTCTAAGTGGATAGGCCGAGAGTGACATCAGAGTATTCGACCCAATGTTTTATTCAAACACTCTGTCTCCATTTGATTTCGGACTTCTCCTATGTAGTCGTTCTTGCTTTCAACTATCGTTGAATGCCGCTTCTCATTATTCTGTCTCTCTCTGAATTTCTACTACATGTCGCACGTTCCTTAGTTCCTAGAATCGGTTAATGATCTGTTACCAATCGCCTTGGACCGAGCTGGCTGCGCTCAGGCTGGAACCAAATCTAACTGACTCGATCATCTCCTTGTATTGCTTCCTGTGTCTTAGAGCCTTGGGACCATCTTGAGACCCGTTGACTCGCCGTTTTATTACAAGAACCTTTACAGGACAATGAATGGCTATGCGGCCCCGAACTCCTCCCGCAAACGTGAGGAAAGCCCGAATCTACTGGACGAGAAGGCCATATTAGATGTCGAGGGCGATGCAGGCCGAGCAGATACCGAAAGAAAAGCACCCATATTGAAATGGGCAGATCCGGCATGGACCTCCATGAGCGGTGTCCGGTCTGTCTCATGGCGGGCTGCAATGCTAAGGACGGGATTCTTCCTCCTCCCAAGCTTCGTGCAAAGCAGACTGTCTCGTGACCACCGACTGCGGTCTGAGAAACTATCACCAACAGCTTATCTTGATGGAATGCGAGGACTGGCAGCCTTCTTTGTATTCTTCTGCCACTATTTTTACACCTGCTTTGTCATTGTAAATGGCTATGGCTATGGGGATGATAACTACCACATACTACAGCTCCCCTTCATCCGCCTGTTTTACTCAGGTCCTCCTATGGTATGCGTCTTCTTCGTCATCTCGGGATATGCTCTGTCATATCGTCCGTTAAAGCTGATGCGGTCACGCAACTCCGAGGGGTTTGCTACTACCATGACCTCTTTTGTCTTCCGCCGCGCGATGCGATTGTTTCTCCCGACTGCGATCTCGACTTTCATGGTCGTGATATTGCTTCGATTGGGCCTATACGAATGGACTCGAGATTTTGCTCGAGATAAAACATACATGAGAAACGTACAAGAAAATCACCCATGGCGAACGCAAACTACGACAGCGCAGATTAGAGACTGGGCATGGAATATGTTTAAGTTCCTGCACATCTGGGGATGGGAGAAGTTTGGTGGCAGCACAGGTTACGATGTGCATCTGTGGACGATCCCGGTGGAATTCAGGGCATCGATGATGCTTTTCCTGACTCTCATTGGCACAGCTCGATTAAGAACTGGGATTCGCTTTTGCGTCTTGGCGGCCATCATGTGGTTCACCTACCGTAGTGACAGATGGGAAATGCTGCTTTTCTATTGCGGCATGGTTCTCGCAGAGCTCGATATTATTCGCGGCGCCCACAGTAACCCAGCTACAACAGCTGCACTACCAGTCGTGGAACAGACATCCACATCCCTCCTGAGTCCACAGTCTCCAAGTACGGTTCGGAGAGGGCGAAGTAGGCCTCTTGGCTGGATAGGGCTCAGTATCTTGGCACTATACTTGATGTCCCAACCCGATGCTCACGCTGAGGAGACACCAGGCTGGATCCTTCTCACGAAGCTCATACCAGAATGGTTCTCGGACAAATATCGATACTGGCAAATCTTTGGCTCCATCATTTTCGTGCTGTGCGTAAGCCATTCGCCGCCATGGCAGCGCGTCTTCAACACACCGTTCGTCCAGTACTTTGGCAAGATCAGCTATGCGATCTATCTCATGCACGGCCCGGTTCTACACACCTTTGGCTATGCTATTGAAAGATGGGCCTGGAACATTACAGGCGTTGAAGGACCCAATTATCTCAAGGGCTTCATTCTAGCCGCAGTATTCATCGTTCCGCTCGTGATCTGGGCGGCTGACGTATTCTGGAGAGCGGTTGATGCACCAGTCGTGCGATTTTCCAAGTGGTTAGAGCAGAAATGCTCGGTATAAGGGGGACCATGTTCCTTGAATGGAAGAGCAGTTGGAGATCGAGTAACTCATGTATCCGGCGTTTATAGAATGGAACTAAGTATACTTATTATAGAACAGGCATATTTGAACATTCAAATGGAATTAGTGTTATGAGTAGACGCCCACAGTCAACGTTCATATGCATAATACCCGCGTAGAGATATCACATCGATCCGTCCAGCGTAGGGTATTTCGTTCAAAGTAGGATTTAGGGCTTACAGCTCTACCATGTATACCTTTTCCGTCTCCCTATGTTACAGTGACGATCAATACAGTCTATAGTGGCCCAATAATGAATTGACACACGCTCCATTCCTTCGCTTTCCGCCCAGCGAAGGACTTAGATGCCCCTGAGCTTTGTGTTGTCTCGTTTATCAATCGGCGTATATCTCTCATCGAGAAGCTCGTCAATGCTCTTCTTCATGACGTCGTCCGACTTCTCGTATCGTTGTTGTAGTGCCTTCTCAACATCAGACATATGGAAAATGGCCGCGTCAGCTCTTGACTCCAACTTCTCCTCGGCAACACCAACAGCCGCCTTTGCCTTGCCAACTATCTCCTTGCCTTTTTGAAGTCCTCTTTGGAAAGCGCTTGTCGCCGCTCCTTTGGCTTCTGCTGCCACCTCTTGCGTCTTCCCCTCTGCTGAAGTCACAGCCTTAGCCCCTCTGACCTTGGTCTCTTCCAGCGCACTCTTGGCAGCAGCAGACACACTGCCCGCCGTGCCGCTGGCTGCCTCCTTTGTCTCCCTTGCGCGGCTGACAGCAGCCGCCTTGACTCTCTCGGCGGCATTTTCAGCGCTCTGGCTAGGGCTTGCGCCGAAGGCGGTTGACCACAGCCTACTCAGGGCACCTTCCGCCTCGTCGCGCACCTCATCCCAGTCCTTTGTCTGTGCCCAACGCACAGCTCCCTCTATTTCGGCATTCCACCTGTCCTTGGCGGTTTCGACGAAGTTCGCGCGAGCCAGCGCCGCTTGCTCAGAGCGCGATGGCGGCGGGAGTGGTATATTCGAGGCGGGCCCCTGGGCAAGGTTGTTCAGTACGTATGTCTGGGCACGCAGAATGTCGGCTTGTCTCTCGCGGTTTCGCTGGTGGGCGAGCACAGTCAGGTAGGCGATGCCGAGGGTGACAGTCACACCGCCGGTCTAGAGAGAGATTAATTAGCATGCACCTCGGGCCTCGAGACATCTGTAAACATACAAAGCCAGTTGTGAAGCCCATTGCTCTCGGCCTCTATGCGCTGGCAACGAGCGCTATTTATGGAACAGAGCGAGCTGTGGGTGCGGTGCTGCTTGATAATATGGGATGTGCCGTTTATAATCCAACTGAATCCTCGCAGCGCATATTTGTTCTCTTTTCGAGCGTAAATGAGCGTTGCTGGTCGTGAGTTGCGAAGTTGATGGAGTGACGTCGGCAGGTGATTGTGCTGGGGCGGGCCGGTAAAGAAGCTCCCCGGCGTGCCAAGACAAAAATTTCGTGACCCAACCGCGACCGATCTCGAAAAGCTCCGAGCTCACTCCTTAACATACCTCCACGATCAACATTGAAAGCACCCCGCACAACCGGAGCAGACAGCGAGTCTCTCCAAAACCGTCACAATGGCTGGCGGTCATATGAAATACCGAACGCTCGGCAGGAAATCCTCCCACCGTCAAGCGCTCCTGCGCAATCTAGTCACATCACTCGTCAAGACAGAGTCAATACGGACAACATGGCCCAAAGCGAAGGAAGCACAGCGGCTAGCGGAGAAGCTCATTACTCTCGCGAAGAGAAACAATGAGACGGCAAGGAGGAAAGCAAATGGGATTCTCTATGTGAGCAGGTCCAATTGTGATGTGCCCTTGATTCAATATGCTGACGGAGACATCGACAACAGGAGCCGAACGACCTCATGCCTAAGCTCTTTGGCGAGCTACGAGAGCGATACCTTGAACGGCCAGGCGGCTACACGAGGGTTTTAAGAACGGAGCCGAAAAGCACATACGACCAAGCTCCATCAGCGATCCTAGAACTCGTTGACGGCCCCAAGGACATGCGGTTCGCGATGACGGCGGCAGCTATAGCACGAGATTTGGGAAACCATCAAGAACACTCCGAGTTGACGCTAAAGAACAGGGAAAAGGTGACGAGGTTTCGCAAAGATGGAGCGAACGAACTAGACCAGCTGGTGAAGAGGGTCAGAAACCTCGGCTTAACGAAAAGCCCTGCAACAAGACCAACAGGAACAGAGGAGTGATGGAGCCAGCTTCAGAAAATCAAGGCGATACAAATTACTTGTAACGATCATGTACATCATGTCTAGGAACTGTATTATATTTGAGGCTCGAACGAGCCTCTATACTATCATGGAGTTCATCTCACTCACGCTATAGCTCTATATGCAGGAGTCTTTTGGTATATCATTTTGTACTTTAGACAAAATCGAAAGTATCACCTCTTTCGTGGATCATCTTGCCAACTCTTTGGCTCCCTACTACTCTTTCCAACTTGAGAATGTCGTACTTTGAGAACATGGCCCTAACCGTGCCTTGGCCTGGCGCGAGCTTCAGGTCATGTTCGGCTTTGCTAAGGTATTCTCCCGTGATCTCTTTGTAGAAAATCGGGTTATCTGGCAAGCCATACATGATGACCCTTTGCACCCCCTTCAGTTGGTATCTTCGGAAGTGATGTGCGCGCTCCGTGTACAGCAACACTTTGTGCCGACCGGCGAAGAAGTGTGCTCTTGCCCTTGATGCTTCCGGCGTGCTGGAGTATTCCGAAACAGCACCAAACGTCAAGCTAGCCACGGCTGGAGATGATGCGAAGTAGTTTCTCACTCGAACAAAATCGAGGTAGGAGGGGATAAATATGAGGGTGCCGGTACTATCCTTGGAGCGCTTGACGAGTGAGGGTATGATGGCTTTTGTGAAATATGCGAACCGTGCATCCGGATCTCCGTCGATAGAAGGGGATTCGAACCTTGAAAATGTCTGTTTTGCTCGTACTCCGAGCTGTTGGATCATTCCCGAGTATTCTGACTGGACTCTAACCTTTCCAGCCCAATTCAGGCAATGAAGTCTGAACAGCTCCGATAGTTCAGGTGTATTGAATTCGGAGAAAAGGAGGGTTTGTCGGAAATATTTTGCTTGGTCCTCCAGATACCAGTTACGGACTCGACTGAAATCACAACCATGTGCGTCCTTTGGCTGCAAGTTGAGATGCTCGAATATCGACTCAACGTGCTCCCAATTTTGCATGAGTAGAGCATTTGCCTGATCAACGATGACGACTTCGATGGAGCTTAGGAAGTCATGCTCGACCTTCTTGCCTTCTTCCGAACCTATAGCCATCTTTAAGCCGAGCGGACTCGCCAGCAAGATGTCAGAGTTGTAGAACTGTGCAAAGTATTTAATGGTCTTTCTGGTGAACTTGACCCCTATTCGGAACATGTCGTCGTCATTGCCTTCAAACAAGTCTCTGAAATCTGCTGGCTTATCTGTGCCGAACCTTTGGTCTTTGTCATGGTAAGAGTCATCGAAGCGCTTCCTATTCTCCTGTTGATCAGGCTCGCAGATGGAGCAGATCATCTCAATCATTCGGTAGCAGGACTCTCGGGTTGGAAGCAGCATGAGGACCTTGGGCCGAGTGAAACCCTGGTCTCGAAGTTCCAGATCTTCGTTGCCCTGTGCATGTGATAGCCTTGCATTATTTTTTATCACCCGATCTCGAGTTCTGAAATACGGATTAGGAGTGCAGGAATATTGATTGGTACAAGCACTTACTTGAAGACATGGTTGACAGCATGAAGACAAGCTAGCCTGCGTAGGTTGTTTCCATTGGCAACGTCTCGTTTGCAGTACAGAACATCTCGATATCCAAACATTAGAGATGCCATACTCTGTTCTGTCTCGTCAAACTTGGCCCGCTTTTTCTCCATGGTCTCCTGCAATCTGTGCTTAAGTTTCAATTCCGCTGGACCAATTATGGGAGCTGGAAGCGTTGCTAAGTCCTGGCTATTTGTGTTCGGTAACATAAGAACATTTCTGGCTGTCTTGGTTGCGATTTTCTTCGAGAGCCATGCACCTTGCTGCACTGCTTTTACTTTATTCGAAAAGCTGTCTTCGTCTGGACTCGCAAAGTGAGTTTCAAAGGGATCCGAAGAGTCTGGAGTCTCGTCCTCATCTCCCTCGAACAGGTCTTCAATACGAGTCTCGTCGGGAGCCTCTTCAGGCTCTTCAACGAGATCGGTGTCCTTGACTTCAGCCTCATCACTATCCGACTCCTCAGTCTCCTTGGGCTCATCATTGGAAGCTGCGCCATTGTCAAGCTTCCTCCTTTTAGCGCTAGGCTCAGAGGCATTCTCAGTCAGACTCTTGATAAGCGACATGTAAGGTTGAGCAGTGACTTTGTTGTCCTCCTCATCCTCAGAAACCTCATCTTCCTCTGAGGTGTGCAATTCATTCTCGACCTCTGGTCCCTCAGATCCTGATTCTTCACTTGAGTCCCTAAAAGTAATTTAGTGCTATTGAAATGTTAGAGTGTTCGGGGAAATTCTCACTCTTCCTTGTCCGCCAATCTTGAAGATTCAAATCGGGGTCCTTGAGAGGCATAGGCAGCACCACCCCGTCCACGTCCTCTTCCTCTGCTACCACCCCTGCCACCTCTACCGCGAAAACTGCCTCCGCGGCCTCTTCCTCTGAAGCCGCCTCTAGGTGCCATATTTATATGCTAGAAAGTTGGCACGCCATTGAATATCCCACTTAGACAGCAGGATGTTGGACGGAAAAAAAAGTTGCCAGAGCCTTGCATGTCCAAGCCACAATACAGCCTTGTAAAACGCCACTGTGTAGCTTATCGGCTGCTTATCTTAGCGCGCACAACCTTGGTCCCGCAGTTAGCAAAACCGAAAAATAGGGTGGAAATTTGCAACACCAGCAAAAGCATCGCGGGGTTGGATCGACTAGACGCCCTCTTTCTTCGCGCCCCCGTTTTCTCCTCCTTCGCTCCTTTTCAGTCGTCTTGCCCCTGTGCAACCTTCAAGATGGCCATCAATTCAGAGGATTTCCTGCATCTTGCCAGGCCCATCGCGGCTGCGCACCCCGGCTACAGCAACAATGTCTCCCCTCTCTCCGTCAACATCCAGCCACAGGTCAGCCCACCCCTGCCGCATTCGAGCGCTCCCATCCGAACGGCCACACTAACATGCTACTTCAACAGGCTATCCTCTCCATACTCGACCACGCCGTGAGACGAGACCTCCGAGAAGACCAGGGCGCGACCCGCGTTATCGGCGCGCTGATCGGGATCCGCTCCGAGGACGGCACCGAGGTTGAGGTCCGCAACTGCTTCGCGATCCCGCACACCGAGACAGAGGACCAGGTCGAGGTCGACGTCGAGTACCAGAAGAACATGCTGGCCCTATCGCTCAAGGCCGCCCCCCGCGAGACCCTGCTGGGCTGGTACACGACCAGCCACGAGCTCAACTCGTTCTCCGCCCTCATCCAGAACTTCTTCGCCGCCCCGGACACCGGCACCTTCCCCCATCCCGCCGTCCACCTGACCATCTCGACCGAGCCCGGCCAGGACATCCAGACGCACTGCTACATCTCGGCCCCGGCGGCCGTGAACCCCGACAGAGCCGCCGAGTCGTGCCTGTTCATCGAGGTGCCACACAAGCTGCAGTACAGCGATGCCGAGCGGTCGGCGCTCGAGACCATCTCCAGCGCAGCCAACTCGGACGCGCGGATTGCACCGATGCTGACGGACGTCGAGGGTCTGGCCCGCACGCTCGAGCAGACAAGCGACCTTCTGGAGCGGGCCAGTGGGTTCGTGGGCGAGGTGCTGGACGAGGAGCGCGAGCCCAACCAGGCCCTCGGCCAGTTCATGATGAACAACCTGTCTCTAGCACCCAAGGTGGACAACTCGTCCATCGAGCACGACTTCAACAACCACATACAAGACGTCCTTATGGTCTCATATCTCGCAAACACCATCCGCACTCAGATCGACCTGGCACAAAGGTTGGCCACGTCAGCACTGGTAGCAGGAGAGAAGGACGAGAAGAAAGAGGGAGAGGGCGAGAAGACCGAGCGGGGAGGCGGCCAGCGCGGAGGGAAGCGAGGTGGACGGGGAGGCGGCAGAGGCGGCCAACCAAGAGAGCCGCGGGAACCCAGGGAGAACGGAGAGTAAAGGGACAAAATAGATCAGGTCTTGTAACAGTGGCTGGCCTTCAATATGGAGAAGGCTCATGATATATTGAAGCATCTAGTATAGCCAGACAGGCTAGACTCCCAAAACGAGAGCTCTTTGTGGCGTTTACGGTGGATTAGAACGTCTGCACGAGGAAAACAAGAATATAATTCCATTTGAGACATGCACGGGCGCCAATCTGTCAATACATTAAGAGTGTGTGGCATTACTTCTAATGATTTCTAGCAAGTGCAGTCGCCTACAGTGTGATCATGCCTTCCTATGTCAACCTTCGGACTCCAATGCCTGAACGCCATAATGCTTCCGATGTCCGTTACGCCGTCATCCCTATCCATTTATCCCTGGACACCGCTTGATGCTCGAACTCCTAAGCAGATGGTTTTTGCGGCAAAGACGCAGGATTGCCATACGTAGGCAAGTGACTAAAGGTCTGGTTACCCACAGAAGGGCCTTGTGGCATGTTTGGCTTGTTAGGCACATGCGAGGGATTCTGGGGGAGTTGATGCGGAGGCATCTGCGGCGCCAAGGACATATGCTGAACTGTGTGTTGGGGTGGTCCATGGTAAGGTGGAAGGGAATTATTAGATCCCTGCCTCATCATACCATAGCCATTTCCGTTGCCGGGATAAGGGGCCTGGGCCATTGGAGGCGGCGGCGGCGGCTGATAGCCACTATAGGTCAGATGCGGCGGTGTCACTTGAGGACTTCCTTGTGGTGGGCCATAACCACTATACGGTACCGGAGGGGCCGGCATTGTGTTCATGCCATTCGCAGGCACGAAGGACTGGGTCTTGGGATTGAAACCATGACGCTGGTAGCTGCCCGGAATCGGATGCTGGCTCTTTGGGTCGTTAGGATTGACATTTGCTGGGAGTTGGCCGTACGCATATGGTATTCCTGGTGCAGCCGGTGTAGTCCTGGACTGATACGGGCTTTGATTGAAGCCTGGCTGTTGCCACCCCTGCTGTTGCGGACTGTTCTGAATTGGCTGGACATAACCTTGCATCGAACCACTTGGAGCCTGAGCCTGATACCGCGGTGGAGTGGCTTGTTGAGGATACTAATCGAATTAGTGAACACGTAAAGCATTTAGGAGACGCTCAAGACTCTTACAGTTGGCATTGCATTATATGGAGGAGCAAATCCACCGTTGGCTGGCATCATGGCAGGATACGCCTGATTTGGAGGGCCATATGCGGGCGGCATGGCGTTTGGGTACGGCTGCTGAGCTTGCCCGTTGTAGCCAGGATTTCCGGCCTGAATATACTGTGGCGGAACCCATGTTGCTTGCTGAGGGTGCCCATAGTAGGCCGTATACTGAGATCGAGACTCGAAGGTCTCAGAATCATCACGACGCTGCTTGCCGGGCTTTACCTTCTTCCCTAAACTTGATTTATCCTTTGCAGAGACTGAACTTGCTCGGGATACCCCAGTACTGTCTTCATTTTCTGACGAGCCGTTAGAGGAGTATTGTAAAAGAGCATTTGACAATGACATACCTGGAGTAGACCCTTCAGCCTGCACTGAGCTCCCAAAGATGCGTTCTCGGGCCTTATTGTAAGCCTCCTCTCTCTCTTCTCTGGAGAGTCTACCAAACATTATTAGCACGAAAGGTGTCTGGTAACTATTCGCATTGTCTGACTACTTACTTCTCTTTAGCCAAGGCACTCTTGCCTCTAGCGTCGCTACCAACTTCGGACGTAGGCTTGGACGGGCTGGCACTGACAGGTGCCAGTTCACCATCCTCGCCCCGCCTCATGATCTTCTTCGGCAACAGAGCTGGTGGAGGTGTGCTGCTGGCTGAAGAGTCTACGGCTATGCTAGCCAGCGAGGGCGGCACTCTACAGAATGGCGTCCTATAGATACGGACAGCACCAGCAACTGCCTCAAATGAGTGCGTCATATGGTAATAGTCAGCTAGTTTGTGCGTCAACATCCTGCAGAACGAGTTGCAAGGTGGCAAGTCCATGTAAGGCTCCCTAACATCATATTAGCAACCGATACGCGAAGTATTGGTGGATGAGGGTCATACTTGGAGTCCTGGACGAAATCAATGACCTCCTTTTCTAGCCTCAGTAGAAAGAGCCTGTCTTTTGGAACCTGCATTGCCTCAAGTAGCTTGTCGTCCGGATTCTGCCGATATAGCCCATCGGGCGTGGAAGTGGCCGCGACAAGCGCAATCTTTGCGTCTGTTACTGGCTGTTGCTCTGAAGAGCCACTGGGAGGAGTAACGATGCCTTGGTTGTGTGCTTCAGAGATGATATGGGTAGTAATCGTGCGAGGTGGCATATCACCGAGTTGAATACGATGAACTCTGGCTGCTACCTCGGAGCCCATTCGTGACCCTGCGATGAGAGATCCCCGAACAGAAAAGGCGTCCTCGTCTTCGGCAGCGGCCTTGACACTTGCACTGTCATCTGGACGGAGAGATTCCTTCTCGTCTAGCGCATTGAAGGTCGTTCCCGAGGTGATACTCTTGCCATCGAGACTTGGGGGCTTAGTGCCTAACTCCGAGCTAGAGTCGGCTTTTTGGGAAACATCATCGGAAGGTGTTTGACTATTTCCTGCCTTGCTGGATCTTTCTGTAGATGTTGATCCGGTGCCGTTAACCACGAGGCTGGGCATTTTGGCATCTATTTTGAGGCCTTTGAAGTCTTCGATAGGATTGCTTGTGTTCGCTGGCGGAGGTTGTGTAGCTCTCGCCGCGGTTGGCGCAGCGGCCGGGGCAGGAACCGGTTTCACAGGAATTCTACCGTTCGGCATAGTTGAAGTACCGACCGCAATAGGAGCCGAGGATGAGGGTTTCTGTTGTCGTTGGTCTTTGTATGTAACTGGCATTGGCGCCCGTGATGTGGTGACAATCGGTACTGTTTCCTTTGACGAGGAAGCCGCAACCTGACGAAACATGTTAGTCGCAAAATAACCACCACAAACATCAGGAAGTAAATTGAAGAGCGCACCTTTGCGAAAGAGAGTTTCTTAATGTCGGAAGTCATGGTGGGCGCGCTGGCCATGGTTGCGGCTGAGAACTGGCTCAGAACTAGGTCAAAGAATCGCGAGAGAGACAGTGTGTGCTTGACCGAAAAGACCGGGCAGGCAGGCAGAGAAGCTCAAGACGCTACCAAGAAGGGAAATCAAGTAACGGGCAACGAGAAAATCTCAAGGAACAAAATGGATCAAAGCGGTCCTGAGCGAGAAAGGGGTACTGGTGATCATTGTCGGAAACTTGGGTTCATGGTCTCGTCAATTTTCGGACTGCCTCGATGGTCGACCGGTTCGTGGGAAGATATATCGTTAAGTTGCCGGGTAAGTAAAGGTATGAGGTAGGACAATCGGTTGGTAAGTAGGTAGGTAAAGTAGATAGACAGGTCGTATGGTAGGTCTATTCCCTAGGGTGTCGTTCTGAAGGGGCCGCAGCCGTGCTGCAGAGGACGACAGACAGAGAGTGATAGACAAGGCGGCGCCGGTTTGGGGGCTGAAGAAATAGGCGGCGGCGGACTTGACTGATGGAGTGGGATGGTGAGGGGATGTATGTGATGCTTGTCGCACGAACAATGAGGTATGTATGTACGGTCTGGTATTGGACTGTACACGAGGCAGCGGAAAAAGCTGCTGACCTCCGCCCCCTCGGCGTATTGCTGCAGAAAAGCAGACAAGAATCTGGGGACGCTAATAGGCGTGCGTGCGTGTGCGTGCGCTGCTTGTTAGGTACCTATGCCAGAGGCTTCCTTCGCCTCGTGATGTGACGGGATGGGCTTTCCAGCAGGGCGAGATGTCGTCGGGATTGGGGTGTCGGTGCTGAGTCCGTCCCCTATTCTCCTCCACGTGGGAAATTCCGAATAGCCTCTTCCTTGCCGCAAGGATGAGGTGGACGGGTAACCAAATTACAAGTCTTAATTAGCTGGAGGGTTTTTGGGGGGAGGTTAAGTTAAATTGGGACTTTGCCGATGTCTTGTCTTTCGAAGCAGCCGACGGCTCTGATCCAAACTCCAAGCAATCTAGCGCCACCTGGGTCTTTGTTCTGTGGTGCTAACCAATCACGTGCTATCGACTCGATTTTCCGACACCTACATTCAGTTCGTCTTGGGAAAAAGCAAACAGTGACTATTGAAGTAGACATATCGTACTAGCTTCTGCCATTTCACATCAACATTCATCCGTGAAGGTTCGGGACATCATATCACAGTCTGGTGTTCTTCTGAAACCCTTGTCTACAATCATCTAGTTTTAGGCTTTGTCACAACGATACTTCCCTTGTTGTCCTGGTCAGCTAGCGGACACGAATAGCACCACGTTGGGCTTCATCTTCTTGGTGAGCCACAAGCACTGCACAGTATGTATGGCTACCGCGGAAGAGGTGGTTCTCGGCAGCAGACGCCCGCAAACGTCCAATGTCAGAAATGTCTGAAACGAGATATGTATTTTCCAAGCCATAAGATCACAGTACACAACTTTCTAACATTCTTAGCACGGCATTACTCCTATGAGTGCAAGGCGGCACCTCAGGAACGCCCATACGTGGCAAGGCCATCCAGAACACAACAGCTGCTCAATCCCAAGCTCAAACCCAAGCTCACCAATGACGTCCTGGACCCTATTGAGCGAAAGTGAGTGCTTGTCTTGTTTCATTGTATGCTGCCACTAATATGCTATCTAGGAAGGGAGTTGCCGACGAGGAGTTGGCCAAAAAGGAAGCTGAGCGGGCCAGAAAGCGCGAGCTGGAAAAGGACGATGACGAGCCTGCTTCTAAAGAACCTCTAACCAAGCGTCAAAGATCAGCCTCCGTAGACTCCGTCTCTACATTTTCTACAAGATCTTCGGGATCACCTCCCCCACGCAGAAGGGCTTCACCATCGCCCAGACGTGCGCCCTTGCGTGATGAACGACGTCCTTCACCCGGCGCACGGTCTAGGAGTTATAGTTCGGACTATGACAGCGATCGCAACCAGAGACGTCCTCTTAGCCCTGTGATGGTCACTGGTGGTCGCGAAAGTCCGGAGCGTTCCATCTCCCCAAGAAGGGGTGATCCCGATCGTATGCCACACAGGCCATCGTTTGACGAAGATAGGAGCAGGCAGGACCGTCCGAGACGCAGTGATGACACGCGTCAAGATAACCGCCGGCGTGATTCGCGGTCACCAGAGCGGGCGCCTGTCCGTGGTCGAGATCAAGGACAGTATGACAACTCACGAGGGTACAGACGGAGAGACGATGGGCACCGAGAAGCTGAGAGACCAACAAGGTCACCACCCCGCAGAGAGCCGCCGCGTGAACGGCAGCGAAGCCCTAGTCCCTTTAGCAAGCGATTAGCTTTGACGCGATCCATGAATAGTAGTAAATAGATGTTGGGTATCAATCAGCATACTCTAGGGTAATAGAACAAGGGCTCGCCGGCCATAAGTCCCTTTCCCAGTCTGGCTCCTTAGGGTAATATGTTGAGATTGTATAATGGCATATTTCATGCCAATTCGTCGTCCTCGCGTTCCCGTCGCTCCTCCTCTTCCTCCTCCTTCTCCCGCATTCGTAGGCCCTCAACCATAGCAGCGCCTTCCAGGCCGGTAGGGACACCATCTTCCAGGGTTGCTGAAGAGCCGGCCTCCTTTTCCGCAGCTGCCTTCTTCGTTTGCAGCCTCTCCCGCACCAATTTTGCAATGGCATTGTCTGTTCTGACATTGAGTACCTCCAGTTTCTTATTGAGCTCTCGTTTGAGATCCCAATTGGGCTTTTTCGGCTGTAATTTGAACAGGTCGATGCCCTTCTCATCTTTCGCATCCTCCGCTGCCTGCTGATGCGCCTCCGCTTCCAGGTCGGCGGCTTGCTCCTCTAATGTCTGGCCTTCAAAGGCAACAGTTGGCGGCGCATCGAAGCCCAGTTTCGGCCCTTTTGTTTCCAAGTCGAAGTTGCGCCCAGACAGGTGCAGCCGCGCGACATCCTGCTCCGGCGGGTTGGGAGATTGGCGATCGGATTCTGGCGCTGCGAGCTCATCCTCAGGCTGTTTGCGCTTTTTTAGCTTGGCTAGACGCGCCTTGCGGTCGTCTGCTGCTGCTGTGAGAGTGGCATGTGAGGCAGACATCTTAGACACCGTTGCGTAGGGGCTTTCACGGTTGTTTGTTGCTGAGCTTGACGTGGTTCAAAAAGTTCGGTGTCAAGGAACATTAGTCTTCATGCTAGGTAAATGGTGGCGCACCAAGCCGCCCCACCACAGTGGGCGTGGTAGCTGGGATTCCGTTCTGCAGGTCGAGCCCGCCAAAATTTTAGATGCAGTTAGTGCCCCTGGTCATTGACATACCTCATCTGCATCCTTCACCTCTCGACTATACAACATTTCGGGAGAGATGATGCGGTCCAACGTGGTGCGATCTGGATTGCCGCCTATTCTGCGGTATCGCTGAACTTCTCACACTCTCAAACATGCAAAAGTCGCCATTCGTTTGCCGATCGTGCCTTTCGCGACTCGATCAGTCATGGCGAACGAACTTTCGATGGCGAGTGCCGACGCCTCCATTGTGTAGCCCATCGCGAAGGGCCTCAACGGCCGCCACTCCTGTATCAGACAACACTGAGTATATACATTCGGTGCATGGATACAGTAAGAGAGCAGCTATAGACTCCAGCCTACATCCTTCGATTCGCAAATTCGACCCATATTCCAGTCCGGAACCGCGATCTCGTACTCGGATCAATAGCTCGAAAGAAGCTGGTCGGAGTCCGCTCTCGGAAAGAGAATTTGATGGAGCCAACTACCCTTCAGAGGATACAGCCTTCTGGGATGTTTTTGAGGAGTTATGGGACGATGAGGCGGATCGCCCGAGTACCGCTATACAGAATCATACCAAGAGAAGGGAAAAGGCGACGGTAAAGCAAGCGGAAGCTCCGAGGAGAAGGACTGCCACAGATGCTGCAAAGGCCGAATGGTACCATCTAAAGGAGACATCCAGCCCTGAGGACTTTGCTCTTCGATCCAAACAGTTCAGAAAATGGAAAAGCAAGCTCGGCACAGTGGTTAAAATCATGAAGGGCGAGGAGGCCCCGCAACCAGAACTCGCCATTCGGAAACTGAAATGGTTGCTGCAATTCGAAACCGTTGAAGCCATGACAGCAGCTTGGGCAGAAATATCAAGCGAAAGACGATCACGCATTTCCACCAACGTTCTGTCGTCAGTCCTTCGATCAGCGCCAGACAAGGTGCAACCTGTTCTAGATGCCATCTTCCACGACCCGCTGCCTTTGCCATTCGTCGTTCAAGATACAATCGGCCTCCTTGCCATGCGTATTGAACATTTTCCCAAGCAAGATCAAGCTGAAGCCGCTGAATCCTTGAGTCGCTTGGTTACTACAGTACTTGGTCGAAGTCCTCAGAGATATCTTCAATTGAAGCAAAATACAATACATTTGCTCTTATCACGCCTCAAAGTCAAGAATGCGGTCACCCTATACCAATCACTCAGAGCGCACGATCACCACTTACACACGTACACTTTATTGCAATTTGCGAGTCACTTCGCAAAAACCGCGGAAAGCAAAGAACTATCCATGACGATATTGAAAGAGCTATTGCAGTCAAAGTCGCTGGATATCAACACCCCACATGGGGCAAGTCTATGCACCTCCATTTTGTCCATGAATAGGGAAGAACTCGAGGGTGAGCGTCTTCCAATCACACCAGCAGAATTGTTTCAGTCTTTGCTAGGACTTGGACTAAACCCCAATGTTATCACCTATACCACGATCATTAGAAACCTATGTCTACATAGGGAACTACATACAGCGTGGCAGGTCTTCGACCTTATGAGGCAACATAACATTGAGCCCGATGCTCATCTCTATTCGATCATGCTGAACGGCGCCAAGTTGTGCCAAGATTTCGGCTCCATTCGACGAGTTGCCGACCTCGCTCATTCAGCCAATGTGAGGGATCCGATTGTCTGGAATGACCTCCTGCACTCGATTTTCGTATCGTCTCTTATCGAGGCGAGGAAGAAGAACATGAAGCCGCCTCGAGTCTTGCCGGTATTTGGGCCAATGTTACGGCTCTACTCACGCTTCTTCGATACGAAACCTCTCGAGCCATTGTTTCTCGGTGACCTGAAACATATGCAGGACGCCAATGCTGCAAGGTGGATGTTCAATGATAAGTTGAAGTCATTTTGGGATAACTTTCCCGCCTTGGACGCAAACGAGCTTCTTGAGCCCACTTCTTCCACCTTAGGTATCATGGTTCTCGGATTTGTCCGAAGTCTATCGAAGCCATACGACATGATTGCCTTTTACTCGCACTTCCGGAAGCTCGTAAAGGATGGCAACCCTGTTGCCTTACGCATCATTCAGGAACAAGGCACGCTCGTGCATGATATCGTCATCAAGGCGCTGCTTGAGCGGCAAGGCTTACTTCGTGTTGGCCTTGATGTAGTGAGTGATATGCTGAAAGATGCCGCCACCGCAGCTGCTGTGCAACAGTCACCGCCATTGATGGCTGCTGAGCATAGCCCGGAACCAAATGTCACGTCTGTGTCACCTGCCAAGCATCCCGCACCAAGCGTCTTCACATGGAGCATTCTGCTCAACGGTTTCATGTACCACCGTCTTCACCACCAAGGCGAGAGCATCCTGCATTTAATGCGACGCCACGGTATTAGTCCCAACATTGTTACTTGGAACACGATTGCCGCCGGCTATGCTCGACTCCAACGGGTTGACAGGACTGTGCGAGCATTGCAACGCCTTGAATCCGCGGGCTTTGAGGCTGATGACTTCACACTGCGCGCTTTTTCATATCTGAAGAACAAAGGGCGCGCCATTGCCCAGATGGAGTCGATGATGAGACTCAAACGTCAGAGGTACGAAGATCTCCAGGCGCGGCTCGCGGCTTCGCCTCCCTTAGATGAATTGAAACAGCTAGAGAGCGAGGTCGACGAGATAGCGAAAATGATGGAAGGCCAGTCTACAGTAGATGAGAGCTATGGCATGTCGAGCTTCCGTCCATCGTTAGCAACAGCTACAGCTCCCTCGGCTCTCGCGACATAGCATATAGAATAATGAATGACTCAAGACCAAATAAACTCCCTTCAGCCAATAGATAATTGTCTTCCAGAACTCTGTGAAGATATGTGAAGACTCCAGTAATAGGCATACTTCATAAGCGCTCACTAATGGTCACTCAACATCGTGCATCAGTTCGTGAAGGTAGGGTTTGATTCCGATTCATACTTCATTGGTTGTTCTATATTCGATCCTTTCGATTTGAGTTCTCATTGCCAAGCCATAGTATACCAATTCCAGCAATGTCCAACACCTTTCCAGCACATGCCACATACCTAGAATGAGGCTCTCTTGAACTATTCATCTTGCATGAGTCGCAGAATGAGGATATGATCATTTCTCCGTCTTGTCTCCTCTTGGATCAATCTTGTCTAGCAGCTTATCGATCTCCGTTCTGAGATCCTTGAAATGCGACTTGCGTCCTCCCTCGGGCTTCTCTGTTCTTTTCTCTTCCTCTCCCTTGCCTCCTGCCGCTCCTTTCCCTTTGTCCACCGCCTGTGCTCCGTCCAAGAACTCGTCAATCTCGCTCATCTTCTCTTCCGTCGTCAGTCGTCGTTGCATGCTGCTGGCCGTCGACTCAGATCGCAGAGACGCCTTGTGTCGTGCTCGGTACAGACTGCCAGACAGCTTCGAGGTGTGATAGCTGCTGCTGTACTCATCGCCAGGCGAAAATGGTGGAGGATTAGCCACAGACGACTGCTGGCTGTGGCCGGCGGCCGGCGGGCGTGGCGGTGTGTATGTTGGTGCCAGAGCAAGTAATGGCATCGGCTCCGTCATGCTGCGCTTCAGTTCGCGCGGTTCCTTCTGGGGCCCTTGTTTGTCTGCAAACAGGGGCGGGAAGTGCACACTGTGTCCGGATGAAAGGTCGTCTCCGCTGAGCTCATCGTCGTCAATCCACAAGGCGCCTCGGACGCCGTTCTAGAACTCCTTGACGTCCTTGGGATCTCGCTGCTCAGTGGTCGGTAGAGGCGGCACAGTCTTGTCAATGCTCATATCCGACAGGTCAGACATCAGCGCCTCAAGCTGTTGGATGGAGCTCGTTCGTCTGAGGTTCTTACGTCGAGTCTCCTTTGACAGCTCATCCTTGCCCTTGAGCGGCTCGGGGGCGACGTCGAGACACCTTGCAAGAGGTCTGTTGTTGAAATACTTCTTGTACCTTAGCAGAGTGAGGGAGTATTCCTCTGTCTCGGTGCTGGGCTGCGCTGTTTGGGCGACCTGATCAGGGGACGCTGCGCGCTCAGGCGGCGGAGAGGGGTTGGGTGAGGATGAGTCTTCATCTCTGCTCACTAGCCCCTTACAGTCACCCTGAATATCCTCGCTCGCCTGAGGGAATGCTGACGGCTTCTCGGTTGTCGTGCTCGTTGACTCAAGCCATTTCACGATATCCTTCACGGACGACCCCTCTGGAGTGACTTTTCGCGGAGGGTCATATCGCTTCTCGCCACCGAGACGTGAGGAAAATATGGAGAGGTTACCCTTCCTGATGTTGCGATCCATTATTCGGCCGCTGGTGGACGCGTGAAGCGTGTCTTTCTCGTCCGTCTCCATCATCTCGGTCTGAGCTGATAGTGAGATGGTCTGTTGGGAAGGCAGTGAGATCTCGGATCTGGTCGTCACCAGGAAAACGGGCGAGATCTTCCTCACGGAATCATTCTCAAGATAAATAGGTATGTGTCTCGGGGCAGAACGCGGTGCTGGTGTGTTGGAGTTCGAGGGAGTATGAGCAGAGAAGTCCAGAGACCTCGACTTCGTGACGGTCATTTTGATAGCTTCTCTTCACGGGCTTGTCGTGGAATGGTCGAGGGATTGGTTGTTCCCCGTGGGTGTTGGTGAGTAGGTCGTGCATTTACTTATATTAGAAGGTCTGAACAATGTTATTGTTTCTCGTTTCAAACAATTATCGAAGACAGTGGGTTCTTTGATTATCTCATAAAACATTGTTCAATATCAAATTCCGAGCTTTCTCTAATCTGTACAAGATAATATCCAAAGACGAAATGGCAATAAATCAGCTGCAAGGGAGTGACTCTCATTACAGTTTCTACCAGACAAGTTACCTGCGTGCAACACGGTGCTCTATAAGATCACAAGATGAGTAGAGCATTACCTTTATTATTAGGCTCCTAACTGTTTACCATTCATAATCTATAAAGAGACCACTCTGATCGATGATACTCGCCCATAATAACCATATCGACAGTAAGCAACGTGTGCCTACCCCAAAACCCAGAGGCTATCGCAGTTGCCTCGCTGCCTCCAAGCAACCATACCCCCTTTTCGCCAAAAGTTTGCACGCTCGCACGGACCATCCACCGCCCTGGAGTATATGAACCTCGCCTCCCTCCCCCCATTTCTGTCCTCTTTTCCTTCTTCTTTTCTCTTCATACTTACCTTATCTAGCCTTTGGGAGATCATGATGCCTCAAAGGCAGGACGGGAGACCTGCATCGCACATCGTGGAGTCGACCGGCCTGGTTTGTCCTGCGGGGCCAACCTGGGTGCAATTTTTGATTCTTCCTCTCTTTTTCATTGTGCTCACCACTTGATGTGGTGTCATGAGGAAGAAGTCTTGTAAAAAATTGTGTGCGGGATCTCGGGTAATACAGAGTTGTAATAAACGTCAAGTCATGTCCGTAATTTGCTATCAACAATCTTGAACCTTGTTGACTGGCTATGTCTTCGTCATTATACCTCTCATCCATCGTGATATCACATCAATCACCGGCAGCAGGAGGAGATGGAGACATTGCAGCTCTTTATTGGTACCTCTCGTTCTCAGCTCCCTAAACGCTACATGGTAGGCTGTACATTATCCCATCCCTTTCCTCCCCCTTTCCAGCCCTTCTAATCATCCCGGCATTACTACATTTTCTCAGTCCTGGCCGTTTCCGCTGTCAGCCAGTAAGTCCATGTCGTGAGCCGTGCACATTCGACACCCCCTCGCTATACATCTTCCCCTTGAAATCTCCCCCACATCATAAAGCTACCCTTCTGCCTTGGTTCATCGGTACTGATCGAGAGAGAGCAAGTCGCTTTCGTACGGCGACGGGATATCGATGATCACGACGGTAATTAAGAAATAAAATAAAAAAACACACAAATAAACTTCTGGCTGGCCTGCCATATCGTTCGGGTCGTTCGTAAGGGTCCGGAGAACAGAGGATGAAAAAATTCAGCTATTGATTGCGCCGACTTGAATGCTTTGGTCTGAAATGTGTTTCCCTTCCGGTTTTCTCTCCTGGCCTGCCAAAGTTTGGTGGTATATGACATAGTAAAGTAATTATATAACGTCAGTGTCGCGTGATGGTCTAAGAAATGTGACGCAGAGCCTTAGACAAAAGAGGACGTCGGCTGGGGTATCGATAGTGAAGAGCAGCGGAACCTCGTCGCAGGTAGGGATCGGGTGAATGCTTATGCACTCTGAGGGAGGACATCCTTCTCCGTCTCGAAGGGGAATCCTCTAGCCCTAGCGCTCTCCACCTTGGTCAGGCCCAGCTTCTCAAGGCCTGCGAATGTGTCCTCTTCATCTATGGTGATGCCCAGCCCGTTCATCTCCTTCGATCCCTTATTCTCTGTCTCGGGCACGTCCTCGACCTTCTCATCCAGGTTCATCAAAGCAGGGGGACGATGACGCATGGCTCGTGCCTTCGCTAGCGAGATGGTCTTTTGTTGATACGTCGTGGTAATAGGCTGGTTGTCGTCTCGGTCAATAGTAGCCTTCATGAGGGCCGCCATCCAGAGTCTGCCTTGCTTGATGTTCGGGACGGCAAAGTAGTGTACAGTAGGTTTCGTGAAGTTGACAGCGCGAGACAGGCCAGCTCGGGGAGGCACTAATTTAAAGATGAAGATCGAGTCGGACGAGGCAGTAGTATCCCTTTCAGCCTCGGTAGTAGCGAGGGTCTGAATATGGCTACCCGCCGGCATGGTCGGCGTGTTCGACGCGCCTGTGATGGTGGCGTGGAGGCCTGTCAACCGCTCGTTATCTGCAGGCAGGACTCGGTGGAACGAAATATCGATCAGGCCCTTCTCTTGGTCATCATCTTCGGAATAGTAGTAAGCTAGTCGTCTGCCCTTCAAGACAAAAAGCCTTGGCTTCCACGTCGTCATTAGGTTCGAGCTCTTCTTCTTCATCCACCCACTATAGTCGGCATCAGTGATTGCCTCACGAGGTGAGATCTTGAGAAGCCCGCGCTGGTAAGCACTCGTTTCTTTCTTGCCCTTCTTCTTGCTGCCCCGGCTTGTGACAGTAGCAGCAGTGCTAGGGCTCTTGGTGGCATCGGGCGAATCGAGCTCGAAGCTCGGCCCTGCTGATGGCGTGCTCGATCCTGTCCTGGACGGAGACTGCAGTGGTGAGTCTTTCATGGGAGAGTCGATAGGAGAGACAAGCTTGGATCGTTCATGACCAGTCACGGCATCTGAGATTGCTCTCAGTCCCAGGCCAGCTGTCTTCAGACCTGGCTTGCCAAGCCAATCCGAATGCATCCCGTGTCGATTTGAAGCCACAGCGGATGCGGGAGATACCGGTGAAGAGCGGACAGTCTCGAATGCGGTACCTTCGAGTTTGGTAACGGTGGGCGACGGGCCGTCCTTTGCGAGTGGCGGTGGTTTTGCGGATTCGTGGGTGCTAGTGGACGCCGTTCTACGGTGAATACTAGACATCGATCCCATACCGTAGTATTTTTGCGCCGCAGGCGAGACACCCTCCTGCCGCACTGAATCTATGCTGCCAAATCGAGAATGGCGGGATAAAGCAGTTGCGCTCCTAACTCTCTGCTCTTCCGCATAGCTGGTCTTTCTCGTGTGGGACTGGGCGCTATCACGCTTCTTAAGCACGTTGCGCTTCCTGCCGTCCACCTCTGTGCCTGAGAAATATCCACGCTCAAGATCAACCGCAGAATCCTGGAGTCCGGTGTTGGATTGGGCCATGATATCTTGGAAACCTGCTGAAGACAAGGGTCGCGGAGCATATGCCGAAGCACTACCAAGCGTCCAGTTCCTATCAAAAGACGGTTGCTTCTTGTGCGTCGTTGTCTCCTGTTGTTGAGGGAAGGTACCGCTCGTGGCCAGCTTCGGGGTGGTTGTGGGTGGCGCGCCACTGAGGCGAAAGTCAGTAGAAGAGTGGCGGCGAGAATGGTGGAGGTCACGAATGGAAGCGGCAGAAGGACGTTTCTCGTGAATCGGTCTTGTCGGGCTGTCAACAAGAGCTCTGGGTGACACGGGCGAGCCGAGGGCTGGTGTCGCACCAAGTTTCGGTGTCGAGGTGATGGACCTCCGCTTGCTTTGGACTGATGAACGTTGGTCGTCAATCGGAGGAAGTCTGTTTATCGAGCTTGTCAAGGTATTGGTCCTGCTTCTTGCCCGTCCTGCTCCATCGGACCCAACGTCGCTTCCGTACGTCTGCGTTGTTCTACGTGTCGACGGCCCTTGCCCGTTGACCTCATCCTGAAGAGCCTTGATCTTCTGCCAAGTTTTGAGTCTCCTGCCGACGGAACCTAGGTCGAAAGCCTTTATGAAGACAGATGTTTGATCCATGCCCAAAATAACTTCACCTGTAATCTCCTGGTCCCTGAAGACCTCGCAATGGTGTTTCTCGACTCCAGCAGTGAACAAGTACTCCGCCACTTGATCCGATGACCAAGCCTGGACCTCTGATCTAGAATGCAGACCCTCTTCCTCCTCATCCGTCTCTTCACCTTGGATGTAGGACATTCGATGGTCGATATGGGAACTGTACTCGCTCCCCGAGTCGTTTGCGTTTCGAAGAGCGCCATTGCTGGGTGCTGATCGGAGGTCGGTGATGTGCTCGTTAATAACGTTCAGAGTCTCGTGCAGCACTTGGCTATCCTGGCTGGTGTTGAGGCGTGATATATCTCCAATACTGCCGGTCGGGGCCGGTGGGCTAGGAACTGCAGAGAATTTGGAGACTGGGGCACCCGACACCGAATTGGACTTGAAATTATTCAAAGGCAATGGCGCCGGGGTAGCCTCTGGCTGTGGGACAGGTTCTGGTGGTGTAGGTGTCGCTTGAACCTCCTCTGTCACTGTGGTGGTCGGCGGCGGTTTATCAGCTGCACCTTCATCGACTGGCGGGAGAGGCAGTTGCTTTGTCGGTGATACAATTGCAGGCGTGTTAGGAACGCCTTTGGGGGCGGGCCGGGTGTAGACTAAAAGTGAAGAGACAATCAGCACTCGTCACGGAAGCGACAAGCAACAAAGAACAAACCTTCAGGGAACAGGCCGCTGTTTCCATTGACCAGGTGTTTTCCAAGGAACCAACCATCTCCGAACTCATCATCCCTCTCAATCAGTTCAACTCGGTCGCCCTTGGCCAAGGTCAATTCGTCGGAGCTGCGAGCCTGGAAGTCGTCTAGAGAAACAGGGTCAATCAGCATCACACTGCAGCAAAAGGTATTTGTCGCGATGACTCGCATGGTGAGCGTGGACCACGAATGCGGCCAAGGCTCCCCGAGGTGCGTCAGCCAGCCTTACAGGCCGGCCGCCGGGTCTGGAAGGGCGTATACTTACGGATCACGAGCAAAATGTCGCCCACGTCAGGCTTGGGTGCGGCCATTGCTGCGTTGAAGAGCTGTTCAAGCTCGTGGCTGCGTGCCGTGGCGGTTGGAAGGGAGGAAGAGCAGGAAACTCGGATCAATGGGCCGACATAAATTTTGAGAGGATCGTCAGACCTGCGCCCACGGACTTGTCTGGAAGCCCCAGTTGGGACCGGGACTGGGGGGGTCTTGGGACAAGAAGGGAAATCGCCAAGGTTCAGCGGTTCTGAGGGTCGCGATCAGGTAGAGTTCGGGTTTCCAATGAGCGGGTCCGACGCTGCTCCGGGATTGAAGACGAACTCGGCGGCGGCGGCCGTGTGTTATTTTTTTCTTTTCTTTTTGTCCACGTTTAAGCAGGAGTTGCTCTGTCTCTCTCGATCACGTCGTCCGGAAGCCCATCATTCCACGCGCGAAACAGGTTGGCAGTCCAGAGACCCCGCTGGGTCGGTCAGGCGTTCACGAGGGGGGGCGGGTGAAGCTGTGAGTATGTACAGTTGGCACAGTTGGTTGGCGTAGGTGAAGTGTTGAACAGGAGGAGTGAGGAGGGATGCGGGCGAGTAGATGTGGCGATGCCTTGTTAGCTAGTTCTGTAGTTAGTTAGTTAGTTAGTCTAGTTTACACCCAGACGCACTTAGTCTAGCACGCACGACGAGGTGGATTCTACTAAACCCATGCACGTACGCGGGTGCTGGTCTGTGGTGTCTGTGGTGGTGGTGGCAGATTTTGGTGCTACTGTAGGGTGCCAGTGATGGGTGGGTGGCTCGTGGGCAAAGATCGAGCCAAGGAAAAACGCAGGTCAACCTCTTGCTGGCCTTCGGGCTCGACGCTCGCTAAACGCCGCTGACCAGGTACTCCCAGGTGGGTTGACTGAACATCAGCAGCCCATTGGATCGAGCATGCAGAGCCGTTATTATTGGGCTTGCAGGTATGATGGGCGCCTGTCAACTATTCGGAGGCGCATCGAACACCTCCGCTACACGCTATAGAAGAAATGTACAGGCTCCGGGACCTCCAATTCGAGGCCGAATCACAGCTTCCTCTGCCGTCGAACAGAAATGCATCCATGCAAGGGGATGGATGGAAGAACTGAGGGGCGTCTGTCTGTCTGTCTGTCTGTCTGTCTGCCTCTTGACGGCCATCGCATGCGGCGGGTGTACCTGACTGGACTGGCCTCAGCTGAGGGTGCTTCCGTTTAGTTCGTTGGGCCCAAAACGGGACGAGAGCAAAACGTTGCGGAATCAGGGCACCGATGCCGCGATTCAGTTACGGGCGGACCCTAGAGAATTCTTTACCTTTACAGTTTGCACCACCACAACAGAACGCGCCTGCTAGGCTGGAATTGAGAGATATCTTGACTCGGTACATGCCTTCTGGCCTCAGCTGAAAGCGTACATGTTCAATCACATCCTTATCTGGCCTTCTGAGAGCGTCGTAAGTCGTGGTACATGTAGGACCGAACCATTCCCAGCTTCCTGTTTCCAGTCCGACTATCGAAGAGATCCCTGGACAACAGACTGGCCAGGCCTGACAGGGGATGCTGGTAGGGGGACTCGGGGACACGACACTTGGATCTACACTACCACCACCACTACAGAACGACCCGCGGGCGGCGGCGTAGTACTTGGGGCCGATCCTCCTTTTCACCACGTCCGCCCGTCGGTAATTCCAACTTTCCCATTTCGATCTCGGGGGGCGCTTCCATCTTCCATCCAGTAGCCAGCTGGCTCTCCAGAATCCAGATACACACAGCGCTCGTGCTCGTGCTCGTGTTCCTGCAACTTCGCAAGTTTATTATAGCTCTCATGAGGTCAGCTTAGCCATAACGCTATGAGAGAAGCATGACATCAGGAGATGCGACTTGCTTGTCTCATCATCAATAGTCGCCTAAATATAATTCTTCGGTTGCATCATCATGCAATACAGTCGCGGTTCTGGGCTCGTCAATCTCTCTCACACGTGCTGCTAGTGATGTTAGGCGCCTTGCGAGGAATGCTGCTTGCTTCCCCCCCTGCTGCTGCTTCTGGGCTAGTTTTCCTGGCGCACGCCTTCATATGCCAACAGGCCGGGGTAGACTTGCAAGTGTGGCTGACACCGTGTGGCGCAAAGACGCCAGCCGTCTTAGCTTCCCCCAGATGCCTCGGCTTGGGATCTGACATCTGTAAGAGAGGAGCCCTCGACGCCAGTGAGACTCCTCAAGGAGCGTAATATCTTGGAAAAGACAGTCGTAATTCCTTTGAAACTCTAAACCATATTCCAATTGTCTCATAAAGTCCGCAAATTCCAGATACCAGCGGCGCGCAGTTCGTGCCCTCATCCACACCCTCGAAATGGCGGCTTTGGAAGCGTACAAGCACTACAAGCACTACAATGTGACGGCCGGCCCGGCCGAGCACGTCGCACATGTCGAGATCAACCGCCCGGCGAAGCTCAACGCCTTCTACGAGGACATGTGGCTCGAGTTCAGAAACGTCTTTGACCAGCTGAGCCGCGACCCTGGGGTGCGCGCCGTGGTCCTCTCCGGCGCCGGCGACCGCGCCTTCACGGCCGGCCTGGACGTCCAGGCCGCCAGCCAGAACACCACCCTGCAGGGCGGCGAGGGCGCCGACAGCGCGCGCAAGGCCGCGGGCATCCGGCGCCACATTGGCGAGTTCCAGGACTGCATCTCGGCGATGGAGAAGTGCGAAAAGCGTAAGTAACCGCTCCTTTGCCCTCGGAGCCACGGTCTTACAACTTGCTGTTCCCGTGCTCTCCTCTCCAGTGGTGGACCTGTGGAACTAATCAACTCTCGCACAGCTGTTATATGCGTGATACACGGCATAGCACTGGGTCTCGCAATAGACATATCCTGCTGCGCGGACATCAGGATATGCTCGCGAGACACGAGGTTTGCGGTCAAGGAGGTAGACATTGGTCTAGCGGCGGACATTGGCACACTCAGCAGGTTACCCAAAGCCGTTGGAAACCTGTCGTGGGTCAAGGACGTCTGTCTCTCTGCCAGGGACTTCGGAGCAGACGAGGCACTCAAAGTTGGCTTCGTCAGCCAGGTGCAAGATTCAAAGGCGGCGGCACTTGAAGCAGGTCTAAAGCTGGCTGGGCTGATAGCTGGGAAGAGCCCCATTGCTGTGCAAGGGACGAAAGAGCTTCTGAACCACGCCAGAGACCACTCTGTGGCAGAAAGTGAGATTTACGTCTGCACTGAAGCTATAGTATAACCTGCTAACGCTATATAGGTTTACGGTATACCAGCATCTGGAACGCTGCAAACCTCCAGACTGCTGATGTCATGACGGCACTTACGAGTGGCATCAAGAAGAAGACGCCCACGTTCGAGAAGCTGTAGATTCGAGGCGACCACATGTACAATAGCTCGGACACTGCAAATATAATGCCATATGTAGGCTGTAGCGCCATATGCCGGTCCTTTTGTGTGTGTGACATGTCGAGCTTTGCACGCCTGACAGCCTCCAGGCTTTGACTCCGGTCTTGCCTTGATATGTTGCATCGCCGCCCCGTGCTGCCCTCCGTCTCTCCTTGAGCCATCAGATCACACGAATGTGCTGAGTAGAAGTTTCTTGTCCGAGTTTTGAGGTAGAACACCCTTCCAGCCGCTCAATCTGATCCCGAATCATCTGCTGCCGGGGCGATGGTCTCCTTCAGACGGTCCTCTAGCTTCTGCTTCAATAACGGGATCATGTTCTCCTTGACGACCAGGCGCTGGTCATCCAGGTCTTCGATTATGAAGTCATGGTTTTTGCTGTCGATATTGACAATGATGGACTTGATCGAGGGATCGCATTCGACGAGGACTCCTGCTTCGAAGTCAGCAAGCTGCCAGGCATCCGCCAGTCAGAGGTCAAGAGCTCACCTCTGATGGCGCGCGGCATATTGCTCTTTATAAAGCAAATTCTCTGGGTTCCATTGACCAGGCCTCACGCTCTCTCTATACTTTAGACCGTGAATGATTACAGGTCTTGGCAGTAGTCGAAGGAATGTGTTTTGATGTCACAGCCTAGATGGTAACCAGGAATGAAACTTGGGGGTAAGTGCCGTAAGCGCCAGCACCTAAAATAATTAGTGGGGGTTCATTACTCTGGTGGAGTGGCCTGCGGCTCTTGCTAATGTGTAGGGTCTGGTGAATGACGGGCACATTCTGCTCTACCTTACGAGTGAAAACAAACAAGAAATAAACACCATCACAGCTGGTTTACTCGTACACTCAGTTCACTCATAGACTAAACACACAAATATTGCGCTCCGTTATCAAAGGTTGAAGTGCTCAGTAGCATGCATGCACGTGAAGATCTACAGACTACCTGAGGACCCCCAGCCAAGGAATTGAAGCTTTGAAGGTGCCATGGGCCCGACCTAAGTATGCGGGGACCTTGAAGCTCCTGGTGCGACCTCCTTGCCTATAGCCAATCAGAATCTTCCCGTGGCGATCCGGGTGGTTGGCAGGGACCACCTTCAGGACTCACCAAATCAGTGCCGGACCCCTCGGCGTTGATTAGTTCATCTCCGTAATAACTTCCAAACCCTCGATCGATGCTCACGGTATCGCACAAGTACAAGCGGCTGGCGGCGGCCCGGAGCTCGTCTTGAGCTTGCAACCTGCCCTCTGCAAGAGTCAGACAAGCCATCTGTGCGAGGCGAGTCGTCTCTCACGAATTAGACTTTCAGGAGCTCGGAGAGACGCCTAGAGGTCATCGTCAGCAAATCACCAATCGCAGGACGACAAGCACGCAACCGCACGGAAGCTTTTCCCTCGAATGACGGACTGACGATGCAATATTAATCCTACGAGCTTCAACACTGCTCTAGTGCATTCTCCTTTCGAATATTATATCATCACATACACTGTCGAAGGCGGCCACATACAGCGAGCTCAGGGGCCAGACAAATTTTGGCACGCATCCGGAAACGGCAACAAACACACCGCCGACATCACCACTTCCCTTCACACGGGAGAGTTCTGTCCTTCCACGAAACTACCGCCTGACCAAACGATCTTCGAACCAAACCCAATTGCAAAGTAATTGTCGCTCACGCCTCGATTCCAATACAATGTCGACAATTGGTGGGCAATCGCTTGGAGCGGGTGGTTCTCGACCTTGGATTTGGGTTGTTATTCCCCTGGGTATCGTCATCTTTGTCGGGGGATTGGCATGTACCTGTCACACTTTTCTCAGGCGAAGAAGAAAAGCACACATGTTGCAGCTCGACCCAAGGGGAAGGAGAGCGCTCGAGCAGGACTTGGAGGATGCTGCAGTGAGAGGCTCAAGGGGTGGCGCCCGCCTCTACGGGCAAAGATGGGTGCGGCCAACGACTCGATGGGCCTGGGCCAACAACATAAATATTCGTGGAGAGGAAGGCCTGAATGAGCTGGGCGAGGCACCGCCCCCGTATGATGCAAAGAAGGCAGACCACAATAATAAGAATGAGGAAGTCGAACTACAGGCTATGGGTGCAAGAGCCTCACAGTCCTCGAGGCAAGAAGCAGAATCGGGTTCGGCAAGAGTAGCAGAGCCCCCGGCATACACGTCAGCACCACAACCACCTGCTGCTATACATCCCTCCATGAATCATCGGTATGGCTAAATAATACGATATGATACATAATATGGCATTCTGGTTGGCGTTGTTAAAAGGGTTAGGATCGGATGATGCATGGCTAGGTGGCCCATCTTAGCTGGCTGGAGTTTGGCTTGTGACTTCGGGCTCTGGCAGATGGGACTTGAACAACGACCTTTGATGTCGACAATCGAAAGCATGCATTGGGAAGTATGTAATTTGGCGAACCAATTGGCAGGATGACTTCAATTCATCTGTATATATTACTTAAATACTAGGAGTCAGCAAATATCTTCATTCAGCCATTGAGCTTTCAGATCGTTGTGAGTTGTATAAAGCCTAATGCCTATATATCTAAACACGTCAAGCTTGACCTCTTCTCAACATCGAACAGCAAATTGATCAGTAGTTAGATCAATGAATCGCTGGCATACGACACGACTGTATCGATAGTCACAGTCAATCGACAACGTATAACCTCTATTCATCCTCTCTAGACTTATACAACATAAGGTAAGTTGTTTTAGACGTGTCTTTCAACTGTGGACTAGTATGACCCAGGTTCAGCAAAGCTTTTCGTCTGCCATTGTTACAACACACTCGTTGCCAGCACTCTTATATGACAACTCCTCAAACACCCGGGAGGACTTACACCTGGCTTATTAGTTGTCTTACTCTAGGCCTTTATTATGACTTTATTATGATTATTAGACTAAATTGGATAGTGGAGGTTGTAAATTGATTAGAGAAGTAGAGAGGCTCTAAAAAGTATAAGAAGGAAGCCTCCGTCTTCTCTTTGGACATTCTACCTTCTCCATCCTCATCCAACTATAGTACACTCATTACCCACACTCATTTTGACTCTTTCCTATTTTTCTTTTTTATATTTAAGTTGCATTTCCTTCCTTCTTCTATATATAATGAAACAAATTAAGAAAAAGCCTTTTTTGGCTTACAAACAACGACAATCACCAAGACTCAGTGCGTCGCAAACCTCGAAGCGACAAGTACTTTTGCGCCAGCGAGTTCACACTGCTGCAACTTGGTGTAAGTGCTGTGGAAAGTGGTTGTCTGGGACTTTGCTAACCTGTCTTTAGTACTCTTCGACACCTCCTTTCTCTTCCCGGTCGTGAGCATACTCGACCATCTACGCGCTCAAGACAAGACCGGAACTGCCGAACCCATGGCGAGTGATGTCCAAGACATTGGCCAACAACATGTCAGCACTGTACATTAATCCTCGGCTGAACGGCCGGTGGACGGCCATGGACTTGATCATGTGGCTTCTCCTCGTCGCAGCCATATAGAACGACAGTCCAATCTCCTTGCACAACCCCCCAACTTTTCGACAGGCCCTCCTCCTTTGCAGCAGTCACTGGGAATTCTTCCCTCAAGCTAGCCAATGACCGATGACTGCTGTTGAGATCAGAAGACCTGCGGCTGCAAATGGATTCTGCTTGTGCTTCTTCTCCGACCCGACTCATCGTGGGCCGTCTCGTGCCTACAGGGCTAGTGATGGACAAGAGGTCATCCTCGTGTCAAGGCCCTGCTCCACAGTACTGAGCAGAGGATTCCAGTTGAAGATGGTGGCCATCAAGTACTTCATGAGGGTAGCCCAAGATCATCAATTGAGGCTTCAGAGAATGTGCCAGCATTTCAAAGTGGTATGCTCAAGTAGCTCAACATGGCCGAGAAGCTACAAGACCTGCAAAAGGGGAGCTACCAGGTAGTCTACGAAAGTTGGCTCAACAGCAACATGAGGAGCTAGAGCTTGGTGTGGGCAGGGATGAGTCACCGATCAACATAGATGGACTCCTCGAAATATCTGGTCCCAGATATTGCAGTCATCGTCTGCACCATCTATGTTGCGCGCTGTGATGGGCCTCTCCTCACTTCATGGTAACTGGAGCAAAGTCACTCACGATGTCATCTCCCTCGACGAATCGTCCTAAGGCCCAGCCATGTACCCATGTTCCATGTCCGCTTCGTGAAGAAGGACCTCACACAATGAGAAGTTCCCTGGAGCGCCATCCTCTGAGCCCCTTCTCTTGTCCCCACAAGGGTCCTGATCTCCCAACGGAGGTGGTGTATTTCCGCTGGTGGAGGGAGCAACTCGACACAACCACAGACATCCGTGGTCTAGATCCAGATAAGGTGGTCTACAATGAGGAAATCGAACAATTGTTCCCTGGAACCCAGTACTCCCGCCAACGTCAGAACCGCGCAGGACGAGAACTCATGGCATACACACTTGTGTAGTGATTGGCCGAAATCATGAGCTAGCTATTGAAGCTGCGAAAGTTTCTATCAGATGGGCTCCGGTGCCGATCATCGACAAGCATATAATGCGGAAGCTGCTGGCTGCCCTGTCCTCAACGACCTACTCCGGCCTTCTGTCTTGCGAGTCTACCCAGCTGTGTCTGGCAAGATGACCAGTAGGCACTGTCTTCCTACTCCAGAACTTCCGTCTTCTGCTGCCGATTCTGGCGAATAGCTTGCCTTGTCACGACGCATAGAACGGAGGGGGATCTGCCGGGGCTGTCAAATCCAGCTTGCTTCAGAGATATGAGCGATCAACAGTCAGAATTGTCTCTTCCCAATCATGGCATGCCTCAGTTCATAGAGTTGTAGCGACCTACTTCTCATTTCTATGGCAGAACAAGACCAAGCTCATAGCCTCGTTCCGTCTTTTCGGAGGGACTCGCGAAGGCACAAGCTGGTGGATCGGATTCAAGGCTGGCTTCAGGCAGTGACATAAAATGGCCGTACACAAGAATGATCTCTCGGTGCTACAACAACAGAACCGATTTTCGGAACCAAGAACCTGTCCGCCAAGCTTTCTGTGGTGTTGGATCTCGAGACCGACGAGACAATCTGCTGTGGTCCTTTGCGAGTTAAGGCGCCGCATTGTGGCATGTCCATCCTCCTGCCGTCATCGATAGAGTCAACACAGCGTTGTCTCGACAGCGGGGCGCTCTTCCTCGCCGCAATCGCCTTGCCGAACCACCGCTGGCCCATTATCTTGACGGCGGATCCCGATTCTTCAGAGACGCTCCGTCTGTGGCTCCCTTCCAGTTCACTTGCCTGTGTGCTGCCGGCAGTTCTTCCCCGATCTTTGCCATCCTGCGGTGACAATCGAGGAGGCCGGACATTGTTCGCTGCTGTCTGCCCTTCCAAAGAGAAGCATTTGTAACTCGATAACGCGCGATTCAGTAACTCGCCTGTCTTTTGCTCCGATACTCAAGATCACCGCAGTGGTCGGCTCGCCTCTGGCTCTCCGCCGACTATTCTGGGCCACGAATTACAAAAACAAGCCATCAGACGCGAGCTACATTGGTGTCGCCCCGAAAGCGAGCTCAATCCTCCAAATACCAACGAGCTCCTCGAGGTCTTCTGAGTAGCGGGTGGAACCCGATGTCTTGTATTGCTCTCACAATCGCACCATGTCGCTGCGTCTGCGCGGCAGCACCGCATGATCCATCTGTCGAACGTCTTGCAAAAGTCAAATGAAACGAGATCGACCAGGGAAGCCGCGTCATCGTACGTCAAGACTCATATTTATGTGCTAGTAAAGTCGCCAGAGCGAAATCTTCAAGCGAAACCTTCAAGCATGGGGGATTTCATGAGGGTATCAATAATACCACGCCGCTAGAGACACACATGAGTGGCGGTGCAGTGGACTTGAAGCTGATGTTGATTCGTGCTCCCAACTCGACCACACCATAAATCATGCGGCTTGGGCTCATTGTGGCCGGTCTGTGGTCTTCTCCTTGGGCCATGCATCGACGGAACTAGCAAGGACAACGCCAGAGCCTGGCCGTAACGGTCCCGGTAATCCATCAAACACCACCGCAGCATCTTGTCAGTGTGCCTCCGGTCTGCCAGCAACGAACCGTGGGCACCCTCTCCTCTAAGGAAAAGCAAGTGGTGGCCCTCCAAGCCTCCCCCAACGTGATCTTACCAGCCCGGTCGGGTCTGCTACAGAACCCATTCATGCAACACGTCAGAGCCTTTGACAGCCATGGCCGTTATCAAATTATCCCTATTGCTGATAAACAACAAGAGCGCCGGAGGGTACACATGGCACGTCGTATTGTGGGAGGGTACTCTGAAGCCAATATCACTGTCTGTCTGGCCGGGGTGCAGACACATACAAGGCCGGCGGGGGACTGGACGGACCTACAAGAGCGCCAGAGGGTACACATGGCACGTCGTATTGTGAGAGGGTGCTCTGAAGCCAATATCACTGTCAGTCTGGCCGGGGTGCAGACACATACAATGCCGGCGGGGGACTGGACGGACCTACAAGAGCGCCAAATGCCCTTCCTCGAGTCCTTCGATGACTCGCTCTGACAAACCTACTCGCGACGCCTATCAAGGAATTACACGATGGTCCCTTTGCCGCTACCCTGCCCGAAGAGCCAATCGGCACCTGAAGCGCAGGGGACGAAGGCCAGCCTGGATATGGAAGATATGGTATCCCCCCTGTTCTGTCATCGGCTGCTGTCCAAGACTTCCTCAGTTCCTTCCCTGCGGCCGTCCCCCTTGGTAGCCTCGTCACCACCCTCACACAGTGACCATCTCCCCTCAGGAGCAGACTAGACGCAACCACCGATGCCATCCCCACATGATCTGTGAACTACCAGCCTGCGTCATGGTGTCGCCCGGCCGGTCAACATGCTGAACAGGGAAGCGGCTGGGTGCGCTGCGGCAGCGCGGAGCCCGCCATCGCGAAGAACGAAGCCGTAGCCCAGGGGCCCCCTCCAACATGCAAGCAACAAACAGCCTCGAGCCACCCGCCGAGCTTGCGGAGCAGGTCCGACATGTGTGCACCGGGCAACAACACTTCTACTCTCGACAGTCGTCTGTTGGGCTGGTTGGGCTGGTGAGTTCGACGCTCCCGCCAGAGACGGATCAGTCTTCCACGGTCACCATGCTTCGGTGATAATTCCTTGCGTCAGTCCCCAAGAAGACCAAGGCTCACCACAGTCTTTGTGGATCTGGAAGAATGCAGGATCTTAGAGTAGAGCGGAAGAGGGAGCTGCGCTGAAAAGGAAAAAAAAAATCGTAAAATAATAAGAAGGGGGGGTCGAGATCGGCGACAAGAACACTCACTCCCTGTAGGAAAAAAAAGTTGAAAATAATAAAAAACCCTTTCCTCAAGGCTTATACGCACTCGTGATTGATTTGCAAGAATTTTGATATGCCGCATGAATTTTGCGATATGAAGTTCTTTTATGTCTCCGACTCGTAACCAATTCTTCATAACAATCAGGGGACAGGATAGAATACATGGATATGAACACCCGCCAGTACTGTTTACTAACTATTCACGATACAACAGTATTGGTAGGCCGATAGATGGCTGGGAACAAAGATATTGTGAATCAATGCGAGATTATACAGCATGGCACACTTGAGCTTGCACTTGTGGTGTCTTACGTTGACCCATTTTCACGAGATATGCAATGATCAAAGTAATTGTGGATTTATCCCCAGTACATTATTCTTCGGCATACGCCACAACATCTCTCAAGCCTGCTATCAAATATAATACAAGTGTGATACAGCATTCTCTGCCAACTGCCACTGCCAATATAAGTCTCTTCACTAGCCTCCTTTTGGTGATCCGACAATACAACTTGTGTAGCTCCCCATACCGAACAGAAAATTGGGTGAAACTAAAAGCAACGTGCTATGCATCCTGTCCCGACACGCAGAAAGATCTAATGCTGTGCTATGCCGACGAGAAAAACCGGGGAACCAAATGCGTCTAATATAACCCATGAATCCACTTACCGTACCTTGCGTGCCCGGGTTGGAATGTTCAACCTGCTTCACTTCTTGTTGGCACTCTTGGCTGTCTCCAGTGCCTCCGCCAATGCTTTTGCGGCATCATTTGTCTTGACCTGTAACATCCAAGTCTCCAGCCCATTACCGGCATCGTTGCCAGTCATGACTTTGACATACTTCCCACCCTTCTCAACCTTATATTCGAAGTTGGGCAGCACTGCCCTGTTCAAGGCAACATGACCGCGTGGTTCCGCACGAAGAAGCATTCGCACAGCACCGGTTGTCTTGTGTTTGAGTAGCCGCAGCGGACCGACTCCCTGTGTCTTCCAGGGACTCTTGTTGTCCTTCTTCGTATCCTGAGACTCACTGTCGGAACCGGGCTTATCCGGTACAAACTTAAGCGCCTTGGCACGAACTTCATGCAAAACCTCCTCGTCCTCCTCCCCTGGCCCTCCTTCGGAGAGGTTTAATTGGTCCTGTGGTTTGGCATCCTCGTCAGCCTCTTGTTCTTCGTCGTTCTTGTTGGCTTCCGGTTCGGGGGTGCCAGTGGCAGGGGTTGTAGCCAGACTGGACGCTCCGCCAAAGAATGGGGTATCTTGACGCAGGTCGTTAATCTTTATACCCCTAGCCACCAAAAGAAAGATGTAAATACTTACTTGATCCAGTCGTTGAAGCCCCTCCTTGAGGCACATTCAGGTGACCAAAAATGCTTTGAGCTGCATTTGCCGGCTGCTGCTGCTGCTGACCGAACATTGACGGCGCAGTCGACTGAGATGCGCCGCCAAAGTTAAACATGGAGGAGCCGCCATTAGCTGCACCACCAAAAACGCTCGGCTGAGCAGGAGCACTAGTTGTCGGCTGAGAGCCTGCACCAAACACGAACCCTGTTGATGGAGCGGAGGTAGCGGGTATGCTCGAACCAAATGTGAACGAGGACGAAGATCCTTGACCTGCCCCTGTAGAAGGGGGACCAAAGTTGAATGAAGGTGCAGCAGATGAATCGCTCCCCGATGCAAACGGATTATTGACAGCACCAGCAGTAACACCAGCAAAATTGAACCCGCCACTCGGTGCTGTATTATTTGCAAACAAGGATGGGGCAGACTGGCCATTGTTACTGGTAGAAGCTCCGAAAGGACTAGATACTCCATTATCTTGGGACCCGAACGAAAGATTGGTAGACTGGGTGGACGCTGTCCCAGAAAGGTTCGACTGAGCTCTTGGCACCTCGGTTTGAGGTGTGGAAGTGCTTCCAAAGAGCGGCTTGGTCTCAGCCGCAGGAGTAGGAGCAGGAGCAGGGGTGGCAACAAAGTTGAATTTCTTCTCGCCTCCAGAGGAACCTGCTCCAAAAACGTCTGCTGCCTCAGTTGAGCCCTTAGCAGCTGCTTCAGTCTTGGGAGGTAATTTGGTCGCAGGAGCTGGTGCGCCGCCACCAAAACTGAATGTTTTTGCTGGTCCAGATGATTTGGCACCAAAAACCTCACCCGCATTGGTATCCTCGACACCTTCTGATGGCTTCGGGCGCTCTGGCTCGACAGGAGCTTTCTCTTCCTCTGCCTGGGCCGGCTTCTGACTTCCAAACAATGAGGGAGTCGCCTGGCTGGTAGCAACTCCAAACAAAGACGGTGTACTGCTGGCTGGGGCAGATGCGGACGGGGCACCAAAAATGTTTGTGCTTGGTTTGGTAGAAGCCCCGAACAACGAGCCAGACGCAGGCTGCGTCCCAGTAGATTCAGCTGTCTTCGTTGCCCCGAACAGCGAGGTCTTAGCATCTGATGTGGTTGAGGGCGCCCCAAAAGGGGTTGAGGACTGTATAGCGGAGTTTGCAGCTGGCTTCGACCCAAATACGCTCGGAGTGGATGTAGATGAAGCAGACCCGGTAGTTTTCTCATCATCTTTCTTCTGCTGACCAAATAGCGAAGACGAACCAAACAATTTTGCGCCTGAATCGACAGGTTTACCAGCGCTGCTAAAGATGTTCGCGCCCGTTGAAGGCGTTTGAGATGTCTGACTGAATAGCGAAACTGTGGGCTTGGCTCCGCCTTGGGCAAAGTCCTGAGCTTCTGTGCTTGTAGTAGTCTCAGCTGGCTTGAAGGCAGGGGCTCCGAAACCGAATGATGGCGTAGACGAGGCATCGGCCTTGGGGGCAAAGAGGGACGAGCTTCCTGGTGTCTTTGCTGTCGCACCGAACTTGATTGGTGTGTTGGGATCCCAAGTGTTATCAGAGGGAGGAGCAGATGATTCTTTCAAAGGGCTTGCGGCTCTCTTAGCGCCGAAAGGACTTGGCGCCTCTGGCTGCTCTGCTCGTACGGGGTTCCCGTTGGAATCCTTCGTGATACGATCGAAGAGACTGGGGCCCTTCGCTGGCGCTTCACCGGCTTCTGAAGATGTACTTGAAAGTCCAGGTGCCGGTTTAGAGAACAAGCTAGCGCCAGCACCAAATTGTGAAGGTGTAGCAACACCACCACTAGCAGCAACACTGGGCTCATCACTTTGGCTGACTTCTTGAACCTCCTCAGACTCTTCTTCCGCCTCTGACTCCTCTTCACTCTCCTCGTCAGCATCGGCCTCATTACCGCTTCCCTTAGCGGAGCCGGCGTCAGACAGGTGACTGAAGATGCCACCAAAAGATGGTGCAGCTGTCGTCTTGGATCCCTTGTCAAGTACAGATCTGGCGAGGCTGCCTACGCTAGCAGATGCGGCGAAGGGATTGGAGGCCGGCTTGGCAGTTGAGGACTCGAAAACACTCTTCGAGGTCTTTGCAGGAGTGGTTGTGTTGGAAGGCGTGTTGTTGGCAATCTTTTCGAAGAGAGACTTGGTGGCAGACGGGGTGGTGGTACCCGGTCGCTTGCTCTGGCGATTTTCATCCTCCTCGTCCATCACCGTGGCTCTCCGCTTATTCTGCGATGGGGCAGGCGTGGCCACATTCGTGAAGGGCTTAGAGGTTTCAGAAAGGGGCTCCATAGCACGGCGCTTGTTTTGGTTGGACGATGAAGTGGTCAACGCCGAATCTTTGGTCAAATCGTCCTCGGCACGTCTCTTGTTGGTTGGGCGGGCCAGAATACCCTGTGTGCCATTTGGCTTTGGAGTTGGAGCCTCTAGGGGCTCGTGGTCTTCTGAAGGAACATTGTTCTCTGCCTTCCACTTCTTCATCAGATCCCCGGACACCGGTACAGTCTTGAATTCATAAAGACCATATCGCAACATGATGATACTTCTGCTCTTTTCATACTCCTTTGCAAAGTTCATGATGTTGATCTTCCAATCCTTTCTCGCAAAGATTTCGTTGGCAGCATACTTCAGTCTTCGCAAATCGAGAATACAGAAAAATTGACGTCTCTGATGTTCATCGAGATCCGAAGGCGCCAGATGGCTGAGGAACTCGTCTGCGTATACGGAGCCAACTCTGTTAGGGTCATCTGGCACTTGTTTTGCCAGTGCCTCGCCGTCGAGCTCTGGGGGTGGAGACGAGATCCTCATATGGAAGAGATTGCTTGTAGTAGTCCTTGACAAGCCCCGCCCATGAACCTCAGCTGTAGGAGCACGGGAAGATCTCGCTGGGGTAGCAGCGGGGAAGCTCTCCTTCATTGTGTTATATGGAACTCGAGGAGAGAACGCGAAGCGTGACTCGCCGTTGGCTAGGGACGACTTGAAAACCTTGCGCGGAGTGGCAGCAGGGAGGGTAGAGGACGGTCTCGTGGTGCTTGAGGCGAGGCGGCTTGAAGGTCCCTGGGGACGCTCCAAGATCTTCCTCGAGCCCAAAACGGACGGGGAGGCGCGCTTTGCGGGGCTCTGGGGGGATGGCTCTGGTGCACGCCAACCCACGGGAGGTCGAGGGGGCGTCATGCCGGCCAAGCTGGGATTGTCAGGGATTCTAGAGAAGCTCCGACCAGAGATGGCATTGAAGAACCCGGCCCCGAGAGTCGAGCTTGCGCTCAGGCCGGTCCGCTGCCTCTTGGAGGAATCCATGGCGGCGAGCACGCGGTGCTGTGATGTGGCACGATGCGGATCGGTCTCGTAGACACTAGAGGGTAGAAGAAGCGTTGTTCATGAGGTAAAGGAAAAACGCGTCGATAATCGCCAAAATAGGAAGCGTGTCGAATGTGCGCGAGGTACTGATTATAACGATATAGAAACTCGCGACGATCTTTGATGCAATGCAGTGCAGTACAGTGCGATGAGTGTGTCGCGGGCACAACACCAAAATCAAGCACCAAGTCTGGTGTTGCGAAAAGGTGTTTCGATGTCGGCAGAGCCCGGTGCTGCGCTACGCTGTGCTATGCGATGCGATGCGGCCGAGCTCGACGACGTGACGAGGTAAACAAGGAGTCGTCGTCGAGATGAGACGCGTCGGATGCAGCCCGTGCAACAATCGAGGCGGACACGGAAGAGGAAGAAGAAGAAGAAGGGAAAAAGGAGAAGGGAGAGAGTGGATGATGATCGAGTGCAATTGATGGGTGGGTGGATGGATGCACACGGGGAACGGGGGAGAGGGCGAAAAGGATCGGTGATGTTTTGGTGTGCGGTAGGCCTGGGGCAGCGCTGGTCTGGGCGCCTGCTGTTAGTCTTAGTCTTATGTATGTGTGGGAGTTTGCTGACTGTGCAGCCTGTCGACTGGGACTGCCCGCAAGCAGGAAAAAAAAAAATTAAAAATTTGGGTGCGGGAGCAGGCGCTTTGCTGCTATTTGGTTGGTGCTCCTGCTTCGAATGCTACACCCTTTGCGCCAGGAGCTCTTCCTAATATGGCAGCCATGGCGTCAGGGATGAGACCAGCACCAAACACATCCAACGACATGGCTAGAGCCTCAGGCAGCGATATTGGACCCCGAATTCAGTCATCCTGTCGCCCTACAAAGCCTACATGAGGCAACAGTACAGATATCAGTCGTTCATGCATGCACTAGACTCGGCCAGAATTATACATCGAGAGGAGTCTTCGATGTTAATACTGTGGAGGATAAAAGCCTAGTTAGCCATGGGTGCCTATCCTGTCACTTGTAGCCTACATGGGACATCAATTTCAGCCTTGAGTTTGCCCAGACTAAGAACAAAAGGTTGCCTCAAGATCAATCGTTTCCAAGCAGTCCAGTAATTTGCAGAAAACGCCTCCAACTGTCAAACTTTATTGCTACACGTATCTTGGGCACAGTATCTTTCCCTTCATTTGTCAATCCACCAAGTCTCTCGCAGTTAGCAATCTCGAGAATCGAATCCCTGACCGACTGGTGCTTGATTACAAGTACGAGCCTGTTAACGGCTGCGCTGCTTCTTCTTGTTGCCGCGGTCATCATCATCCAGGTTGCCCTCTCGGTCACGCTTCTTCGCCTTACGCTCGAGCTCATCCCAGTCCTCACCTTCATCCTCATCGCTGACCTCAGCGTCATCACTCGCCTCGGCTGAGGCATTGGAGTCGTAATCAGAGTCCTCCTCACTAGATTCGGAGGCCTCGTCAAGCTCGCTGTCGTCAAGCTCAAAGTTGGACTCTTCCTCTTCCTCCTCGTCAGCACCCTCGTCATCAGACTCGCTCTGCAGGAACGACCATCCACCGCCAGCGAAGAACTCATGAGTATCGGCAGTAACAGTCTTCATGATGGTCGGCCAGTTCAGGTTGAGCGGTCCTTCTGTGAACGCAATATCTGAAGAGTCGAGGAATTCCTTAACGTCCTCCAGTGACTCAACAGGTATGGTGTTTATGTGATATGGAGCTCGCGTAAAGTCCTTGAAGACGAATACGAGATCGAAATTCTTCAACCCAAATTGAACACGTTCGAGATGGGCAATTTCAATGTCCTCAAGAGTGACAACCATGAATGGCGGCTCGGTGACTTGAATGAGACATTCTGTCGTTGGCTGAATGTAGACATTGCTACGGAAGGGAACACCGTGGAAACCAAGTTCACGAAGTGGCATGTCCACTTCGATATTCTCGTTGCGTCCAGCTTCGGCAATCTTCTCCGCAAATGCTTTGAAGAGACGGTCCAATTCCTCGCGGCGCCGACGCTCTTCCTGCTCAGCCTCGAATTCGTCCTCGTCTCCGTAACGGTACTTCCGCTTGCGGTTGCCGGTCTCATCGAACTGAATGTCTGTAGCTTCACGGTAGAATTGAACGTCCTTGGTCTTCTTCTTGTTACCCACGATAATGGGGTCCTTGAGATGGATATGGATAATAACAATGAGCTCGTGCTTGCACGGCTGGAAGAAGAGATGGCGAACGTTGGAGAAGAGAATGTCAACTCGTTGCTGGGTGCTCAGGGGAGACTGGTATCGAATACCATTCTGATGGATCTCAACCTTGCCCGGAACACGCTTTCCTTCCATGGCCGGCCGTATGAAGACATTATCCAATACAGCAGGGCGGCGATCTGGGAGCCGGTTAGCTCATGAACACTTATAGCACAACAGAATAGAAAATACTCACTTCTGATCTCAACCAGCTTGTCCTGCTCCACAACATCCTCCATGTCCTTCTTCTCCTGTTCCTTCTTGACGGCGTCCTTCTTCATGTTGGAGATTTGGTTGGCGATTTCAGCGTATCGATCTCCGTCAAGTGAGCGGAATGTCAAGCTTCTGACGAAATGAGCGGACGCATCCTCAAAAGGCTGGTCATCTCTACGTCCGACACCTTGACCAGGAGACAAGAAATTAATTCTCAAGAAGGACCACTCGCCCTCCTCGTTCTTGCTCGCATTCTTGATGGTGTTGATGTGGAATGGAACGGGTCGTCCCATGACCGGGAGCACGATTGTTCCATTCTTTTGGTCAACAACAATGCCGAGGTCTCGAACCTTGGGAGGGAACTGATTATCGCGCTTATAAGACTCAAAGCGCTTGAACTTCTTGACCTCAACGCCATTCTGGCCACTGGTAGACTCGGCGAAGCGAGCGAGGCCCTCCTTTTGTTTCTTTGCGGCGAGCTCCTTCTGATGATCTCGGCGTTTCTTCTCCGCGTCCTCGTCAACATGCGTAGTACGCTCTGAACGAAGGCGTGTGCTGGTAATATTCTTAGTTGCGACGGCACCGACGCGCGAGTCTTTCTTCTCCTTCTTGGGGGTAGGCTGCTCCTCCTCGTCCTTGAAGAAGAATGAACTGGCATCTGCGTCACTTGGCGCTTCACCTGTGAAGATGACGGGTTCGCCGGTGGTAACACGAATAGTATCCGTGATGGTAAGGGAATAGATCTTGCTATTCTTGTCCTGAGGTTGGGGGTTCTCAATGTCATTGAATCCTGTCGTGATACACAGAGTCATGCCATCCTTGAGAGTTCGCGTATTCTTTGCATTAAGGACGAGGGTCGGATCTCTGTTCTCCAGACCGATTCCGTAGCCGACGTTCTTCAAAAAGTGCTTCTCGAGCTCTGGCTTCTTGCTCTTGATGTAGCTCAGCGCCTTTTGGAAGACGTCTTTGACGACCACGCCGTCCCTGATCTCCTTGATGACAAGGTTGTGCACAGAGTAGAGAAATTTGTAGTTAGCCTCCTGGGTCTTGTTTGGATCAACCAGAAAGGTTCGAGCGATCGAGGAGCAGTATGACTTGTAGCGCAGGCCCATAGCCGCGATGATGATACCAGGGTGAAGGTTGTCATTGTTGGCCTCCGTCTGCATCTTCAAATCGAACTTGCCGCCACTCTGCACAACAGGCCCCAGAGTCCAGTCCAGCTGCTCGGGATCAAGATCGTTTGGAAGGCCCTGACCGTTAGGCAGCTTCACTGTCTTCCAGAACTTGTCATCATCAAGCTTCTTCTCAACCTTATCAGCCAATGTGCTGTGTTTGACCTTCTTCTCCTGATCGAGGATGTTGGACATCTCGTCCAGGAAGAATGGGTTCATCAGCGCGACGCAAGCCTTGGAAGAAGTTCGCATCGCTCTCAGCTCAGTCTCATCCTTGACCGCAAAGGCGGCCGTGGAGAGTGCATGTGTGATATCGGTTTCTTCCACATCTTTGCAGTTGTCGGCGAAGACCTTCTTCCACTCGTCGACGAATGGTCCGCGAGATGTATCTTTCGAGATTACGCCAACTTTCTTCTGCAAGACCACGTTAGTCATCGCAACTCTAGCGCATTCTTCTGAGGGTGTAGCTATGACTCACTCCTGCCTCCTTGATGGTCTCGGCGATCTTTACGAAAAGCTTCTCGTTCTCTGCTGCGTCTTTGCCGCGGACAAGCACCTCGACGGGGAACCGGCCGCCCTTGACCTGGTCGAGATATTTGGCTATTTCTCCATTAGCTAGCAATCCAGTTTTACTTTGAATGCTGCGCGCACCTTTCTTTGCCGTAGTGAGGATGTAGATTGTGTCGAGGGTGAGGAGCATCAAGGTGGTCGGGAACTCGTAACCAAGCAGCCAGAACTGCGAAAGTCAGCATCCTGCAAGCGTTTCAAGTCGCAAACAGATTTGTTCATCAGGACACTTACATGCATGGCATTGTTCTTGTGAAATTCCTGGACCTCCTCGACCTTGCCCATCATGACGAGGATGGAGGAGACGCCGCCGAACACCGCGTCGCCAGCTCGCTTGTCGGCCTTCCAGGCATTGACGAAATGGGAGATGCGCTCCTGGAAGAGCTTGCTGTCGATCTTGATCTCCGCCATGATGACCGCTCGATGACCGCGAGGTCGGGTTTGATGGACGACGGCAGAGGGAGTCGATGAGCAGCGAAAGGAAGGCTGCGGGTATGATGTAAAAGGGCAGAGATGGTGAGATGGCGATGCCAGAAATTTGGAGTAGCAAGCAAATAGCAGCTAAAGGAAGGTGACGCTAGTGTGGGTAGCTTAAAGTGGTGCGCCAGAGACCTGCGCGTCTGTCACGCGTTTGGCGGTGGTGATGGTCCGTGCTGCTCTGCTGGCAGCCAAGGCAGCAGCGCTTCAGACCTGAGTGAGCCTTCAAAGATGGCCAAAGGATCAGATCACTGAGGAAACCTCGATGTGTTCAGTGGCGATAGCAGCCTCCCTCCTGCATGTGAATGTGAATTTAGAAAAGGGCTAGGGCGTGAATGCAGGTATACTTCTGTATCACATATCAAATGGAAACCGAGTGTTGTCTAAATCAAGTGTCATCTCGAAAGACAATGAGATAACTTTGAGCTCCTTGGTTGAAAACTGGGAAGACTCTATACATGGACACACAAGCAGTTTTGCAAGAGAACTTTGAAATAGGTAGTATTACCCGACTTGTCTAAACAACTTATTCTATTGCCCTACTCTAACTATCCCACTCTTGCCATTATGAACGGTCTATGGTCCTTTATTCCCACTTCTCAGGGTCAAGGTCCACAGTCCTATTTAGAATACAGATAGTAGAATCATCTGAGTATAAGCAACATGGGATGCTTGGGGATCTAGGCGGCCTATCTGTGACACAACAATATGCAAGCAACCTTGATGTCCAGCCAAAGAGCGTTTCAAAACTTGACATGACAGTAACGGGCGCTCAGCACTAGGTAATACTACTGGGTAAGGACAGGCCAGGCTGCATCGCCCGCCTCGCTTTAGCTTCCAGTTGCTTGAGGAGGAACGCCGGCGGGCCGTGACCGCTACACTTTAAGACCCTCCATGCAGCAGTAGACCGTAGTCCATGTGCAAGATAAGACTCTCTGGCGTGGCGGCTGCGGCCGATCGAGGAATCGCACATACATCCGTCCATAGGTACGTGCATACTGCATACATACTTTACAGTTATATGCCTCTCTCCACACTTTATCGAGATGCCGAAACTTTTCCATTGAAGGGCGCGCGCAACGCACTGCGGGAGAGCCTGCCACTAATGATTTCTAAGCAGCCGTCTGTTGTGAAGGGAGCCGGTAATAGCCTCCACTAGCGCCCGGCGCCGGGAAAGACTGGCTCTTGACTTTTCGCTGCTGCGACGCCGGCGGCGCGCGAAAAGAAAATGTTCATCGAGCCCATTCCCGAGCAAATCTTCACTGACGTATTTTGATCGATCTGACAACTGGAAAAGCCAACGCTCCCCCGTCCCCCCAAGCGTCCACAATCCTATTACGCTGGCTTAAACGCCTTTTACGCGGGTCAACCGTCCAGTCGCAGCATCGAGAGATTGCGTGCCTCGATGACGACTTGCTAAATCACCCCTCCAGCTGCAGCAAGACCCCTCTGATTCGGCAATGGCTCAACACCACTGAGCCCAAAGACGTGGGGGAGCCTCCTGCTATCATCGGCCTGACGTACGGCATAAGAGTCATTAATACTTCTGCCAGGCCCAGAAATCGTCAGTAAGCCCGGCGCCCTGACAAGTCGAAGCAACTTTTTGCGACCTAGAAACAGAAACCTACCTAAAAGCCCGGAGTGAGGGGCAGCGTTGAGTGTCTATTTATCAGCAGAACGAGTGAGAAACGCTGTCAGGGCTTCTCACCTCAGTCCGAATCCGTCCAAGCCCGGAAACCATCGGCCTGTTTTGGCATAGATTCACAGCCCCGGAGACAATTCTTCGGTGACTTTCTTCAGTGATAATGGGTCTCTTGTAGGTCATTGCAAGCACCTGTTGAGGTGTCCCGCCAGTAGTCTTCAGAATAACATGCTTATTTTATATGTGAAGAGCTCTTGGGACGGCTCTAGATTGGCCAGACGCCAAGCAGAACGCCCAGTTGGTCCGTGAATGGGGCATCAAGGTCAGTCCACAACCTATCGGCTTCTCTCCTTTCTTCACCGCATATTAACGTACCTGCAGCAATTGCTAGAGATATGGAACAAGGCTAAGGGCAAGGAGCGAGATGCCATGCTCTGGGGTGATGAGGTACCCCTGTCTTGCTACAAGTCCCTTCCTAGATAAGTTAACTAATCATGCATGTCAGGTCGAATATCTCGTCGTTGTCTATAATAAAGACAAGCCCGATGTTCTTTTATCCTTGAGACAAGCAGACATTCTAACTGCCCTTGCTGAAGATAAAACTTTGACAGCACAAGGCGGTTGCGTACCAGACTTACAAGATGTCCCGGGATCTAAGTGAGTTGAACCATTTCTTTCCGCCGATTCGGCGCTGATACTTCCCAGGACAACCGAGCCTCTTCCTGTCTTCCATCCGGAATTTGGACGGTTCATGCTTGAAGCCACTCCAGGCAAGCCATGGGGTATTGAGTTCCGAGAGCTGTTAGATGTAGAGCCCAACATGATCCTTAGGTAAGCTTAGATATCTTCCTTGCCTTTTAGGGAGGCTCACATCGTATATAGGCGGGTGATAGCACGGGATCATATGCGTGATGACGAGTATCCCATCACTCTCACCACCTTTCCCCGTATTGGTTGCCCAGGGGTCTTCACTGACCCCTACTACCCGGTCTCCGGACCGAAACTGCGGTCCCAATTCGTGCCTGATGAGATCGCGAACCCTCACATTCGGTTCCCAACCCTTGCTGCAAATATTCGCTCTCGTCGAGGCCGAAAAGTGCAAGTGAACGTGCCAGTATTTAAAGATAAGAATACTCCATGGCCGTGGAAGGATCCCACAGTCAACTATGACTTGCATACTTGGCCCGAGGATGATGATGTTCGAAATGGCGCTGCTCCTGACAACTATATTCATATGGACGCCATGGCTTTTGGCATGGGAAGCTGCTGCTTGCAGATTACGTTCCAAGCCAAGAACATCACAGAAGGAAGGAAGATGTATGACATGTTAAGTCCACTTGGACCGATCCTGCTGGCTCTGACAGCAGCGACGCCGGCCTACAAGGGCTTCCTTGCAGAAACAGACGTGAGGTGGAACCAGATCAGTCGAGCTGTAGACGATCGTACACAAGAGGAGTTGGGAGAGAAGGTTGGCATCTCTAGATTCTATAAGGAAACATTGACTGACAACTCGCAGCCCCTGAAAAACGACAGATGGAGGATCCCCAAGTCCCGTTATGCATCAAACTCAACTTACATCTCTACCGACCCACGTCTGCGTCCAGAGTATCTTGACCCTGACCTCATCATTGATGAGGCCATCAAGGCTCAGCTCATCGAGGGGGGCATGGATGACCGACTAGCAACACACTTTGCTCATCTATTCATCAGGGACCCCATCGTGATCTTCTCGGAGGACCTCAAGGAGCTTGATCTTAACAAGACAGATCACTTTGAGAATATTCAGTCCACGAACTGGCAGCACATGCGCTTCAAGCCACCACCAGCCGATAACAGCATTGGGTGGCGTGTCGAGTTTCGGCCGATGGAGATCCAGATCACAGATTTTGAGAATGCGGCTTTCACTGTATTCATCGTTCTGATCACGCGGGTCATCCTGTCCTTCGATCTGAACTTCTACATCCCTATCGTCAAGGTCGATGCGAACATGGAGACTGCACACGCCAGAGACGCCGTGCTCCAGGAGAAGTTCTACTTCCGCAAGAACCCCTTCACCAGCCGGCCACCACGCAACAGCGGCCAGAGCGCAGGACCCAGCGGGACCAACACACCCAATGTCTTCAGCAGGCCTGCCACCCCGACCGGCCCTGTCGAGGCAGAGTACCGCCTCATGAGCGTCAACGAGATCATCAACGGCACGGAGTACGCCGGCGTAGAGACGGAAGACGGCGACAGCTTCCCTGGTTTGATCCCACTCGTCGAGAGCTACCTCGACAGCGTCAACGTCGATGTACAGACACGGTGCGAGATCTCCACGTACCTCGACCTGATCCGGCAGCGCGCAAGCGGCGAGCTATGGACGGCCGCCAAGTGGATCCGGGAGTTCGTAGCCTCCCATCCGGACTACAAGGCCGATAGCGTGGTCTCGGAGGCAGTCAATAAAGATCTAGTCGGGGCGGTGATCGACATTGGCAAGCAGGAGTGTGCCGGAAAGGGGTTTGGGCAATTAGACATTCCAGGACTAGATCGACTTCTGGGAAAGTTCCGACGGAACTGCAAAGGGGTTTAGGGAGACGATCCGCGCCAGTATCTGGTTGAGGAGAGGCTTTTGATGAGGAAATGACATAGCATGGTGATGACACCGGTGTCTTTAGTGAGGACAAGTGGGTTCTACATCGAGGAACTTAGAGGTACAACGAGGAACTCTGAGTGACTCCTGGCGACAAGACCAGGGGATCAACAGACGGGGCGTCAGATAGCGGAATCACAGACTCGATGGCGTTTCCAATGCACATCCCTCAACAAAGTCCTGGCTGGGGCCTTCATCAACTCGATGCTCAAGCTGCTGCTGCCGCCCGTCGACCGGTGACGATGATCGACCCGGGGGGGCAGTGCTTCAGGGCGCCGAGCATGCAAGCCAGTCAGACAGTCAGACGCACACATTCTTCCATTGAGACACAAATGTCTTTCCCACTAGCTAGCCTGCTTCATCCCAACTTACCTGTGACCTCTGCCATGCGTTTCCTTGGGAACCTTGTGATCGCCGAGGCAGCTAAAGAGGCTGGCGTCGTGCATGTCCCAGCGAATCAGCCTCCTGGTCCTGCCCCGATCCCATATGCAAGATGCATGCCCGGGGACCAACCCAAGAGAGGGGAGCCATGGGTAACCCAAGTCTCAGACTCATTGCACACGCCGAGAAGAAACAAGACCACACATCGCGCACAAGGCCACACCCACTTCTCACACCGGTTTGGTTGGGAGAATCGTGGGATCCGCACCATCAGCGTCGAGAGGGGTCCCAGGTGCGCGTTTCCGTCTGGCACAGCCTGTGGTGGTGTCGTGCAAGTGGCATACCTTACTTTCTTCTGCGGAACCCTAACATGATGCAAGATGGACGCTTCTGCAAGATGAGGAGATCGTGTGCGACATGGCGCACACGCATGCTGACATACCTGTCTTAGTTCAGAGGAGGGAAAAGGCTTGTACTGAGTATGCCCCGTCGCATATGCAAATGGCCACACTAATTCTTCTAGAAGCGGTGGCCATTACGTCTTGATTTCGGCAAGAGAGAAAAAGGGGGGACTTGCTTCTTCGCTTGCTAGTCCGTCCACCGGACTGGAGTTCAGCTAACCCCCATCTTGAGAGCACGGCGCCCAAGAAAGTGGTCCGCCCTGGCGGATGAAAAGCCCACGCTAGCGGTGGCACTAAGGTGCCGGGGCTCCAAGAACTATACCACGGGAGAGATATCAGATATGGCAACCACCTCGGAGCCGTCTGCACCACCCACGGTTCTGATGGAGATCATACAGAGAACGAGAAACGTGGCAGCCAGACTAGCGACATGTTAAACGCTAGTACGTCACCGCTTTTCCGTGGGCGCTCCATGCTGCGAATTCTCCAGCCAAACCTCCCTCAACTTAGTTTACGGCGCACCTCGGGGTACAGAGCATGGGGTAGGGCGATCTATGCTTTGAACATACCAAAGATTGGTCCGGCTGCGGAGCTCCTGGGCCCGATGGCGCAGAATCTCGCAGTAGGCTGGTAGATCTTCCTAGGGCAATCCGGACCAGATCATCTGGATCTAGATCGGCCGAGAGCTCAGGGCCTAGGAGCCCCAGACAAATAACCAACTCCCTCGCATACGGCGAAGAGTGAGGGATATGCCTCCCCTCGCTCCCCCACGAAGTCAAGGATCGAACTCGATGCAAGGTCCGTAGCGTCAAACAAGCACTGTGACAACCTAAGGGACAAGAAACTGCACAATCACGTTTGCATGCCTCGAGTACACAAGCTTCACTGACGTCGAAGGCTTGATGCTAGCCCGCCTCTTCAGCCACGTCCCTCACAGTCACGACCTGAAAAAGCATATACCGCTGCCGTCATGGCGGGATGCCGCGCTTCCAGGGAAATGCCGCGGTTTCAGATTGGGAATAGCTTGGCCAGCATGCTGTACCCGAGACGTCGCCTGGATGGTCTGATATGCAACCGCCAAGCTTGCATTAGCATGAGGCTGTGGGTTGCGGACTCGATAGTCGGTGTGACTCTGGGAATCTAGAGCAGCAGCACGAGGACGTGGGCTCGCATGTCTAGTCAAGCCTTGTCCTCCGCCTCAAAACAGTGATTCGGGCTCGAAGTCTGCAGAGTATATGCAGCCACGTTAACTGCGTGATGGGCCATGACCGGAGGGGATATCTGTCACCATAGATTGGCGACCACATGTTGTTATTTGGTATGGAGAGGAGTTTAAGGACGCCACCTGGCGTAATTTCCTGCACGGACTCGCTGCGAGCCGTTCAAGAACAGCTGGAATATCATGGAATTTCCCGTCTCGGACGCCATCTAGCGTTGTACGACTGCCCGAGCTAGGAATAGCCGCTGAAAACATTGCTTCTTCCCATCATAGCTCTGAGATGTAGAGCCGGACTGAGATGTTTCCGGGGATGCAAATGTGCACCCGCATGAAACGTTGAAATCAGAGACCATTGGGGGGCAATGGCTTGTTGGCTGAAAGTTAGCGTGGTGAGCCACGCAGTAGCTATGAATGAGGCAGTACGGAGGCGGACCCGGGGAGCCATGCCGAGCAATATCTACCTATTGAGGCACGCTTTCCAACACCATGATGTCGAGTTCCCATGTAATGTCAAACCCTCTGTGCGACAGGCAGCTCCAGAAGCAAGTTCAGCTGCAGCCATGCTAACTAATAGTGCATGAATCCGAGCAGATTCGTTGACTCTGAGGCGTCCGATCGCAGGAACCACGTTTCGACCACGTTGCCTGGCTGCGATCACGCGCCTGTTGTCCAACCCCATTCAGCGCCAACGTGATGAGAGGCGGCGTACATGGCGCTACGAGCCGTCAAGAATCCACTGATTCAGGCTGCTACTACGACATGTCAACACGTTTTGACAGTTATTCTTTCTTTTGGAGAAAAAAGTAGAGCCACCGTTCATTCCCGAGGCTTAAGTGCACCGCAACGCACCTGAGGAACTGATATGACTACCACTCCTTGTGTTCCCACCCTAGAGCCTGTTTTCATTGCCAGGGGAGTGCCATGTGCCGTTCCAAGGAAGTGGATAGAAGCGCGTGCAAGCCGCGTGGAAAACAGGCCCCCTTGTTCCCCTTGTTGACCGGTCTACCTATTATGTGTCTTTGGCAAATTAGTGCTCGTGCTTCGGGTCTCGATCCTTTACCCTGTCATATTTCACTTCCTAATACGGCGCTCGATTCATCTCTCGCCAATCGGACGACCGAGATACAACGCAGATAGCTAGACCCGTAGTTCTATTGAAGAAAAAAGCAGCCAACATGGCGGTGCCCTGCATGCGGCAGTTGTATTCTTGGTCCGAATACGTATCAGCCAGGACAAAAGCGGTGGCGACATATGTGATATCGTCATTGATGGTGACTCCATAGGCCCACCTCAGCACGAAGCCATTCGGAAGATCCCAAGCCCGCCAGATACAAGCTCTTTTTTCTACAGTAAGTGGCCGGCCCTATCTCTAACCTAGTAAAAAGCCGTGATGATCAACACTACTTTCGCCTATTTCCACACTGTGTTCATTTCTTCTGCTTCTCCCTCACCGGCAGCGCCTTTCCTGGCTGCTCGGCCTCCTTGACGAAGGGAAGGAATTCCGGTTGGCCAGGAATGAATTTCCTCAGTACCTCCGGCACAATGAAGCCGTCTTCCGTCTGGTAGTTCTCTAGCACGCAGCACATGGTTCGCTCCGTTGCACATAGGGTCTAATGAGGAGAATAAGTCACTGTGGATATTACAATCTGACCAAAGGGGTTCACTTACCGCATTCAGAGCATGCACATACTCCTTTCTTGTGCCACCTATGTCGTTCTTGCCCTTCTTTGTACCGTAGCGAATCTCAAGCTCGCGTGTCTGGTAATCTGTGCAGTTGGAGCAGGAGACGAGCTCCTTGAACTCCGCTTGGAAGGGGAAGTATGCCTCAAGATCGTACTTCTTCGCAGCGGCGTTGTTTAGTGCTCCGGACACGATGCTGACGATTTGGTAAGGGAGACCGAGAGACTTGTAGAACTCTTCTGAGATCTCAATCATCTCGTCAAAGTGTTTCCAGCTATCCTCCGGCTTGCAGATCACAAACTGCTCCACCTTCTCGAACTGGTGTACACGGAAGACACCCCAGGCATCTCGGCCATGGCTGCCAGCCTCTTTACGGAAGCAAGTGCTGTAGCCGGCATACTTGATTGGCAATTGGCCGGGCAGGAGCCACTCGTCTGAGTGGAGGCAGGAGAGTGGCTGCTCGCTAGTGGCAATGAGATACCGGTCTGTTGCGGTGTTCTCGCTGCTCTCTGAGACACGGTAGAGTTCCTCGTCGAACTGAGAAAGCTGGGCAGTCTTCGCCATTTGCTGACGATCTAGGAAGAAAGGTGGCTGGTTCGGGGTGTAGCCTCGCTCGAAGAGGAACTGGATTCCGTAGTTGATCAGAGCCATGTTCAGGAACATGCCATAGCCCGTCAAGCAGTAGCCTCGGTGTCCGACTAGCTTCACACCACGCACGGGGTCGTAGCCGTCGAGTCTTAGCAGCACCTCGTGGTGTGACAACTTCTTCTTCTGGCCCGCCTCGAACCCTTCCGGAGACCACGTTCGCACGATCTCATTGTTGTCCTCATTGTCGCTGACAGGGACGCTGTCGGCCACGTAGTTGCCAACGAGGCCAACCTTCTTGCGAAGCGCGACCTGTTTTAGCGCAACTGCCTCCTCTTCATCCTTCTTCTGCTTTTGCAGGTCGGTTTTCTGTTGTAGCAGATCATCTGCATTCTCCTTGTTCTTCTTCTTTAGTCCGATCTCCTTCTGGATGGCGTTGATTCTGGTGCCAATCTGGTCGACCTCGTACTGCGCTGCGAGAGGTTAGCCATGCCGCAGTGTGGATGTCGCTCAATTCCCGGTAAATCTAACCTTTGCGATTCACCTGCCACATCTCAATAATCTCGTCGACGAGCTCCACAGACTCGCCTCTCCGGCGCTGGGACTCCTTGATCTTCTCGGGGTTGCCCCCGCGGGCCTCAATGAAATCCTCAATGTCGATCATCGTGATCTCGTGGTTAGGGAAGGTCTAGAAGGTTCTGATGTGATGTTGACGGGCTGATTGGGAGCCCAGGTGCGCGCCTGATTTTTAACCGTGTTTCGTGTATCGCAAGGCGGGGTGACTCAAGACTGGTGGTCTGGTGGCTTGACTCACCCCACCCTACGGTGTGACAGCTTTTTCCGTCGCCGAGGATGGCGGGGGCGGGGCCACCTGACTGATGGGTAGTTATCTTATCAGTGCTTAAGCCCCTGAATGCCCCTGAATGCCCCTAAAGGGAACTCTTTCAAATCCTGTCGCTGGAGAAAAGGTTCGACGTGGCCGGAATATGCTGCTCCGATTTCATCTTATCACTATCAAACATCATGGCTGATTGACCCAGTATGCTCTAAAGAGAATCCGATCCCTACACGGGCAATTACGCACAAATAGGACGACAAAGGCGGGGAGCGGCGTAAACAGACAATATTTAGCATGCTACGGCTGTCGTCCAAAGTCTCCTTCTAAATTACGGGAGTTTACACATAACAATCAACTTGAATATATCATTTTACGTTTGAAGCACGAGGGCTATGCCTCTAGCAGGTCAAACTCGTGTCATACATGTCGCAGTGTACTAGAAACAGTTGGACAACAAAGCTGATAGTGGAAATATTCCGTAGAGGTGGTTCCAATATCTAGTTTCAGTAAGACGCAGTGGCTTTGAAGACGCCCTTTTCGAGACTGCCTGCTCGCTTTCAGCATGATGATCCCAGCTAGGGTGTGTTTGTCAAAGCCGAGCGAGGCTACTCCTAAGCTATGGCGATCAAGGTCCTATTCTCAAGCGCAGAAACAGGATATGATGAAAGTCAAGGTAATCGCTCGGGCTTCAGAGGTTGTATCCATGAGGTTTAGTTCCCCAGCTACTACAAAGCTAGTAATCACTTGTTGGCGAGGTCGTGATGCCCTTGCTGAATCAACAATTATTATACCAGTAGAGGAACTGATAGCATCAAGCGGAGTTCCGTGATTCTGGCCCAAGCTGAAGAATGAGCCGTCGGGGGCTAAATATCATAGCCACGTGAGCTAGGCAAAGCCATGACAAGATCGCGAACGAGGCAAGGCAGAATATGTTACTCTAGTGTCCGGGACCCTGAGCAGGGGGTGATTGTTGAAAGTCACGACGACTTCAGGTTCTGTTCTGTGATGCGTTCGCTGCACTGTGCTGTATCTGGAGTCGCGATAGCCGATAGAGAAAAGGCCGTCTCCTTCTCTGTCGACATGGCGGCATGTTTTGTCCCGAAACGACGTCAAGCCAGGCTTATTCCGTCGTACGGGCCGGCTTATTGACGTCAGCGGCTCAATTGCATGACAGATGAGGGCATCTTGCGCCTTCCTAAAGAGCATTTCTACTGCTGCGAGCGGTTTAGTCTAAGAGGTCGCCGGACAATAGGGGCGGTCGATCTCGTCGAGTTGAGCATCGCGTAAAGCTGTCGCTGGAGGCTATCTGCGCTACAGGACCCTGACGGGTGAAAATAAGCGAGCTCAGATTGTCAGTGGAGCGACCTAACAGCGTGCAGTGCGCCAGACCGGTCCCTAAGCACACGGAAGTACGCACGCCAGAAAAAGGAGCTAAATTCCCCCAACAGGTGCAAGGACACAAATGCGCCCGTGCCGTGCAGTACACTCCACCAGACCACGAGACTGAGAAGAGAAAGAAAAAAAAAAGAGAGAGACCAAGCAGAAAACAGCCAGGTATCTGGCGTTGGCGTTGGCGTTGGCGTTGGCGATGAGACACGAATTGCTCTAAAGCCCCCTTAGCTTAAGCAAAAGTGCAACACGCCTGTTTGGCACTGCGAACGGGCTCCCGGAGCCAAGGGACCGTGTGAGGATGTGACTTGTAACATTTTGCAGGCACTGCACTCCCACCAGATTCCGGATCTAAGATCTTGGATCTTGATCTGGGATCTAAAACCAGGGATCCAGGGTCCAGCAATTCCCGCTCAGATTGGCCCCCCGAATGTCAGCATCTCGGGCTGGGGGGTCACCGTCAGTCAAAGCCGCCCCATCCTCCACCGTGTACAGTACAGGACCGTCCAAAATGCACATGTATGCGAAATGCGAGAAGGGGCAGGGGGAGAGGACTGAGCCGAAAACGATCGACCGGATGGAAAGAAACATCACCAAACACAAGTCAACCATAGCTCGGCTTAGCTGCCATTGCTGGATTAACATATCACTTAGGCACGACAAGTCTAAAATTAGACAGCGCCGGCCGCGCGGATCGCACAGGTCGGACAGGCTCTGTTCGACCCACGTCAGTGGGGAGGGAGAAGGGATCATCCACGCCGGGCCACACCGGTGTGAGCCATCGAGCATAAGTCTGGTACTTTCGATCCCGGTGAAGGGGCTTACGGTATGTATCTGGCAACTTCGTCCACGTGGCCCCTTCACAACGAAGCCCGCCATGCCAAAAACAAAACAAAAACAAAACCCACGATTCCCAATTCATTAGCTACTTAGTGTCTCTGCTCATCACATCACAGTGGGGGTCAGTGATCTGCTGAAGGAAGGATTGCAGATGGGATGTGATCCGTTTCACTCTTCCACTAGTCTCATTCCTTCTGTGAACACTGAGTCTCGGGGTTGAGTCCCTGTTCAGTCATTCGAACCAGGGTCAGGTTAGGAGTCGCAGACAGCTTCTACCACACAGGGCGAATCAAAGACCCGGCACGCCAGACACTGTTTCGTTTCCGAGACCTGCCTCGCCCGGCGGAGCGTCCCGGACAGGCTGCCCTTTCCCTACCGATGCTGGTCATCCGAGACTAGGGCTCCATTGCCCTTAACGGCACCTGCACGTCACGAAGTATGGGGTGCTGAGCGAGAAACATCGTGTGTGCGTTGTGGAAATTAGTCGCCGACCTACTGCGAACTGCTCCTTAGTGTAACACATACAGTACCGTAGGCTTGCGGGTAGCGGTGTCTCGCGGCGCTGCTGGGTCTCGTTTTCCTTGACTCTGACACCGTGTTGCACGAGCGACCCCCCAAAAGGCAATGTTTGGCAAAAGACTAGAAACAAGAGCGATGTGGTCGCAAACCTGTGCTAAGACCGTTGCACCCTAGGCTCTGCGATCCGAAGACCGGAGTGTTCCCACCCGCTCCAGAGGTTCTAGAAAGGGGCTTAAGATGAGTGCCACCTCCCAAGAAGTTGAGAAACGATATGGCTAGGGGCCATAGGGAAGCACTTGTTGCGGAAGGCACACAGACGGTGTTGCGGACGTTCTTTTGGGCGGACTGGACACACCCGATAGAAGTTGACTCGTCATATCTAGAGTTTGAACAGACTGGAGCGTAAAGGATGGAAGAAGCAATGCCCTCGGCAACGCTTATAGGCTCCATCTCAACGGGGTGGATTCAATCTCCTCCCGGACCCTGGGCGGAAACGCCCGAGCAAACTGGGCTCGTACGACTTCCCATCACCGAAGAGATAGCCTGCATCGCGCCGTGTACGAAGTCTGCTTGATTACAGGTCCAGATAGTGCACACAGTTGCTCCAACTTACACGCACTCCCTCTACGCACGTCAGGGGGGAGGCCTCAAGATGACTGCACCGCCAGCGAATTGCGGCAAACTTGGCCATTCCAGCAACTCTAGGACACACACGCACTGTATTTCTTGACATGATGGACAATGTAGTGATGCAAGTGGCCGTCCTTGTGGTGCCGCATGTGTAGCAGTTCGTCTCGACCTGGCACTTGAGTTCGAGCGTGGATTTAGTAACCCGCCCACCACTATCATTGTTTTCCCGTTGAGCTCCGGCCCATGATATGAACGCCAGATCCTTTACATGCTCCTTATTATGCATGGAAATAAGAAGCTGACAAACCCATGCCGTCCCACCGTTTGACAAGGACGAGATCTCGAATACTGTGTAGATCCGCTTGCTTACATCCACTAGTTCCTGATGGTCCCGGATGTAGGTCAGTCCTGCATCCACTGTCCGCGTGTAGCAGCTCTTGTTTCCAGCAATTTACTCCGGGTGGGTGAGAATGCGTTCGGTGGAGGGCCACTTCGTTTCAGCACCGTGCCCAAATGCAGGCAAACACCAGAGAAGAATACTCCGTGCCCTAGACCAAACAGATGAACCATGCAGTATGCAATCGAGATGATGCAGCAGCAGGCTACTACTACTCTACTATCCACCTGTGCACCACTTCTTAACCAGAAATGTAGCATCATGCGAGGGGGCCTACTCTGCATGTCCAAAGTACATGTACATGAACGCAAATGCATGTACTTATGTACGCCGTACGCCTGCACGCCGGCAGGTAGCAAGCAAGCACACACTTGCATATGAAGGTCGCCGAGCTGGTCGGCCAGACGCACAAGACAGTTGCATTCCTTTCCCCACGGCTATGCAGCAGGTAAAGACCAAGTATGAGCTATCCAAATTCGACGGAATCCTGAGTGAGCATCAGTTTTTCGTGCTTGCAGGCCCACGGATAAGTACCGGAGTCCCTGCGACTCGGCCGATGCGCCACTTGGATGTCAAAAAGCTCACCCAGGCAAGCATTGGTGCAAGTAAAAGCCAGAGGAAGAAGATCAGAATTGCTGTCCCATGCCAGCATCTCGATGAACTGCTATGCGTTGTGCAATGTGCAGTAGAGCTCGTTGACAAAGTAGAGTCTCGCCGCCTGACCCCAATGCCATCATCATCGAATGCCTCGCGCGCACATCTCCTGCCTCAGACTCTTCATAGAATAGTTTCATGGTCAGGCGTCGCACGTTACACGGCTACCGGAGGACTGTCCCTTCTCCGGGCCACTCTGCCGCGCCCACCCGCCGCCCGGATGTGGAAAAGGGGTGAGGGAAATAGAACAAGAAAAATTTTTCATTTCAAAGCACCGATTGATGTTGGTCAAGGTGCAATGTGATCTGCAGCACCAGCTGAAAACAAAGTTCAATGTTCCGGGAGATAGACACTGTCGATCGCAGGCCTGGGCTCGCGCTGGAGGCGTTTCCCTTGA